ATTAACACCCACCAGGTTCCCTATCACCAACATACAAAAGAAATCATTTGAAATTATGCTCTTTCTGTTGAAAAAGTCTGATCCTTGTGAGTCAAATCAATAATCAAATCATGCTATCCTTTCCCAGTCTGAAATGGCTCAAAGTCCAAGAACACTAATGATGGCAAAGAGGCTAGAAATGAGTAAGGATCAATACAAACAAAATAAACACCAAATAAAAGTTCCCCCAGGAGACTGTTCTGATTCACCACCCATCAACCCAAAAGATGTGACACTAACCAACCCTGTCCATGCCCTTTACTTTCACTATAATCAATGAATAATCAAACTGTTCTCTATGATATATTCATATTTTTTTGTTATCTCATCTCATATCATTGTACTCCGTATTCTGTGTTTTTTTGTTACACAACTTTAGTGCCCAACATAACACTTTGCATCTTTGTTAACTAAACACAAAACCATAATCTGGAATATGTCATTCAAAGCTTTACTTCGAGGGAGAATAAAAGGTGACTGGGACACTGAAATCCTGTCTCAGCTCTTTTTAAATTGTTAAAATATTAGAAATTATTGTGAGGGGTCAGTGTACATGACTTCAGTATATTCTAAACCATCCATCAACCTTGTCCTGATTTACTTACACTAATTATTAAATGTGTATCATAATAATAGCCTTAAAAAGCCACAGCTCATTGTACAAATTTTAGTCAAAACTCAAGACTGCTTTTGTAAAGGAAAATAACTTGTGTTCAAATATGGGCGTCGGTGCAGAATTCATTTGAATGGATTGTGAACGTCCAAATGGTTGAAAGAAACATGCCAAAATCATCTCAGACAAAGTGCAGACAAATGATTAATTGTCAACAATGGTGCTGCTGCCCAACATCCTTTAATATGTACAACAACACTGTAATTTTCACCATTCCCAAGCAGCACGTATGCTACTACATTAAACCTCATATATTTCCTTATTGGAAATAAATATAAAAGCAGTGATTATTTGACACAACATCCTTAAAGTTGACAAAGAACAATCAGTAATGAATTAAAAGTGTTCCTGCAAGGGATGGGCTGAGACAGAAGGTTCTCAACTTCATTTGTTCCTAGCTGAATTTCTCCATCTTGAAAAAATGTCCTAAAACTTTAATATACACTAGATTCCATGCTAAGCTAGGCTATATGTTTTCTTATGCTGTATTGTATCTTTATAATTGGAGGCTCTATTACCTTAAAAAAAAATCATTGCCCAAGCCCACTGATTGAATTAGCAAGCATATGTTCTATACCTAAAGGATTAATTGTACAAAAGATGTTGATTTTCAATTTTTATTGAACACTGACACGTTCGTTTCTTTAGTGCTAGGAAGGAGGCAGATGGTGACTGGCCATTTCTTCATTTTAAATATAAAGCGTAGGCCTATCCCTTTATTTTCGAAAAAGAGTGAGCTTATAAAGAAAGAAAAACAAATGGTTATTCAAATTGGTTATAAATACTCACCTCTTCTGTGTTCCCATCAGCATAGTTTTAAAGGGCCACACACCTGCTTAAAAGCTCCAGGAGCAGACCATTAGTAAAGAGGGGAGTCTAGTGCAGACACAGCATGGATTTGTGTTATTATATTTTATACTGTGTGTCACTGTATCAGTTACGTGAATTTGCACTTGGGCAAATATTTATTTTGATGTAAAACATTAATATTTGGTGCGTTTTTGTAAATATGTATTCTCTTAGTGTCTATGTCCCACCTACGTGGTATTTTCCAACGTCTTACCTGCGGATCTATAAAAAGCATCGAGTTGCTCCACTTTTTCCTTTCTGTTTGAATTCCCACTTAACATCAATAGACTTACACTGAAATAAGTTAATGGTTCATCTGGTGGCCAAAATATTGTTCTGACGCGCGCGAGATTATGTGGTGGGCCTGTCAAATAAATCTCAGAGTTGCCATATTCTAAAGTTTACATATATGTAAACTTTAGAATATATTCTAAAGTTTAGAATATATTCTAAAGTTTACATATGTGTAAACTTCACATATATGTAAACTTTAGAGGGATGTATATGCTTTTGGGTATAGTTCACACTGTGACAATTAACCACTTTGTGCGGATGGGAAAGATAACTGTGAAGCAAAACAGGCATTATAGGCTGTATCTGCTCTCTTATTGAATGTTTTAAACACAGTGAAGGAACCCCAACATAAACTACATTTGTTGACACAACACAAATAGGCCTATGCATATATTTTGAATGTGCAATGTGTTTTGTTAGTCCTGCCCTCCGTTCAACGACCTGTGTCTTTTGCAGAAATATACAGCAAGGAACTCAAAACCCCAACAATGTGAGTTTATTTGGATTAAAGATGTTAATTTTCAGTCCAAATTTTAGCATGAATGCGCACAGAAACGCTGAAAACATCTTCGTCTCCACTTGATTTAAACAACTAGCCTAAATAATAGGATTTAAGAGGAGCTTTTTATATCCTGAATCCATCCTGCTCCGTTTTTCTTGTTCTTGTATGTCACATAAGCACGTAGCAGCCGGCCCATTTTCCAGCTGCATATAGCCTAGCTGTCTCCGGTGCACCGTAAATAAGGTTGATAAAGACGCCGCCGAAAACGACTTTCACGCGTCCCCCGATTGATTTAACGTGACCCCCGTTTCCAAATGATATTGGAAGCCTATTTAAACAGATGAAGGCTTAAATTGTCTTGCTTGTATGCGCATTAATCTCCCATTCATCATCATTACTGTGTGATTGGTCCGTCCACGCCTCCGCCAGCCCCTTGCGTTACGACAAGGGCCTGTAAATTAGGATGTAATCCAATTTAAACAGCGGTAGCAGCAGCCACAGATCCATTTGGTGTCTTTTTTTTGAATTGGCTGTCGGTGGACAGCTGCACTGCACCGCCCCTATCAAAATGCTTTGTGCTAGTTGTGGGAGCTGGGGAGCCCTGAGCCAATTCTCACAAATAGGATCTTATAAGGCTGATGTAATTGGTGTTATGCGCGCAATCTATGAGCCCATCATATCTTGAAGCTCAGTCATAGGCAATCTTTCAGCGATTAAATGGCATGTTGATGCTGGATTAGGCCACTGAGGATTCAGCAGTGTGGTTTACCAGTGAAGAGAGATAGAGATCCATATGCGTGGCTGGCTAAATGTGGCTGTAATTTGCCTCACTTTAATGTGTCATTTTGGCACAGTGTGACGCGGGTTTAGAAGATGATCGCATAGTGTTGCTGCTCCTGTGCATCCAAATAAAAATCAGCTCCAAGCTTTCCAGGCTGATAAAAATAACCAGACTTTTCGAGAGACTGCGCCTTTTGAATATTCAGCTAGTCTGACCGTTTCGTCTTTATTTTATGGCACCATTTTATTATGCACAAACCAAAGCCATTTTCCCGCATGACCCGTGTCCCTATCAGGCTTAAAGACACCGTCTGATAGTTTACATAAATCTGTCTTGTGGTTTCGCTCCGACTCGGGCGGCTTAAACGGTGTATTATTCCAAACATATGCATTTTAATCAGCTCGGTCACACTTACAAGAACTCCAGTTAATAAGGCCATCAATCAAATGCATGTGCGGGAGGGAGTAGGGGGAGAGAGGGGGCTCATCGGTGTGGTGTGTAGGCTATGTGTGGGTGGGTGCAGTACTGTCTGATGAACCTTTTACCTCAGAAAGCATATGTGGAGGAAGAAGAAAGTCGGACTTTAGAAGACATTTTGGTGTTAGGTTTTCCCATTTTGGGCTCAGAATTCGTGTTCACAATAAAGATCACTTGGAAATAATAATAGAATAATTTGTTAGTTCGTTAAATCCTGTAGGATTATGCTTCATCTAAAAAAAAGAGCATTTTGAATTGCAATCTTACTTGTTAAATTATAGCTGCAGTGACTCAATTGGCCAGTATTTTTGCCTGTTGGACTTGAAGGCCCACGCTAAACGCCAGCCTTTTCTTTGCACATTACTGCAGTAACGTCTGATCTCTCTCCCATCTACGGCATAGAAACACCTTTTAAAATGTGATTTGTGGGTGTCTCTGCGGGGCCAAAACGCCTCGCAGATCCTATTACGCTCAGAAAACTCTCTTAATTTGCGCAGCCCCGGTCAAACGCAGCCAATTAAGAGCCCGCTGATTGGTGGCGTGCCTCTCTGAATCATCGATCTCTTTGCATTCCCAATATCTCCAGACAACTAATTCTGTCGTGTTTTATTAAGTGGTCGGAGAGAAAAGATGAGAACCGTTAACGGAGCCCGGGGACCACTTAACTGTCACGGTCAATCTAGCGCTCCCATCAGGAGATATGGGGGCACACTGGTGTTTTTGACACCGACCGCTTGAGAACAAAATTATTGTTATTATTGGAAGGGGGGTGGGGGTGGTAGACCAATTGTGAGCATAGAAAATCCTTAACAGCCTAGAAACGAAATACAAGTAGCCTACCTGAATGGAGGAAAATTGTTTGTAGGCCTATCTGATTTTTATTCGGTTATATGGATTAAAGTATCATTTATGTAGATAGAATAATTCTCATTTATCCTGGTTCTGCGTTCTACATAGGTTCTATATAAAGGTGTTTAAACACTTACACACTTTACACACACTTCGTTGCTCCATTGATTCGTTGACAGTGTTTATTGCAAATTAGAAGTTGAGGACAACCCAGCCAAAAAAAACCTAGATCAAAACAACAAACAAACAAACAAACAAACAAAAACAACATAAAGACAAAATCAGTCACTTGTCTACTTTCTCCACAAAATGCCACTAAACTGGTGCCATTGTAGAAGTGCAAAGCCAGAGAAATATTTTAAAGGCCTAGGATATATTAATCACATTTTCATAATAAGAACTGACTCTCGTATCATTAAGGGAGAAAACAAAGTGTTTGATGGCCTTTAAAAATTTTCACTTTTATTATTATTATTATTTTTCATTTTGATTGTCCTCCCTCTCTCTCTCCATCCTCTTCTGGGACCCCCCCCCCCCCTCCTCCTCCGTCAAACCGTGCTGGCTGTAGTAATCCGTTCCCTTGGCGCCTTGTTACCTTTTGGCAGTAACGATCCCTTTCTGGTATTATCATTAATTCAGCACTCAAAATTCACCGGGTCGTACATATACATCACTTACTAATTTTACTAGCATCTGCACATTTCGGCCGGGGCCGCCTTGGAGGGCCCCGGTGTGGAGAACTGCTTTATAATGAGACGGCCACAGTCTCAACTAACAAATCCCCTTGTTAAAAAGAGAGATGGAAAACATCATTCTCGCGTAACTAACAATAGGCCTACATGTAGGTTTGGACGCGTAAAGAACAGGACAAGTAATGATAAAAAAACATAACGCTATCCATCACGTAGATTTAAACGTTATCTGGATCCCCCGCCCCCTCACACATCAAATGAATCTTCTAAAAATCAAATGTGGTTTTGTGTCCATGCCGTCATATTTCAGCCCGCTGTCCCGGCTCTGCAATGGGATTAGCTATTATTTTTCAGTAGTGGGAGATCCACTGTGCTGAAGATCTGGCTAATTATCTTGCCCCAAGTTTAAGCTGGCGTTCACTGCTTACAGGCTACCTCTTCATGCTGTTTCAGTCCTGATCATATAATATGTTAGGTTAAAAAGCTTATGGTAAAGGCTTATATAGGACACGTTTTGGTTTTATCTGGTCAGAGGCACTTCTTCCCTCTGATCTAATGTCACAGATGAGGATTTGCTGAGCACTGAAGGCGTGAAAGTGACAAAAGCGTCAGTCCTGCTAGTTGGGGAGCAAGCGAAGTCCGAGCCGGAGGGCCTGGTTGAGATACCGTTGGATTGACTGGAGTGACAGGCCAGGCAGGAACAGGGGCTTCCCCCGGGACCGAGGCCGTGGGTCGGACCCGGGTACAGGGAGGGGTGTCTGAAGGCGCACAGGAGCTCCGGCCTCTGGTAGGGGTGAGACAGCATCCGGAAACTGTCGAGGGAGCGCAGAGGGTTGGAGAAAGGGGTGGCGGCCGGAGCCGCGCCAGCTCCTACACCCAGGTGGGAGTAGTAAGGCAGCGGCAGGTGGGATGGGAAGGGGTAGGGCAGGTTCCCCGTGGCCGCCGCGTGGCTCATCATGTAGGTGTAGAAGGCCGGGTCGGCGGGGTGAGGCCACGTCATGGCCAGACGCTGGCGCTTGTCTTTCATCCTGCGGTTCTGAAACCACACCTGTGAAAGAGACACACAGAGTCAAATATTAACCACAACTACCGGTGATCCAAAGACAATAATAAAAGCATAGTTTCGCTTTTCCGCACCTGGATGGGTTACAGCGAGTTTATGCTTTTTTTTATTTTTGTTTTGGGTTTTATGTGGGATTTTACTGTAAACAAGCAATTGCAATTTGTACTTCTTATGCCAGTTGAAAATAATAATATCCTACAAACAATACAATACAAATAGCCTAATTTAAAAATCCAGGCCTCTGCTCTCAGCAAACACTTATTCTGTAGGTTTTAGTCTCTTCTCAACATTTGGTTATAAGCTATTCTTGGTGTTCGGCTGATTTTATGGGGGTTTTTTTGGGGACATTTCCTGCATATATAAAATGACCTTTCGGCATCAGTTATTTAAACACGAAACCGTTGTGCAACACTAGTTTTGATAGACCTTTATAAATACAAGCTCACAAAATGTGAGCTCGTATTCCCAGCCCGAGGCCTGATGCAGCTCTGCTCCTCTGAGACAAAGTCGTCTTACCTTGATTGTAGTTTCAGGTAGATTTAAAGCAGCCGCCAGTTCGCATCTCCGCGGCCTGGACACGTAGTTCTCCCGGTAAAATTCCTTCTCCAGCCGTGCGATCTGCTCTCTAGTGAACGCTGTCCGGTACCGGCGAATCTGATCCGCTGAATAGGACAGAGAGCCCTGACCCGGGACAATGTTACCCGGATCTGCACCAGTCTCACTCGGGTGACTCGGAGAATCCCCATTTCGACCTGAATTCGTATGCAGAATAACGAATCAGATATAATTAGCATAAACTTTAAAACACACTCATCGGAATAATTGCATTGCAATAAAATCACATTGAAACGTTTTATTTCTTTCATTCGTTTATTATTAATAAGCTGGTTTCCTAAGAGGAGGCATTCAAAGACTAGGCTAATTTTATTATTTTAGCTGCACTGTGTTTCACTTTTATTAGGGGCCCTCCTGACATAGTTCAGGTACAACTAGGCCTACCTGCTAATATTTCTGTTGTAAATATTATTTTCCAGATGTAGGCTATTGGACGGTCATTTTACTTGACAAAATTGCTGAATAATAAAGTTGTATTCTTGTCATTCGTTTGTATTCTTGCTATCCTTTTGGTTTGAGGCAAGTACAAATTATAGGCTACCTATATTTTTATATTAAGTTTAATATTTGTTCACATAATTTCGGTAGCCTGTAGGATGGGACACATTTGCAGCAAGTATTAGAGTATTAAGTATGTGCACCTAAGAAGATACCAGATAGACACTCCAGAAATTCCCATGTCTGCGGCCTCCACTTCATGTTTTTGCTTGTGGTTTACATAAAATCTTGCATTCTTCCTCATTCCGTAAATATGCGTAGACCTATAGGCTGATTTGCCGAGTGACTCATTGTCAAACTCAGAGGGGAAAATGCATCGTTAGATTGTGGGTGTCACCACAGCGTGTTTCCAGCCACAGTGGTCACTTGACAGCACAGCTGTGCAGCACCGACTGCAGTTACATTCTGTTACTGAGCCTAAACTGTATTTCATAGAGGATCTATTTCTAAATTTCGATTTAATTATGCATGTTCATATAGACAAATGATAATAACAATTTTTGTCCGAGTGTATACGGACATTTTTGAGTGGCATCAACCACGTTGGCATTCAATCAACTTCATTAGTACAGCCACAGAATATCCGCAGTGGCATGCAGCTCGTAAACATCGCCTACCTTTAGCTGTCGGGTAGTCCATGCTTTCAGGCGTGCAGCTGACATCAATTTCCTCGTAGAAGTCCGACTCCGTGTCTGAGCTGCTGCCGTCTTTGTGGAGATGATCAGTCCGGTGCCTCTCTCCGGAGGAAGATGTGCCAACTGGCCTCATTTCGGCGCACATATTCCTCCGTGCGCTTTCCTCCATCACCACCTCCGTTCTGTCCCGAGAGTAAGGCGCACCGCCGGGGCTCAAACAGCTTCTGTGACCAGGCTTTCCCTGCGGTTCTCGCACTGGGCTCCCGATGGCTCCAGACAAATTAGAGCCGCTCTTGCCAAGCTGACCTCCCTCCGCCAGCATCACCATCTCCTCTCTGCTTTCCATCACAAGTACGACTTAAAAACCTCGACTTCGCGGGAGAGTGCAAGCAGTCAAAACCAAAGGCGATGATTTTCAGGTCGGAGGGGTGTGTGTGTAGTGGTGGTGGTGGGTGGGGGGGTTGAGTCCCAAGGAGAAGGAGGAGAGGCTTCTGGAAAAGAGGGGATGCAATCCGGTCTGACCCCGAGAGAAGAGCGCTCCAGAGTGCGCAGAGGGAGCTCTGGGAGGGATCACCATTTACCCTCTCTCTCTCTCGTCCTCCAGAGCTGTCATTCTTAATAGGCCAGTCGTCATGATGGTCCCCCCTCTGATGACGACACGCATTGATTGGATATGGGTAAACAGACGGAGAAATGGCAGCGTCGAGATGGAGGTGGGGGGTGTCGTGTGGGGGGGGGGGGGGGGGTTCTCTCACTCTTGCATTTTGAACTGAGTTAAGAAAACATAGCCTATACAGATATTTAATTATTATTTAGGGTTTCAAAAAATGTACAAATAAATTTTCTAAATAAATAAATATAATTACTATGAAATTTAAACGAAAAAAAAAACAAGTTAACAATTTTATATGAACTTATATGCATTTTATCCTTAGTGATTACAACTAAGTGCAGTGCAGTTTTATTAAAGTTATAATTTAAAAAAATCTCTTTTATGAATCAAAGTGAATTCTTTACTTGCATTTTAGTGTACCATCACCCCTCCATTCTCCCCCTTTTCTCTGTCTTTAGTGCCTCTCTCATCTCCAAGTGGAGTCAAGTCAAGTCCTCAAAGGTCAAGTCTTGCAGTCAAAGTTTAGATAAGAGGCCATTTGGCAGGAAGGTTAAAGTCAACAGCACGGATTAGAACAACAGCCAGGCAGAGAACCTCAATTAATTTTCTGTGTCTCTTAAACGAGTTATGATGGCTATCATTAGCTTGCTGTTTAACTGTGGAAGATGCAGTGCACAGAATGTCCACTGAATGTTTTCTGAGGTTAATGCTTCTTCAGGCTGTGATCCAACTTGCAACATTATACCAAAAATATGGGTGCCATTTGACTGTGACAAATGTTCACTTCTTTGAGCCTAAGTAACTCTAGATTGTATCCTTAATAAACATAATTGGAAGCAAATATTGTAAGTGTATGGGAGTCATAATGGGTTGTGGTGGTGGGGCATCAGAAAGACCAGCACTCACTCACTCACTCACTCACTCACTCACTCACATTAATGTACTGAGTAGTAATATTTCCAAGAACTGCATCAGATAACTGCCTTAACTTGTGATTTATGATAATATGTTGTCAGACATATTGTTCCACTCTGTCCTCCTGATATTTAATCTCTTTAATCAGAGCTTCAAGCTGTGGTGATAAATTACATTATAAGGCCCTAACTATACTGGATTTTTAATCAGATTCGAGATCTGCAGCTGTAGGGCATGCTGGCATACTTGGACGGCCATGATGTTGTGTAGAGAGGTGGAGTCATGCGGTCTCAAAGAGAGGAGAGGGAGGCAGACTGTGGAGCTCCAGCAGCCTCCGCTGTCCTTGTGCGCCCTCGCCTGTCCGAATGAGGGAAAAGGCCGCCCCCTCCCCCAGCCCGGCAGCTGAGGAGTGAGGGAAATTCCTTTGGCTTTCTCCCCTGACTCTTTCATCTGGCCAGCAAAGGAAAAAAAGTAACCCCCTCCCTTCTCCTCACTCTCTGACAATTTGATGTAGCTGCCTTTAAGAGTTTGTAAAGCAGACTCGGATAGTTTTTTTTATCAGAAAAGTAGTAGGTTATATCAGAAAAAGTTATCACTGTTATCTACTACTATCTAGCTCTCATGTAATCTATTACTTGTGTAAATGTGCTTTAAGTAGCCTAATGAATGTGTTTTAGTGGCGTAAACTCCGGTGGTATTTCAATATAATATGAGTAATAGTTTTGGAGACAGAACCAAGAGCACTATAGATGAGACTTAAAGATCAGTCTGCAAATTGTTAATGAAGAACCAGAAACTAATAGAAATGTACTGAAGGAACGTATCAGTTTAACCATATTTATCTTTTTGAGTCAGAAGAGAGGAAAATTGAATTTGTTTATTTTCGGTCATTTTGGCAAAAGTTTGCTTCTGTAATGTATGGACCTGATTTACATTGCCTATACTGGGTTAGTTAACTGGCATACAAGTGAAATTATAAATTATGATTAGTCTTGTAGTTTCTTTCATATTAATATGCTTTGTGCTGCCAAGATTTAGTCTAGTCTCTGTGTTAAAATGTACTAAAGTATATACTTTCATTTAGGCAGATTCTTTGGCAGACTCTAAACTTCCCTTGCTTTTAGAGACGAGATTGTTCTATTTCTCCTCTCAAAATCATAAATGTGGGGTTACCATGAAGCCTTTTAGTGAAGCGTCCAAAGATGGCAAAGGTCTCTTGTTTTGCTGCTTACCAGGAGTTATGCAATGGGTCTTGGCTAGGGCAGATGGATCTTGTGATCATCCGGAGATAACACTTGGAAAAGGGTTTACGCAACAAATGAATGACCTTGCAGGTTTACAGTAGTGTCACTTATATTGTGTGTGTTTTAGATAGGGAAGTACAGCAGATGGGTTTGGAGAGTTGGCTGATTGTGGAAAATGTTCTCCCTATTTCCACGAAGAAATTAATATACTTATGCAACATAGTTCTTTTAAAACACGTAGTTGGTCCAAATCGCGCACATTTGTGGTTGCAGAAGTGCAGAAAACTGGACTGCAGTTTTGCAGGAGGAGATCAAAGAGGGGGAGCGCCCCCCGCGGCAGACGCTGCAGAATGCGCCCCTCAGTTTTACTAGCCAGCCCAACTTGAACTTGACCATGGAGCTTGCGCAGTGCGCATGTAATCTAATCCATGGCCCTAGCAGCACAGACCTGCCAGAATATTTGCTTTTAGCACAAAAAAGTGTTTCAGTGTGATAGAAAAATGCATGAATGCGTTTGGTAGATGTTCAGCATGCCGCTGGCTGAGGTGCACCGTGTTTCAGACGAGGAGTCAGAACCTGGAAGAAAATAACAAATCCTCTCCTTCATTATCGTGGCCCCTCCCGTCTCCATTGCTTCAACTTGGCCTTGAAACAGGATGACGCAGCTACCAGAGAGTTAACTCGATGACCTTGGAGCGAAACATGTCCTGATGACTATACAGCTGGAAATCTCTGCGCTGTAAGACCCGCTTTTATCGCTCTTCCCTGCACCATCCTGCAAACCCCGCGCTATTCAACGTAGGGCTTAGCAAGCCACTGAGATCAGGCCTGTGTTACACCATTAAAGGGGGAAACATCATGGGGTATGGCTTACCACCAATTCAGCAGTAGCAAGGCAACACACCAGGTGCAAAGCCCTGACGTTTCACAAGACTGCATGTAATTCTTTAGACTGGTCGGTGCGTCCCTGGCATCTTTGAGAAAGGTGATATTTACAAGTCTGTGTGGTTGCAAATGGCTTTTTATTTTTAGAGAGTGTTGCTGTCATCAGTTCCATTGCAAGTATATCCCACTGTTCTTTAAATCTGGTCTAACAATTTGTAGCTGTTAATAATCTATATTGGACCAGGGGGTAGATTTCGTTGTTACTATACTTCTACTGATTTTTAAACTGTACTCGAATTTAAGGTGTTTTGCGAGTTCAGGTGCTGATGTTGTGTGGGTGGAATGTAACGCTCAGACTGGCATTTGCATGATCTGTCATGCCGGCCTGTAAGTTACATTATTTGTCACAGCTCAGTTGACTAATGTAAAGAGCATACAGGAAATGAAAATAATGCTGTTTTTGGATAAGTTTAATGGTGAACACGGCGTTGCTTGTAATCAATTTTATTATGAATGAATGAATCCATCCGTAATTTAAAACGAAACAGTTCATTAGAATGATCGATCACAAAACATAGCCTCTATGGACATGAATGAACTAATGTGAGGATGAATGAATGTGTGTTTTGGCACCTCACAGTAGTAGCACTCCAAATTTTGTTGTATGGTTTTTAACGATGCAGTAAGAATAAAGGCTATTCTCTTCACTTTATTCTTTATTCTATCAACTTATGAAAACAATAAGATGCATTTCCAAGAAATGGATTATGCTTTAAAAGTAATTAGATGAAACAAATCACGCAAAAGAAATGTTAATATAATAAAGGCGCTAATTTAAAATCTTGTTTTATTCTGCCTTAAAAATCTTTAACGGAATCAAAATAAATACAAATGTTTCCAGTTCAATTGTTTTCACTGATCAGAGCTGTCTTTTTCATTTGGATATTTTGACAATTGGTTGATCTTTCAGGGCTGGACAGGCTTTTGCATTATTTTCGTTTTGTTTTATCTGGTTCTGTAAAAAGTTTAAAGAAAGCTAAATTAAACCCAGTGCAGCATCTTCATATATAGACCTTTAGCATACAAGCGGCGCCGTTACTTCACTGTCTATGCATATTTTTCTTTTCAATGAGGAAACGGCAAAACATCTTGAATATAACCGCTGTATGCTTTAACCTCAGTGCACTGGGTTATTTGATGCATGAAGTTGTGTGTTACATAGGTTACATTAAGTTTCTATTGAATGTAACTTATTTGTAGCTTATATTTGCGATGCACGTGGTTTCTAAAGCTGGACAGAAATATGTTCTTTCATTTCGGCCTTTGTGCTGCCTGCACAAAACAAGAGGCCAAAATGGCCGATTCTGTAGATCACACCGCATCCTGATGATGATGATGATGATTAATAATAAGGCTTATCGCAAGTCCACTTTCTCCAGTGAATACATTTTAGTACTAAGTACTTAAATTATGTCTCTTTTTTACAGTCTGGTTATCTGTAGCCTAGAGGGGCAGGGGCAGAAAGGCACCCCGCCAGAATGATGAAATTTATAAAGCAGCTATTTTCCCCACTCCTCCATCACAGCTTATACCTATTCAGTTGCAAGCCGGTGGCCCCTAAAGTCAAGAATAAACATATGTGGAACTGAGTACCGGCTGAACTTTCAATAAAACAAACTACAGACCTTTAGTATTTGGTGAGATTCCTGTATGCCAATAAATGATTCCCCATGCAGCTTACAGGCTGTAGCTTTAGCAGGCTGTTAACGCACATGTAAGACTTCTGCTGGAGAAATTGAAACAGACTGAGATGAACAGCGAGCGCGTCAGTCAAAAGCACACGTTAAGAAAACCTTGAGAGTGAAACTTTACAGTTAACCATAGACTTTTTAGGCGCTTCCTGTGTGTGTGCGCGTGTGTGTCCGAAAATGAAGTAACTTTTCCTTGTTATTTTTATGCAATCCTTCGTAATCACACCGCAGGCGACCGTCCAGAAATATGGCAAAGTCAAGTGTGTGACCGCCCTGTGGTTCACTGCTTTGACCACAAAAACATATTGGTTGTTATGTTTTGACAACTTTTTGACAGCCGTCCACTTTAAACACGTGTTGTCCACAAGGCTGAAATTTGACTGCATGTAGTTCGTCTTAGCAGCCCGTTTTATAACACAATTTATGCTATTAACGATAGAAATTTATTGCTGAGCATAACTTTATATAGACCTTTCCCTATTTTACCCATGCAGGCTTCAGGCGCTGAGGCCGTGGAATAAATGTGCTCTTTCTCTCCGGTACTGCGTAATTTGGATGCCAGTATAAACATGGGGCTGAACCTTGATAATGACCTCAGAGAAAAGCCTTTAGGCTGTGCTGCCAAGTCCCAAAGTGGAGTCCTGGGAATCCCCAGGGGTCCATCAAATTGAAGTGAATTTAAACTATTACTGATATCAAAATCATGAATGGTTTAAACCACTCTTATTTTGGTTATTTAGCTACCTCACTTGAAACATGTATGAAAATACAATTTTAACCACCATTCAGTCTGATCACTGCTATCTTCCAAACGTTTTCTGCAGACAACTGAATAAGAACTAAGTGCCAAGTTAACAATAGATACGTGTTTCCAACGAAGATCCCTGCGACACAGTGTTTAGTGTTAACTCCATGGTGAAATGTGCGTGTATTTGGCGGGACAATGCGTTGGCAGCTCCTGTAGAGGGTGTGTGTTGTGTGTGTGTTCATTTTACTCTGGGATGTCTCACGTCTGGACTGACCACATGTGCGCGCCAAAGGCCACCTTGGCGATGGCGCAGGGTTGCTGTGACTGCAGGACTGTAGCACGAAGAATAAAATGATCTACTCCTTTATAAAACATCCCATATTTCGTCCATGAATGAAAACACCTCCTGGCAGCATATTTAAAAAACAAACGAACAAGCAAAAAGCCGGATATGGCGGCTTAAGTACTGATGGAGGATGATTAACGCATTTGTGTTTATTTTGAATCTTGATTTGCCTAAGAAAACGCCACAGGGCAGCACACAACAGGCCAGGCCTTGTAGAGTTACTCAATGACTCAGTTGTTGCTCCACGTTGTTGCTGAATGATTTCATTATCTAGCCTTTCTTGTATGATAACGTCAAGACACATCATTATATCATTGTCCCATTATATTTTAGCTGGGATTTTGAATCTGGAAATTGTGAAGTCAAAACAAATATTCAAATTTAGTTTATTAGGACTACTGCAGATAATCACACATGATTTGGCTAATGGTAAACTAGAGAAATAGTCCATGTAAAATTGTTTAATACCTTAAATACTTTTATTTATGTATTATTTGTATTATATTATTTATTTATTATTACTTTAAGAGTCATTGCAAATGCAAGAAGGATGGTACCGCATGCAACACGCACGTGTTTAGTGGCTGTTATTTCATAAGGCCTTGTATTAAAAGGATCTTCTTTTAAATTTTAAATCAAACACATGACAATCATTTGAATTGAAGTTGACTTGATCAAATGACTTAAATACCAAAAAAATAAATATCGTAGCTCCATTATATTCCACAGAAATGATGCACCTTTCCCAGAGACAAAACAAAGCACATTTCAGCATTTGTGTTGCTATAACACAAACCACCTTTCAATTTTAGGTCTTGCAAAGTGAAACAATCTTAGTCCATAATTGTTTGCTGTGTTTGGCACTTTTTTGTTTAAAGTTCCACAGTATTGTTGTTGTTTTTTCAGTGCCAGTAGGCTCACAACACAAATCACCTAATTGAATTAGAAAATTCCCATATAACACTGTGAATAGCATCAATCAGCGCTTACAGTTAATACTTTAGGGTTTTAAATAGGCTTTAAAACGTAAAATCTGGGTAATTCAAAAATGATTTGACGTGTTAATGAAGTTTATTTAAAAGTGCAGCTTTTGATATATCAAATGAAGCAGACGAGAGAAAGAAGCTTTTTATAATTTACATATACATTACACGTCTATAGGCTGGAAACCAAACGTCTGTATCCGATTTTTACACCCTTGAGTGGCAGCTTGTGTTATAGCAGATAACACAGCAGTACAATTACACTCCATTAGTTCAGAAGGCATGCAGGATTTGAAACAAATTCAGTTAAAAACTCCATCAGGTCCATTTCCTCCACAACACAGAATAGACGGAGAGCCACTAGTCGTAAACCAGCAGACCAGACACACACACACACACACACACACACACACACACACACACACACACACACACACACACACACACACACACACACACACTAGACACGACACGTCTATCCTGTAACCTCTTCTCGGAGATCAACATCATTTTCACACGTATCCGCCAACAACACCTCCAAAAAGATCTGCAAATAAAAATACAGCAACCTTTTTATATTTCCAACGTTGGGATACAAAAGTACGCACCACCCAAGTGAAGCGGGTACAGACTAGTTCGTGAGAATAAACGGTGGAGAAAACAAAATGATAGTAAAAGTTAATGTCCTCCAATAGCTTTCATTGGGACAGGAATTCTCACCCCTCTTCCGCTCTTTTCAAGAGCTCAGACGGTCCCTTCAAAGCCTGAATAGCCCGACAGGCTGGATGGCTAGACAGCAACTTTCAACTTGACCTTGGCCTCCAGCCGCATCTACCTCCTATGTAAAAACACGCATGCACTGTCAAGTGGAGAGCTTTTTTCTGTCTTTGCATATTGCAAACATGTCGGAAGTCTAGTGTCTTTAATATTTACCTAAAACCATGACGTTACATCCGATTTTCTTTTATTTCTAACTGAATTTGGCATGGAGATATTTAAAGGAGACCGTGTCTCTGACTGTTTTCTAGAAATATTTGCATAGGCTACATGAATGAAATTCCTTGAAATATGTCGACTCTCATACTTTTCTGTACCATTTCTACATCCTATACTGAACGCTGTTTGAGGTCGGACTGAGGGGTATAGCATACTGCTTAGTGGATCTATGCATCAACGGGCGGCAGAAGTAGTCTACGATTATTTCCTTGTATATCCCGTGGAATAAATATCTTTTAACATTGTGTTTTTCTAAATGGGAATCTCATGTGGTAAATGTCTGTGTAATTACACCCAGTAAGTATAGCGTCGCAGACAAAGGCTAGGCTAGTCAATGTGCGTGCGTATAGGCCATAAAGAAATGCATAGTCATATGTAGATGGATGAGTCATAGCTGTTTTGACCACTTTTCAATAATCGAGTCTTATTTGAACTTCACACATAAAGCGAATCATTTTCATACCAATAATATCTAATTCGGGCATTTGGGATTCTGGAATAAAAAGTAATATGAAAAAGAAGAGGCCACTGTATGTGTATCTGCCGTAATTTTTAAATAAAGGGACAACATCCATCTCAATTGAAGCAGACACGATCAAAACCAAGTCCCTTTATAGGTACGGTCACCTTACTTCGCCGCATTTTTCTCCATTTAATTATCTGTACTGGGTGATGTTTACCGTCCTCTTTGCATAGCCTGGTCACGTGATAACATCTGGACCAATGACGGAGCAACCTCTGCGCTCTTGTGCGCGTCAGAGTGGCATTACTCTCTGGGAACCAGTATCTCCTTTTTTCAGTCTCTGGGCTTTTTAAAAAAGAGCCAGAAGCCTCAATGTTGGATGCCGTGCTATGACAACGTCACTGCTCCTCCGTCCTCGCTGGGTCGACCCGTCGGTGATGTTCCTCTACGACAACGGCGGCGGTTCCGATGAAGTGAGCAAGAACATGGAGGGTTTTGCTGGTGGCAACTTTGCTGCGAACCAGTGTAGGAATCTGATGGCGCACCCCGCGTCCCTGGCACCCAGCACGGCTTACTCGTCCAGCGACGTGCCCACCTCCGGTATGGGCGAGCCAGTGAAACAGTGCAGCCCTTGCTCTGCAGCTCAGAATTCATCCAGCGCGTCCCTGCCATATGGGTACTTCGGTAGTGGCTATTACCCGTGCAGAATGTCGCATCACAGCAGCATAAAGTCGTGCGGAGCGCAGCCCCCCTCCGTGTACGGAGAGAAATACATGGACACGTCCGCCTCGGGCGACGACTTCACTTCTCGAGCAAAGGAATTCGCTTTTTATCCGACATACCCTTCAGGTCCATACCAACCTGTTCCCAGTTACCTGGACGTTCCTGTGGTGCCAACTATCGGTGCGCCGTCAGACGCCAGACATGAGTCCCTGCTGCCTATGGAGAGCTACCAACCGTGGACTCTCGCCGCCAACGGCTGGAATGGCCAGGTTTACTGCGCCAAGGAGCAGCCCCAGCCTGGACACATGTGGAAGTCCTCCATACCAGGTAGGCTCTATCCCTCAGAGTCCAGCCTTCACAGGACAGAGCTGTTTGACAAACAGAAAGCACATTGTACAGAATGGCAGTTGCTGTGTCAACTTGCAGAAGAAAGTACAGTATGATAAATAGGTCACAACAAAATGACTGAAATTTAATTAATGCACGGAATGGAAAAATCTTTAGTTTACATGAAAGAAGTGAAATCACTATGCGCTGAGATTATTTTTTAAATTTCCTTTCCAAAAAAAAAGTAAACATTTTTTTTTATTAATAAACTGTTATTATCACGAAGTTGTTATTTTTCCTTGATTTATGGATATATTATCCTACATAATCCTACAGGAAATCTTCAAATATGTGATATTACTTGAAAGCATGTGGAAATGTGCTGAGATTTTTATTTGTTTGAAGAAAAATATCATTTTGAGAGTGAGGTTGAACCACTTGTTGAGAAGCAGCTTTTAACACCTTCTTTTGTCTCTTTTCTCTCAGACGCGGTGTCCCACGCCGGAGGAGATTCTGTCTCTTATCGACGTGGAAGAAAGAAGCGCGTGCCATACACCAAGGTGCAACTGAAGGAACTCGAGCGCGAGTACGGCGCCAATAAATTTATCACGAAGGACAAAAGGAGGAGGATATCTGCCCAGACGAACCTGTCCGAGAGACAGGTCACGATATGGTTTCAGAACAGACGCGTGAAGGAGAAGAAAGTTGTCAACAAATTGAAAACCATCAGCTAGTTTTGTATTACGGACACTATCTGTGGGAGATAAACTGCCAGGCCTACACACACACACACACACACACACACACATGCTCACGCGCTAGGACTTATGGATTGGAACAACGAAACTCCTTCCTGACTGAACATGATTTATTTGAATGTCTCCAAATGATTTCCCGGAGCTTCTGGAACAAAATTTTCCTCCATTTCCTGCCACTTGTTAAATGTTCCTTACGGAATCAAGCGGGTCGGGGGGGGGGGGGGGGGGTATAAAATATAGCCTATAGCTGCAGAATGTGTGACTTTCTTTTTCTTTTGGCATGCTCACTCTCAACACAACTGACCCCAGCTCAGAAAGACGTGCGCCACCGAGCTACGCCTTTATCTGCAAGTTTAACGAGAGTGATAAATGCGAAGATTCACAGGAAGTGACGGTGATTCGGATTTGGACCTTGGGAATGTTAAATATTAATCTTTCCTGGTTTCTTTTAAAAACCTACTCACATGCTTAGCTTGTATGAAGTTTAGTCTTATCATATGAACCCGTGCTCTCATTCGTATCACATCCATGGTGCAATTCTTATTATTATAATGCTTAGATAATCGTTCGGGATATGTCTTCATATCAATTATAGCTTTTATAATGTCTGCGTATTCATGTGGTTGTATATAAAGTAAATTTCGGCATGATATCCAGGTTGTTTGTGTTCGTGAGTCCAGTATGTCGGTATTAAAGTCCGTCCCAATAAAATATGGACTTGGTTTTTTATCCATATTATGTTGAAAATGGATCAGATTCATCGCACGAGACCCTGATGATAGCTCAGTTTATATATATATATATTACATTCAACCTCTTGTCAAAAAAAATGCTCTTCTATGATCCCAACACTTTAAAAAACAATTTAAGGCCCATTTTCCTGCTGCATGTTACACATTAGTTTTCAATGGAGAAGAATTTCTTGTAGTGGCTTTGCAAACAGCTTTCTTTATCCACTAATACAAATATGCTATACAAATTCTGTTTTGAAATCCAAATATTTGCAATGTGTAGTATTGCCCTGTTTGGCTCTGGAAAAAGAGGAAATAAGTCAGATGGGCCTTGTCTGTTCTGGAAAATAGTCTGGCATCGCCATCTAGCGACGACTTTGTGACATACTCAAGTGGATTATCAGGATTATCACTGGTCCTATACAGAGTTTGAAGGCCTACTTCTTCTTCTTCTTCTACTACTACTAGTACTACTGCTACTACTAATAATAGCAGTAAATTATTGTTATTATTATTCATTTCATTCTATAGCCTAATAGATAGTTGCCTTAATATTTTGACCGAGACAGCAGCCCTAATAGTCTAAACAAATGCAGGTGGAAAGCGCTGGAAAACTTTTAATAATTAAGATGTATAAACCACTGCAAAGGAAAAAAGACTATTACTCACTATTTTGTGTGTGTGACTGTAAAATTAAAACAATCGCTGAAGTAACAAAATTATAGCAAGGGCATTTAAAGTTGAAGGGCATTGAGGTAAACGTGTCATTTTCTCCCCAAGTGTGTTTCTTAGTGCTTTTGTTTTATTCATAAATATGTTAAAGGTAAAATCCATACGTTCAAGGTTACTTTTCAACTGCGTGTCACACTTTTGATAAATTCAAATATTAACGTTGCCTTTATGCGTTGTGTTTACTGATATGCAGCTACTTTACTCGTACAACTTTGCATATGCATACATATATATATATATATATATATATACATATACACACACACAAATTTATGAACATTCAACCGCGTTATTTATTTGTCTCCTCTAAGCTTTTTAAATACATAGGCCTATGTGTATGTAGGCTATACAAAGGAGTCCCTTTGTCTCTTTGATTCTAGTTTGACCATTTCTGTAGGCTTCCCGTGATTGCTGCATTAATCAGAAATAAGAAAATTACTCTGGGTCACTGTATTTAACATTTTTCTATATGGTTTGAATTTAATTGATTGATTAAATTTGGTGCATTTTCTAAAGGATACATGGACATGTTTTGCTTGAAAATGCGTCACTTTCTTAAATAAAATATAGGAAAATATTGGTAGGCCACTAAATGAGGTGAACTGCAGTTTTCATTTAAGGGAATTCAATTCAATTGAATTGATTTTAACGTTCGCTGTTAGCAGTTTGGTGGTGTGGAAAAGACGGCACGTACTGAACGTATTTGGGCCACTTCGTCCCCGGTCACGCGCTTATCGTCCGTCGTTCACTGTCGATAATAACGTGGTAGCGTATAGAATGTGAATATTTACTTTTTGTTCTAAAATAATTTATTTTTGATTGACTAGGTTGTAATGCAGCAGCAGCAAAAATAACAAAAAAAACAACAACCCAACATCCCAGTGTGCTTGGTTTGGCTGCATTAATGACTATGATTCAATCTTACTGGCAGTCAAATGTCAGGCATGAAACCAAATCCCTCCTTATTCACAGCTCCAGCTCCTCCGGCTGTCTTTCCCACCTGTTTGGCAGATTTACGTGGTGATATAACTGTTTTAGCCCGTTTAGTGAAATGTAATGGCTTTATGCATTAGATGTTCTCACAATAATTTCAAGCACAACGGCCTGTTGGTTTCTGTCGTAAATTGGGTTAGGCCTAGATATTTTAATAATACTATTTTTAAAACTTCTACCAATAATTATATCTATATAAACATAGGCATACGTGTTACACTCATACATAAGGTGTGTGTGTGCGGAAAAAAAAAGAAAAATAAAATAAAGGCTATATATTATAGGATATCTAAAATTGTTTTTATTCTGAGAGTCCTTATCCGGAACCTGGGTGCTAAATTATTCTGTTATAAGTATTATTGTTAAATGTTAGTATTATTAGCAGGCCTTTAAGTAGTAGTCATATCAATAGTAGCTGTGTTATTGGTCGTAGAGGTGGTGATAATTAATGATGCTGTTGTCAGTTGTAGATATAGGCCTACATTGTCTATTATTTCCCACTACACTTAAGTTTTTATTAATTGTATATTTATTTTTGACGTCTAATATCTCATCTTAATGGGTTAACATTTCGAAGCACATTCTTAATGAGAGTTTCATGCAGGCCTCATAATTTATAGAACTGAAGAAGCCCCTTGAATAAGAGGCGAAACGTCTTCATGTGTCTTCAGCGAAGTCCAGTTGCCCTTGTTTTAACTTCCCCTGAATAATTATGACCTGATGAATATTCACAAACATATTCATGGTTTGTTTCACGGTTTTGTGAAAAAAACTTCAAATACTCAGTAGCCTAAACAAACACTGATTCTGGGTTATTTACAGTCAACCTAAGGCTGGCCCTGCAGAGTATTTTTTAAATAGTAGCCTAGTAGTCTGATATCTTGTGCTGATTTGCGCATGACCAGCAGGCTGGGAGAAACAAACAGCAGACAAATGTGAGAGACTATACTGTCTCACATTTGTCTGGTGTTTATACGTCCACGACCACAGAATGCACCGTTGCCATTCTCCCAAGTCCTCTGACGCGTTATAAATACAATAAGCTCAGAGATGGGAGAAATGAGCGACGTCTGACTGCGCCGTGCATCCTGTAGTCCAAAAATACAGAAGAGCGGAAGTGGACTGCAGTGACGTCACTGGCGCGGCAGCTCATTGGCTGCGAGGGAGCACGTCCGCGTCTTATTGGCTTGCAGAGAACCACAACAAAGCCCACAAGTCCCGCCTCCAAGCAGGGGCATAACGTGACAGTCCAAAGCTCACAGCACAACGCTCCGCCTCCCTCCCTTCTCGCAGGAGCCCTCTTTAATGGGACAGCCCAAGGACTGTGGCAGGAAAACAGAGGAGGCTGGACTGCATCCTTGTGCAATACTTGAGTTCTGCTGCCACACTAAGGCAAAAGAGTGAATCACAGTTAATTTCAGATAGACATGGAGTCCCATGTTTCATTCACAAATAAGTGAAGAAAGTGAAGTAAGAATGAAATTATTGTCTGTTAAGTGCACTCTCAAACAACACATCGACTATTTTAAAGCCTGTGACGTTTTAGTATTCAGTGCCATGTTACACGAACAGTGAAAAATAGCCTCTTTCAAGATATTTTTTTTTAGTCAAATTATTCGAAACGGCTATTTTGCATCATCAGAGATAATCTGTAGGATATAATTAAGGCAGAAACTCTGTATTATGGAACAAACACATAACTTATGAGGTTTTCTGATCAGTGCATTGGTCTAATTCACCACATATCCCATAAGCAGCACGGTCTGTCTCTCGCCTGCCTGTCCGACCTGGTTGAACACAGACGGGGCCAACACTAGGCAATGCTCTTTACATTGACCTTCGCTGCCTCTGTCTATAATGGAGGCGAGGTCAGCAATATAGCTCTGGTCAAGCTTGAAAGCACGAGTTTGGAAGGTAATCTCGTAATACACCACAGAGACCTGAACAGGCATAAGATTATCCAAGGCCGTGACAGCGGTCAAATGGAAGCACTTGACCGAGATTATGTGAAAGCCATGTCCCAGTCGGCGCCTTATTCCTCCACAGACAGGCTTTTCCCGTCCTGATGCCTGCGTAGATCATCTTCTTTAGTTTGAAATATAAATGCCAAATAATTTACTGTGCTCCTTCATGTAGGTTGTATGGCCCAAGTGTTTTTTTGTTTTTTTTTAAATGACGATAGCGAGCATCAACGGATTACATTGAATCTATTCAGTGTGTTTGCTTCGCTTGGCTTCTGTTTGCGAAACACATTAAGTGAATTCCCTCAAAACAAAATACATATTTCACGTTAATTATAATCAAAGAATAGGCCTACACTTAGCTTGCAAATGATAATAGATAATAAGGCCGATTTCTGCAGCACTCTTTTATTTATCTTTATCTTTAATTGGTTATGGAAAAGTGCTTACAAAAAGCGATTAGGCTACTGAAATCTGTCTCTTTTAAAAATGTAAAGCATGAACCGATGCTTCATATTCGCAGGTACTTCAGACAGTATTCAGAGTTCTTGTTTTAATCCTAAATAAATTAATGTAAGAGCCAATGGTAAGAGTTTTACATAGTTTAGTCTTCTTACCAAGTAAAATAGACTTTTTGATTGAACTACACGATTTAAAAAAGAGAGATAGTAGAAGCAGTTATTGTATGATAATTTGGTGGCCACGATCATTAACAGCCAGGATCCGCAGGCTACATAAAAGGCAAGTGTAGTCATTTAATCCAGCGGCAACGTTTTCTTGATGTCAACTGAATAAACCTGACTACCATGAGATAGAATATGCCTAGAACCTATTTGATATAAATACTAGTTGAGACAGACTATATCTGCTGTCTGTGGCCGTTAACTGAAAATTTCACATTTGGAACAAACAAACAAAAAACGCAATGGCATCTAAATGTCAGATTAAACTAGACTGTGAGGGTTGGGTTAGTTTGACTTGCACATTTCAAAACGGCACGTTAGCATCGACGACTTTTAAATATTCTAATTCATTGTGGGAGATCACGTCCAAAGGCAGATGCAAATGCTGAAATACAACCAAACATATAATATAGGCTATTTTACGCCTAAGTCAAAGCATCCAAGGGAATAAAAAAGAAAAGAAAAAATGTCTACTGATCACCAGACTCAATCCGACTTTATTAAATGTATTAGATGTTTCAATTTTTGAGCATGCGCACACATTTTGAAGACTGAAATGAAAGTGGAAATTAATTTTCTAAACTTCTGACTGTTGTTTTGTGCTACGATCCCCCAGGCCACAAATAGCAAGTGCGCAATTAAGATAAGAGGCTAAGCCTGTTGCAAAAGCCTAGTTTGTATCCCTGCATCACAAATTGCGACTTATTTCTGTCTTTCACATTCTATCTCTATTTTTACTTTACAAAAGGTAATTTATTTCCTCCAAAGAAGTCCAGTTTATGTCCTTTTGTCCTGCTCCTGCTGACGCCTCGTTTCCCAGGATAAACTCTGCAGGCTAATCCAGCATCGTGAGTCTCCGCCGGTTTGCCAGAGGTGCTCCAGTTGACCATGGAGTTGGTCAGTTTCCCTGCATGGTCCCTGTGTGGTCCACCCGGCACCTCTGTCGTCGCCATCGCTGTCGGCCGACATTTCTGTCACCTGTGGATAAATCAACAGTTGTTCGCCGAATCAGGTTCTAATTTACTCACATATTCCTGCTCGTTCATTTGTAGGCAACTAAGTGCAAGTCCGATTGTTTCATGTTTTAGTCTGACGGTTTTATAATCCCCCCATGCAACCCCAGGCTCGTATCAGTGTAGCCAGCAACATAACAGCTGAGCCAAGACCATGCGCCACTCAAGTTCAAAAACACGTTTGTGGAGAAAGTCAATGTTTAAACATACAAAGGAGAAGAAAGTGAACACGTATATTTATATTTTTAATGAATGTTTTGTCTGAAAAATATAAATGCATTGATTAGCTCAGCCTAGTTTTGGCTATGAGACCACTGATTTGTCTTACTTTTCGCAAACCTCCATGTTTCGTTAAGTTGTATTTTGGGACCTTTAAATGCATCTATAAGACTGTGAATTAAAAGGCCGCAGTTGGCACCAGTCTTCTTTTTGTATAATCACACTGTACCTTTTCGGCCTCCTGCTCAGCACACTTCACTAGAGATGGTGTTTTCATTTAGAGCTTATAGAATATAGTCAATGGATGCTTTGAGGCGCAGGTGGGGTGGCCCTTCTTTCTACCACAAAATGAAGACAACAAAACAGCCTGTACTAAAGCTCTGGGGCTTTTCATTTCTCTGCAAGACTTAAACTACAGGAGGTTTCTTTGCAAGACACTGAGGGCGCCAAACTGTACTGTCAGTTCCACCCCAGACTTGATTGTTTACTTGTTGTCTAACAAGGTTTTATGGCATGTGGATTGGGCTATCTGTACGTTGCTTTCTTTTCCCGACAAAACCACTGCGGTTCTATCACTCCAGGAAGGGATTTACACTTCATTTAAAGTTAAATAGGTTGCGTCGATATCTGTGAAATCATATTATAGTGAGCTTTTAGTGTCTGAATTAATCTAAACATCATAAGCCAATTGTTTGTGTGCGTGCATGTGTGTGTGCGTGTGTGCGTGCGTGCGTGTGTGTGCGCGCACTTAGGTAGAAAGACAGTGCGAAGGACTTAAAGGCCAAGAAAACACTATCCCTGAGTAAATACACTGATTCTGTCTATCTCCATATCAAATCTCTTTCACAGTAATGCATGGCCTGTAATTATGATTATATTTCTATTTGTCCAAAGTCTGCAACAAACTGAATGTTTTCTTTGCATAAGGCGCATTAGGGGAAGTTATTATCAACCAAAGGGGTTTTGATGAGAACAATTCTCCCAAGTACGGTCATGAGTTAGTAACTATTAAGAGATCTGGAGTCAAAATCAAACTTACACCAGATAGTGTATTAGAGGCCTACATCTCATTAAACTCTATTAATGCAAGGTGAAGTTAATTTGACTTTTTCTCGACTTAGCGTTACAGGCTCACATTATCGACCAATCTTGTAACCTTAAGCCTTCCTAAATGCAAAAGCAATTAAAGGAACTCCATCCGGGGCACGGTGGGCCCTTTGCTCTCTGCAGAGGACCCTCTCCCTCCCCCGAACTTGAAGTCGACCGTACAGACAAAGCTTTGGCTTTGAGAGCTTTAACGCAGCGCCAGGCTCTAGTTTTGATGGCCAAATACCGCACAAGGATGGTGAGACGATCAGCAGAACGACCTACTTTAATACAATTGACATTTGACAGAAATGTGGCGTTTAATTTTTAATTATTTTCTCTTTTTTTGGGTAATTGTTTAAATTAATTTAGTCAAATGGTTAACGATACTTGTCTATTGTAAGTAGAAATCTTACCGTAGTTATGTACAGAAATGATATGTTTCTATGTCTTTGAAAATCCTCAGCTGCTGACTTTGAGTCCGTGTAGGTGGCGACTTCCTATCACGCTTGACCAGTTTTGTGGTGTCTGTCTGTCAGGGGGAAAAAAAGGCGCAGCAGAATACTATAGCAGCTATAAAAACGCAGGTCTGTGTAGAGCTGGCTTTGGTTTTCCTGTGCATCCTGTGCTCAATTACAGCGTAAAAGCTTCAGCACAACTCGTAGAATTTGTCTGGATTGACTAAGAGGCGGAGCGTGTGGTCTCAAAGACACTCCAGTTGTTTGTGCCCCTGCAATTTATCCATATAAAACGGCCTGCAAGCAGGACGGTGGATAGCACAGATTGCATGTTTTTTGAGTGTTTTGGTACACTCACGGGGCATTACTTGTTGCTTGCACCGTCTTAAGTGTGTGATATTTTAAGGTTGTGTTTCACATGTAGGCCTTCCATCAGGAGCCCCTTGGATCCCCAATGTGCACATCGGGCTGTGGGTCCAGGCAAGCCGCGGCGGTCTTAATCCGAGCTCAGGTCTCTTATTCACAGCACATTAGAGTCAGGTTGCAGCCTGTCCAAAACAAGCTCCACGGTGGCCTCAGAGCAGAGAGCAAGGGAATGTGCACAGGGACATATTTACCAAATTCCTGCATTTCAAAAGATACTGAGAACTATCTTCATTGGAAAATAAACCTTTAAACTAAAAATATTTGCGTAGTCTTGTATGGCAATTTATAGACCGTGGATATTTTAATTATTCACAATTAGAATTTTAAATTAAATTTAAAAATGTTGCTTGTATATTTCGGACTATCACTGTATTTTTGATTTTTTAAATCCTGCGCAACATGAACCCTTTAGAAACAATGCTTGCCCCTCTGGTTTTGCGTGCATGTTGATGGGTTTTACGCAATGTATGCATATACCCGTCATGGGAATAAATAGAACAAAATAGGCATCTGATGGAAATTATTATTCATCAGCACATAAACGTGTCTTGTGAAATTTTGGAAGCTGTCTTCTTACCGAACGACGCACAGTTGAATAAGTATTTGCACCAACACATTAAGAAATAGCCGTGCGTAAAAGTGCAGCAGGCTTGAATGTTGAGCCATTTGGAGCTGTTAGTGGATCTATTGCATGTAAATATGAATCAAAACAGAGCAGAAAGACGAGGATCATTCAAAAATGTAGTTTTATAATAATAAAGAGCTTTTAGCGTTTCACTGTTGAAGAAGCAAGAATATGTTCATGATTGTAGGCGAGCCTCCGGTCTTTTCTGAGACGTACATGTCGGCTTCGTCTATTGTTAGTCACAAATAAATACCATATTACAATAATAAAATGTATTTATTATTATGTATTATCTCAACACAATTAAAAATACCTGTTCATTTTTTGCACGATTTCACAGAACAAAGTTCATTTTTTGCCTTAAATGTGTATTCTATGACACCATATCCTTTATTTATTTCTTCAACATTTCAGTCTGGTCTTTGTTATACTGGTGCTAACACAAGGCTGTAGCCAGCTGAAACATTAGCCGCTACTTTGAACATGACCCTGATAACCAAATGCCCACTGGGCCAAATGCTACGTTGTAAAACCACCAAATGATGATGACTAAGACATTTCTAAAAGCAGACTTTAGAGATAAGCTGGTGGTGTCCTTCCTCCAATTCAGGTCCATGTTATCTATGCACAGTAATACTGGTTTAGTTAATGTTGGTGTCAGGTATGGCTCTGGAAAATTGGCTGGGAGAAACCTGTTTATTTTTTTTACTCATTTTACATGTAACTTCAGAACGTGGAGAATCAGAAAAGCTTAAAACACGCGCACATATTGTTTTCAGGGCAATCTGAGGGTGGAAAAGCACAGAACATCTGGGAAATTGATAACTATATTTTGGTTAAAGCTTCGATGGAAATCTCTCTTCTAACAGCCAGCATCAGAGAATAGTTATCTCTTCATCTGCCTTCGTTGCATGCTAAAGAATTAAATTTTATGCCAACATGGCGATAAACAACCAATGTCAAGACTTAGGACACATAGCAGTCATGTATCTTACACTCTTACACACACTCTTTCTCTTTCCCACACACAGACACACGCGCGCGCGCACGCAGGCACGCACACACATATACGCAGCCTGAAAATCTGTCAATTTCTGCGGTGTAGTCACGTGACCTCCTCCTCCGTGGAGTGGACGGAGATGGCTCTCCACGTCAGCTTACGTCTCCAAATTTCTGCTTAGCGAACCTGCTTCAAAGAGGCAGGAGGCACGGCGCTTCAGAGCCATGTTCAGGGCGGTTATAGACGAATCAAACCCCAACATAGAGTTATAGTAGAGGGTGAACTACGATGATGGATTTTGACGAAAGGGTCCCCGTCGGATCGAACATGTATTTACCCAGTTGCACTTATTACGTATCGGCGGGGGCTGATTTCTCCGGTCTACCCTCGTTTTTATCCCAGACCCCGTCCACCCGCCCCATGACATACTCCTACTCCTCTAACCTGCCGCAAGTCCAACCCGTCAGAGAGGTGACGTTCAGGGACTATGCAGCCATTGACGCGTCCGGTAAATGGCCGCACAGGGGCAACTTGCCCCAGTGCTACCCCAGCGCGGAGGACATGGTGCACCGGGACTGTCTGTCGGCGCAAACTGCCGTCGTAGGGGACATGTTCGGTAAAAACAGCCCCGCAGCCGCAGCCGCCGCGTACCACCACCACCACCACCACCACCATACGGGCACAGGCTCCGCTGCCACCAATTTCTACGGGAACGTGGGCAGAAATGGCGTCCTGCCACAAGCCTTCGATCAGTTTTACGAGACGGCGTACGGGAATGCGTCGGAGAGCTCCTCGACAAATGGCTACTCAGGGGACAAAACACCGACCAAACAGCCCAGCTCTGCGCCGGAGGACGCGCCGTCGTGCAGGGATACCGAGGCGAAGGAGCAGCGGGATGAGAGGAGCAGCCCGGAGTTATCTTCCGGCAACAATGAGGAGAAATCCAGCAGCAGCAGTACGTATTAAAGTCAGCGCCTAGGTTATGAGAGAAAGTTTGCAATCTTGCGCGCTGCTGTTAAAATTTTTATATGCTGTTTTATAAGCATATAAGGTTTATAGAGGGCCTGTAGACCCCCCCACCCCCCAACAAAACTTTGTTATAAACTGCAGGATCACGTGTTTGGAATTGAAATTGGCCGTGAAAGACATCAGGCCAGTGATTTTTCTATCACACTCCCTGACGTTTCCAAAAAACACCCAGATATGAATGTGAATTCCAAAGACAGACCTGCATTAATTCCATGTTATAAACATGCCTGTTTCACGGGTTCTTAGCGTTAAAAGAGCACTTGCATGTAATTAGGGTGGTTTAAGGTTTAGCACACACGAGCTCTTGTGTTAAAGCTATCATGGACTTTGTACATTTCCCCTTTTGTGTTCTATAAAACCAAACCAATATGTTCATATAAACTGTCTCATGCAGTACGGTCTCCTTTTTCTTTAGCTATTATTATTAATTATTGCGCATATTTAAAAGTGAGCTTGTTGTTTTCATTTGCTAGGAAAGGTCAAAGCCCAAGTGTATTATTATCCAGCGAACCTATGGTTTAGTAATCTTGTCAGTGTGATATAATATCACTACACTTGAAATGTTGAAATGGGGAATATGTTATTAATGCAGAGGAAATCCGCCCATACCTAATCTGGGCAACGTCCAGGGCTTATAAATCTTTTTTTTGTAACATAGTCATGGCTAATTTGAAATGTTTATATTATTCTGTGACCGGTGTACTTGTCTTTTTGTGCCTTCCAGATGGACAGAGGACCCGCAAGAAAAGGTGCCCTTATTCCAAATATCAGATCAGAGAACTTGAAAGAGAATTCTTTTTCAGTGTATACATTAACAAGGAGAAACGCCTGCAACTGTCTCGGATGCTCAACCTCACCGACCGACAAGTGAAGATTTGGTTTCAAAACCGTCGCATGAAGGAGAAGAAACTGAACAGAGATAGATTACAATATTATACGTCTAACCCCCTACTTTAGGGGTCAAAATCAGCACCGTCACAGCCTCCAAGGTCCTCTGCTGTGGGGCTGACTGCGTTTACAGACAGACTGACTCTCCGGCTGTGACTTTCCAAGTGTACATTGTGTACCACAATGGCCGCGACTGCAGCAGCTACACTGCTCAATGGTTAATTTCAAGTTCGAGGACAACAGTCTCCTGTGATCAGAGTTGCCTCAAGAGTGAGCATGAATTAACAGTCTGTGGACTTTGATCCCGCTCTTCAAACTCTTTATTGGGAAAAATGTAGAAAAGGATTTTTGTCCTAGCCAGGACTGTGTGCTTGCGAGGGCCCATGTTGATATCATTGTGACTCACAGACGCCTTGTTTATTTTTCCTTTCTCTTGGGCAAAAATTAGGAGTCACCAATTGACTGACCCCATGTATTCTTTAATCAACGATTTTATTTTATTCGCGTTTTTCTGTTTTTAAAATCAGAAAAGTGGTGGATTTAGGATGATGGCGACTTTAAAAACTGAATCTATATTGGTGTGACCAAATATTGAGTCCGAACGGATGAGAATGTAATGTGTTTCTGTTTTGTGTGCTTATTTATTTTGTAGCCACTCGTTCACTATCTCGTTTTCATGTCACGGCTAACCAAGTCAAAGTCCATTATTACAGGCGGGCTTTTGGGATTCCGTGTTCAGTCTGGGCTGACCTCAAAACGAGCTCTTGGCGTCTTTTCCTGTAGCCTGCAGAATGAGGGCTATAAGTATTTATATTTTGCGTATCTTTCAATACCTTAACCCATGTTGTCCCTTTCGATTTTTGGAGACTATCAGTCCAGTATTGATGATGCAGGCCAAACCAGAAAGATAAGCTTATCTACTGGATCCGTGTGGAGTTGCACTGAGGTACACGCCCAACATATTCACACAGGTATATATGCAGCGGGCCTCCTCGGTCTCATATTGATACGCATAACAGAATATTTTTCTCATGACTCTCTTTTGGTGCTTGCTGTCTAAAGAACATATAAAGCAACATTTTCAAGTGTGCTGTCAGGGCAAGGCTGGTCAGGGTCATTGCATTGAATCAATTGCTTGGTATGCCCAAACTATTGTGTATTATACTATATTTCCAAATAAAAAAAAACAACAAAAACAAATGACAAGATTATTGAAAAAAATAATCTATTTCTGCGTGGTCATTCTGTCTTTTCACAAGCTCTTCTTTTTAAAATTATAGCTATGGAACACATTTGGTGAATACAAATAGGCACAAGTGAAACATTTTAAGCACGCAAAATCAACACAGTACGCTCACACTGATTGCAGTAGAATTATCACAATGGGAGCAATGGTATAGCAAACATTGGTGTAGTGTGTAAAAAAATACACACAGAGTGCAGCAGACCTGAGGGCTCTCATGCAAATTTTGAACCGTCCAACCTTATGGAGAGACACACAGACACACTACCTGATGCAAATAGAACCTGTTTAGTAACAAATAAAGTAATGAAATTACCGATTCTTGTTGGATGTTATCAAATTATCTTAAATCTTTAATTATGGGTTTCCATGGATCAAATTTAGATATAAACTGATAAGGAATGTCATTATTGTTAGATATACACTGATAAGGTATGTCATTATTGTGATCTTAAATTATGTTTGTGCTGTTTTGCAATTGTTTTGAACCATTTCTCGATATTTTTTTTAGCAACATACGATATTTTACAACTTTTGCATTCCATCTCAAGGAAAATATTTGTTATTGAACCACTGTGGATAGGTTGTAGGTCCACCTCCTTAAAATTTACTGTTGCCAAACACTCGCCATTTCACCGTGCACACATTCGTTTCTCACTATGTCTCCCTCTCACTGAAGTCTGTTTGTGCGTAAGCTGTCATTTCGCTGATTGGCTTTGGAAACACTGTTCCAACAGCAGTCTCCTTTGGCGAGGGTCGCCATATTTGCTGTTGTTATCACTGTGTTTATGGGAGCTAGCCGCAGCGCATTGGCGTTCATATATGACAGTCAAAAGGGCCATAAACGCGGGGAGAGAGGCTGAAGTTTATGGTTGCCTCTCTCTGCCATAGTCCGGCCTTGCCTTGCGCATCCTTTACTGCGCGCTGGAATTCCGTCCCTAATTACGGGACATCCTCCCCGTTGCCGAGGCAACGCGGCCATAAAAGCTGTCTGAGAGTCTGGAGCATTTGTACAATTGGAGTGCAGTGTAATAAACCGTCTGAGACCCAAGGTTATTAACTGTGTTACCAAGGAGGCGAGAGCAACGACAGGGAGAGGACGGATAGGAGAAGCCTCTGCTTGCATCGACTTCATTTGAGAGGCTTTTCCCCCTCGTGTGGTTTATCCACCTCGAAACAGTTTAGTGGCAACGGCTGCACTGAGGATAAGACGCTCCTCTACCACCGAGCGGCGCTGTTGGGACCAATGTCACGGCCGTGGATCTTTTCTGCAAGCTCACCTCGAATGCGCGCAGGTAAAAGTTGTCGTCAACACAGTCTGGAGCTCGAATAGTTTCCTTTGTCACAAGAACAGACTCTTTGTATGTTCAGCCCTTGGATTCCTCTCTTGCATGCGAGGCCTGCTAGTCTGAGATAGGAGCCGTTTTGAGTTTTACTTTCCACATTTCTCTCTGGTGCTCACTGGGCGTTCGGTAGAGAAAGTCTTCCTGGGGGCCCTAATAAGGCAACACATCTGTGCCAAGCCTTCATGCTGCATGTGCTACTCATTTTGCTGAGCTTCAGCTTTTTAATGGTTGAAGTATAGCATGGCCGGCTTGTACCTGGAGAGATCTGCAGTCCCGTCTAGTCTAACCACAAATGTTTTGGATTTGGGAAAGGTCTGCTTTAATTATGATACAGCAGTAAGCAATGGGTGCTTGGATACAAAACAAATGATTTAATTTTTCAGATGGTTCTCGTGCTAATGCGGCTCATCTTAAATCACAGCAGCTGGCTTGTATCTCATTCTTCTTCTTCGTCTTCCTCTTCAAATAATCCTCTAACAACATTTGACGTCCTTCCAAATCGCATTATTCTCTGTACGTGCCAAGTGTACAAACAGCGCTATTAGAAGAGTCGATTCAGTGGTGATAGGGCAGCAATCGCGTCTCCCTTTCCTTCCTGTCATGGACACGGAGCTACACTTTCAGGCTATCAGTGTCAGTCCAAGTGGCGAGTGGCTATTCTGGACCTGAATGCGTGTGGACTCTTTCTCCTTTGTCTCTCGTGAAAAATAAATGCTTCCGCTGGATGTAATAAAACGCCGCATTATTGTCCATAACTGCACTCGGGATGAACATGATACGACTCAAACGGCCTCTTCGGCCACGATTATATGGGCCGGATCAAAGCCAGTGGGCAGAGTAAACTGTTTTGAGGATATAATAGCCGGGCAGCTGTGAAAATGAAGATTTAATAGCTACAATTAATAACTGTAACACAAAGATATCGATAGGCCCCCATGCCAGTACAACACCACGAAGTGTGCAGGCCAAAACAATTTAATACTGGGCACACATAATTAATTGATGTATTTAGTTTCCTTACTGGCTCATGTGTCCCGTAAGGAACAGGCTGTGGGGAAGAGTACACATGCTTTGGACCTAGTGCTGTTAGTGTGTTTCTATTTAGAAGTTTTCATGTTTTAGGGAATTATTTTGTTTTTTGGGGAAGCTAGGCGTACCGCCACCGTCTTTAAAAATCCCGCACTACAGAAAATTCTTTTTGCTTATATTGCTATATTTTTATAATACATATTTTTCTTTTGGAATATAATATTGTATTATATTAACATGCACATAAATAACCTTCAACCAACTTCCAGTCATTTAAGTCATTTGAAATATGTACGTTTTGAGCAGGAGGGAGTGACAAATGTCCGCCGTCGACGCGCTAAAAAAATCTAAGCCAGTGTACATAAATGAGCTGTCAATGACATAGCGTTTGAAAACATAAATGGGCTCAATTTATGAAATTCTCCTAAATGTCCACATTTCAGTACAACAGGCTGCAAACAAACCCGGGGGGCTAGAGCCCACCTGGGCCTGGTAATGGCAAAGCTGGCCGAGATTAACTTCAACCTGGGGAGAGCAATAGAGTGCACAGGGCCAAGGACACTACGAGATGGAAGGAGAGTTTTATTGTGGCCCTTATTGCCCCAAATTGGACCGACAGGATGACTTGTATGTGCAACCTTTATGTCTGCTTTACTGTAGCACATTGTGCCTGTTACCTCACAACGCTGTGATCAATATTTTGGCAGTTTAACAAATTTGAATTTTTACACTGATATACACAGTTTGGATTTGTTGATGTTTATAACAAGGGCAACAACAAAACTATATTTGGGTTCTCATAGCTTTTGAACGAATGTTTAATCTTTTTTGTGTGTTGTGCGTAATAACTACTTAGGTACAGATGATCCTAAATTAGTGATTCGTATTATTAATATAAATCTGAATTTCAAATAGATATATGAAAATAGTTTTATGTTTTAATGTGAAATGTAAAATTATATGCGCCTAAGCTTCATTAAGAAAAACCAGCGCTTTATCCAGGCTCCAGTAAAGGAAGCTATTGTATATCCTGTTACAAATGATATTTTAAGAATTGAATGTTTAAAGGCAGCAGTAAGTGGTCAAGTACTGAGCGCATTTGTTGTATAAAACCTTTTTTGTTACTATAATTTAAAATGCTTTGAATTGTTGGTGGCAGGGAATTGGTTCGCCGTCATTTATGCACCGGGAATTTTTTTTACAAGTCAATATTAGTCCAACATCACTGGCAAAAAAGGCTTTTGTTTGATGTAATATATCATTTTAGGAGTACACCAAAACAGTTATAGATGTAAAGTACTTCAGAGACCTTCCCTGTGGAAAAATAAATAAACGAACCCCCCCCCCCCCCCCCCCCCCCAAAGTAGTAGGCTATATTTGATATTATTCTCTCTATCTCCAGGCAACATTTGTCTTAACAGCGCTTGCTTTTAGTGCGATCGAGTTCAGACTGTGTTTAGGATAAAGGATGTACAAAATGAAAGGGCTTCTTGCCAAGTCATTTCGCCAAAGGCAAATTCTCCCTACAATTAAACATTTTATTACCACTAAGTTCCTATGGGTTTGTTATTGTATGTCTTTGTTGGTGGGGTTCTGCAGCCCGACACCCTTTAACTTAAAGCACCACACTACCTTACAGCAACCTTAATGTTTTCTACCATAATGTAGACCAGTATTTAGAAAAGGAGTTTGGCTTTTTGTTGTTTTATTTTCCCTCCCGCCATTATTACTTCAGCTATAGGTAACTGCAGGGGTTTGAGCTTTTATAAATCGGATGCTCCTTCTGTTTCACTTATTGTTGAGGTTTGTGGTAACTTTTGATTTGCATGTAGTAGCAATCAGTGCTTCTGACATCATTTTGTGGTTTGTACAGTTGAGAAGTGATTTCAAAGCTCGTTTAATTATTAATTTACGAAATTCTGATTTTTAAATATGTGTTGTTAAACTTTGTATCGTGCTGGACCTCGCCCCTTAAACGGGGTGATGGTGGTGCATTAAGGCGAGGTGAGGGAACACACTGATTGCTGTGCCTGTCTCCTTTCTCTGCCTCAGCTCCATGATGGATATCGCTCTAGCTGCTACGTAGCCGCGGAGTGGGAGGGACTGCCCAGCCATTCCAGCATTTCCATTGGTTTTACAGTCCGCTCGGCGGAGAGGGGGGTGCCTCTAATCATATCCAGCATGTTTTGCACAAGAAATGTCAGCCAGAAAGGGCTATCTTCTCCCCTCGCCAAAATACACCACAATGTCATGTTCGGACACTCCGTCAGGAAATGCGTTTTTAGTGGATTCTCTGATCAGTGGCCGCAGCGACAGCGGCGGAGGTCACTACACTGGGAGCGCGGTGTGTGTGCCCCATAGCACCGCTACAGACGTGCCTTACGGACTACACAACTATGGATACTTCCCAGGTATGGGTAAGCGCAGCGAGGTGCCCCCCCAAAACATGGTTTCCGCCTCAGGCGCGTACATGTCCAGCATGGAAATGTGGATGGACGCGCAGAGGTCATGTCGAATGGACCAAGAGCACCCGGTGGGTCCCCAGGTCGCGCCCTGCTCGTTCCCGCAAAACATTAAGGAAGAGAGCACCTACTGCTTGTATGAGCAGCCGAAGTGCCCTAAAGCCTCCACTGCTGAAGATCTTACATATTCGAGGTTAACAGCAGCCGGCCTCGGCTCGAGTTCTTGTACAGTTACCGATGGCGGTGGTGTGGGCTCTGTGCCTGTGCCGGGCTACTTCCGCTTGTCTCAGACGCACGCACATTCTCATAAACTTTACAACACCAACGGCCCCCAGCCGAACCCTTCCCATTCTCATTTTGGCCTACACCCCACTGCTCCAGCTCGCTTCCACACGCCACCAGCCTCGACTTCTGCTCCAGCCACGGCGCAGGAAGGCAGGAACACCGAGGAGCCCGTGCCCTCTGGAAACGCAGACCTGCAGCCTCACGCTGCTCCGGGTACAGAGGAGGCACCCGAGTCCTCGGATGCAGAACCCTCATCAGCTGACGAGACAGAAGATCACGATAAAGAGAGACCAGCAAAGTCCACTAAAGGTAATCACAGTTCGCCATAGGTGTGGTTCTGCACTGTTTCTTTGCATGCAGCGCAGGTAGAGCAAGGCTTTTTTATTGGCACCTGTCAAGTTGTATTTTACTGGTTAGACTGCAGTGACAAGTCAAGACACGGATATGGAAACTTTGCATTTACATATTGTCTCTAATAATACAAGTTTAAATGCATTAAATGATGTATATGTGCATGAATACGCCCGGCAAGATTATGCGTAAAATTAAACTAAAGATTATAAAACTAAGCTAGATTTGGTTTAATTAAACAATACTATAGTGATATAGAAAATAAGGAATCATTTTTAAATGCACGCAGTAACATACATCCTAAATACTTACAGGCTTAGCTAGTATTTCTTTGAGCGCTGCGTAATAGTAGTTATAGTAAATAGGCCTGCATTAGGGTATGTCTAAATATTTTTCTGTGCCACGATGTCTTCGTTTTTGTCATGAAGAGTAAAAGAATACACTTTACTAACGTATTTACTGGACTGTTGGTGGAAAATGTTACATGCAATGTTATGTAATAATGTCTATTACTGGCATTCCAATCCAAGTCTAACAAAGAAGCTATACTTTATACATAAGACTCTCTCTATAACTGTATATTTGTAATATTTGTGTATAATACAACTATATACGCAAATACACTCCTAGTTACACTCTCTCTCTTTCTAACACACACACACACACACACACACACACACACACACACACACACCACACCACACACACACACACACACCACACACACACACACACACACACACACACACACACACCTCATCATGTTGTAGTGCGTAAAACCATGTATCTGCCATTTTCTTTAGGAGACAAAAAAAGTGAAAACACGGCCAACTGGCTGACAGCAAAAAGCGGCCGGAAGAAACGCTGTCCATACACCAAGCACCAGACACTGGAACTGGAGAAGGAGTTCCTCTTCAACATGTACCTGACCCGAGAGCGCCGCCTAGAGATCAGTAAAAGCGTCCACCTGACGGACAGACAGGTTAAAATCTGGTTCCAGAACCGCAGGATGAAACTGAAGAAAATGACGCGGGAAAACAGGATCCGGGAGCTCACCTCCAACTACGGATTTTCATGATGAACGAGGTGATCACATTGAAATAGAAGAGAATTGGTGAAATAAATGACAACCACCCTTTCTCCAGCACCCCCCCCCCCCCCCCATCTACTCATCTCCTTCCCCCCAGCCCCACAACCACTGCCCCCCCCCCCCCTTCTTCACGTTCTCCACATAATGACTCATTTCACTGTGGGGTTCAACTTTCTTTTATTTGCAGACAGGATCAAAGTCAAAGCATCGTACTCTGTGAGCCATTGAGAAAACACAAGGAAATAACTTGGGTTATATCTGATTGTTTTCCGATGTCGTGTTTTTGTATTGTCGACATGTTTCTGTCACTTCTGTCGTGTGGTTGCATAGTGTCAGTGGAGTTAAATTACCGCAATTAAGAAAACAACAAACCCAAACAGATTGTGCCCTGGAAGGTGGCTTAAATTGTTCACCACTCCACCCCACTGCTGGCAATTAATCTATTTCTAAATTTATTCAAACAAACATGAATTTATTTTATATTAATTGGAATTGCATGGTATATGGTTCCCCTACATTTCTAAAATTAAATTTAACCCACCTGGAATATAATGCCCATGTATCACCAAGGGAAGAAAAATTCCCCTATGATCATTAGATGTAGTCTACCATGATATAGGCCTAATCTACGTATGAGCTAAATGTATAAATTGAATCTTTATTCACATTGAGGACGTTTACACGAAAACGGTGTGCAGAGTGAAGGAGGAATGTTTTTATTGTATATTTCTCTGTACATATGACATTGTGTTTTTGTGTAATGCTTAATAAATTATCAGCTGGCGTTGAGGAGTAGCTGCTTGTATTTTTGTGCCGTGGTTTTATACGATTTTATTGTCGGTTAGATAATTCTACAGACAGCTTTGTTTTGAAATTTAAAATTCAAACTAACATGTGCTCCTCTACGCTACTGGAGATTCCCTATTTATTTATTTTTTGTGAACCAGCTAAGCAACGTTTCTAGCGGCCAATGTAACGACCATCGGAAATAATTAAGATATTAGGCTATAAGCCGTCTAGCTGCATGCCCAGCCGGCTATTGTAGAGTTTTATGACTGGCTGGTATATGAGGTTTCTCCCTCTACTCTAAGAGCTGCTTCAGTCGTGGGAGAGCCTTTCAGACGGAGAGGAGGCCCGGCTCTCAGCTAGAAATCTGAAGTGTACAGATACACTGTGGATAAAACATTACCTTCTGCTTTAGTTTGGGAATAATGGTATTCGTGTATCCAGGATCGGGTAAGTCCATTTATCATTCCGAATTTGTCCATTTTGCGCCTTGTTGCTGCGGCTTCACTACAGAGTGTACACTACAGTTGTACTTTCTCAATGCGGGGGATTTTTGGACACTTGATGAAGGGACCGGCGACCACGGTGTATTATGAATTGGCTGATTGTGTTTCACTTGAGGCCCGGATCGACTGTCGAGTGGTTTAGGTAGTTTCATGTTGTTGGGGTCCATTTCTAACTCTGCAACATGAAACTGTCTTAATTGCCCCAGTTACACACTTCGAAACCAAAAGGAGAGCAAATCAGATACACAAAGATGGTGGGATTTGTTGAAAATTGTAGATAGGTGTTTTTGAAGCATGTTCTAAACCTCTCCGGCTTATAAATTGGGGAGCCGTGACTGGCTGCTGTGTAGCCTATATTCTTAACCTGTCTCCTGTAATGTTTTCTTTAGACTTCTCCACTTGTTTTTACGTCGCTAAAACAGGCCCGAGCTGGCAAGCGTGCTGAATTTAAACGTGATCAAAGATGAACTGCAGTATGCATCGTGGACTTGGGATTAAGGGTAAAGCCGCGAGTGTTTTCCGTGAGTAGTAGTGACGCAGACACGCCAGACAAGGCCTCGGTTACGACCACTGCAGTGGAGGGGAAGGGGAAGGTGAATGGGGCAACAGCGACCTCCGTGGGCGATGAGACCGGATGCTTCCGCTGCGCAATAGTGGCTCAGACAAAAGGAGGGGAAGGGCTTTATGGCGATATTTAGATCCGCCAGACAGGCTGTTATCTGCAGAGGCAAAAGAAGTGAATAGCCCCTGCGGTAAACTGGGTGAAAAAACACCCTGATTTAGGTTTACAGCCTGAGAGCCATTGGCGTGGTGGCGTCTTTTCCTGCTCTAAAGGTGTTTGTCTATTCTAACTTTTAGTGCACAAATAGGCGCACAGACGCTGCCCCCCTCCCTCGGCTTGTTTGATGTCTGTTGGCCAAATAATATGCAAGTTCCAGCGAGGTAATAGCTTGCAATTACAATACACATTATGGGCAGCTTGTGAATTCTATTTTTCTGTGCTTCTCATCTAAATGCAATAGTACTAGCAGAGTGGAGAGAATTCCTGCGTGTTGAGATTTGCCTGTGGCCTTGTGGGGTGTTGGCCAAGCTCTCCGTTTATTTGCTGGTAATAAATAAAACACGCAGCGTAGAGTGTGAGAACTCAAGGTTGCTGCTTTGGGGACGTGATCTGCAATGTGGGGTTTGGTACAGGGGATTATGGACATTGATACACACACAGCCACCACATTTAGTGAAATCCACAATGTGTTTAAGCTATTGAATATTGTCCCACATAAATTCTCAATGTACTGTGATTATTGTGTTGCAGCAATATATTTTCAGCTAAATGCATGTTGTGATTGATTAATTTCAACAAATACACTGTTTACATTTCTGTATGTATTAATTTCTTGTATTGTAGAACACTTCCAGGGCAATTTTCTGAATATTCAGTCCTTTATTTATTTTATTTATTTGTTGAATTGTATAATCTTAATTTACACTATACATACAGTATTTCTGTTATGGTGTTTTCGCCACTCCTCGCAATATTTAATCTCAAAAGGAGGAAACCACAAAAGCCACATGAGGTATATTTTTGGCTCCGTTTAAAGTGTAACGTTATACCGAGGCACTGGCTGCGGTCGGGCATTAGAGTCAATTTGTTGATGGCGGTGATGATGGCAACATGTAGGCCCGTACAAGTGATAACGGCGGTGTAAATAATAAACGGGTCAAACGGCAGGTTAAGCAAGGAGAAGCCGGGGATCCACCACCAGTGTTATTGTGAAAATGTTTAATAAATAATCGGCTATCTTGCTTCAATTCAGTGGGTCAATAAATGCAATATGCACCACGTTTATTCAGTTGTCTTTTTCTCGTTTTTTAATCATGATCTATTATTTATGTTTTCAATTTTGTAACACACACAATTACTTCATATTTTCTAACATCCAGTCACGGGCTATCCATTAGGCTAAATGTTATTTTATTTGTTATATAGACCAACGGTTTTACAACGTAATATAACCAAAAAAGTACTAGTCTTTAATGGCAAATAACAAGACAAACTTGGAAATAAAATAGTCTCCATTCTTTTTTCTTTTTATTAATCTGATTAATCTTTTCCAAATTTTTTCAGAAATATTCTCATGTTTATTTATTACTTTTTCAACTGCAACAAATGTACTAAATTGTGCATTATCTTCGCTAAATTATATAAATGATGTAACGTGGATCATTAGATGTTAGAGATGTAGCCCTAACATATGTACGGTGATGTGTATCCTCGTCCAAACCACGAAATATAATATATAATGTATAAGCGTCATGCTAATGTCTTTAAATCAGTACAGCAACTATTTAAACTAGCTACATGTTAAAGTGATAATAACTGAATTAGTCTAATATTAGCTATGACCCACATACCTTTGGGTGTCTTTGTCAGTTTTGTCTGTAAAATATGTTTGTTGTTTAAAGCTGAAAAGAAGAAAACATGGGGACACTGGAAGATGTCTGACAGCCGAAAAAGAATAAACTAAAAAATAATGTAATTCGTGTGGTTGTTATTTGAGATCCAGTCGTTGTTTCAGCTTTGAGCTACTAAATTTCTTTAATATAATGGTGGTTAAAATGTGTTTTGGTGAGCAGCAATGGGTGCTTACGTGTCCTATAAAGTACCTCGTAAAATAAGGTTTCCAAAAACATATTGTATCGTTTTGGATAACCAAGAAGGGATTTTAACAGCAGCAGTAGGGTAAGATACTGTAAAGGATTTGTTTTTCATCAGTCATTCATATTTTCCATCTCACAGATAACAGATCTAACTCATATCTTGATCATTCTTAGCTTTAAAACTAGAAGTTGTTATGGGAGAGCGGGCGAGTATTTAATGACCAAAGGGATTGATTTATCCTTTATTGTTCAGCCTTTATGATCACGTGTGTCTCTTACCCAATGGCGTGGCACCCTGTCTCCCCGTTACTAGCCCACTGTAGTTCTCTGTGGGGCCAAGTTGCTACTTGATTTCTCCACATTGTTATTTTGTGAGGCTGGGTTTACTGCGTGTGTGTGTGGTGTGTGTGTGTGCGCGTTTTACTGTTTTGCATGTATCTGTTTGTATGACTGCGTACATGTGAACGTCTAATTTTTCTGCCATGTCGACATCCGGAACACTGACTAGTTACTACGTCGATTCCCTCATTCTGCCCGAGAGCGAGGAGCTCTCTGTGCCGAGATATCCCCCCGGCCCAGGGCTCCAACACGGCAGACAGTCCGCCTCCATCAGCGACCACAGCGAGCTTGGTACCTGCACCTTCCCGTCTAAACCTCCGGTGTTCGGGCCGTCATGGAGCCACGTTCCTGCTCAGTTCCCTGGCACAGTTTCCTCTGTGTATCACCACTATGGGCATCCTCAGGGCCCGATCGGTGCAGATACAGATGGCCGCTATCAGTCGTGGTTGCTGGAGCCCATGTCCGGTTCCCTGCCCATGGCCGGATTACCGACGACCCATCACTACGGAATCAAACCGGAGGGTCTGGGGACGCGAGCTGACGGCGCGCTGCCCGGCTCACACACGGCGCTGCTGCTCTCTGATTACGCCAACGGGACGGTGGCGACGGCATCACCGGTGGAAAAGGACGCACTCTCGGGCCAAGCAGGGGACATGAGCGGGGAAGCTGAAGAGAAACCGGGCCTTGATCCAAGTAAGTCGCTGCACGCTCCTTTTATGTTTATAGCCTACTATTTATACTGCATGAAGCTGTGAGGATTGGGGTGCGTGATGGAAGTTTGCGCCTGAACAGATGCCATTCTGAACGTGCCATTTCCTTATGGGAACTGTTAATGGCCCAGCTCCCATTGCTATATTAGATAACCTTTTGCAGCTTTTAAAGTGAATGTGAGCAGAGAGCCGTGAGGTAGAGTTGTTTTTGGTTGTAGCTGCGTGTATTTACATGTGTAGCCATTTCCTTCTCACCAGAATTTCTTTTGGTCTAAGCCAAATTATGAGTGATGTTTTTGTTTTTTTTTACAATTGGTCGCTCGGTACCGGGCCCTTCACACCAGTGTCGCACCCCACTCTTTCCAGATAACCCAGTGTCCAACTGGCTCCACGCGAGTGCCACGAGAAAAAAGCGCTGTCCGTACACCAAGCACCAGATCCTGGAGCTGGAGAAAGAGTTCCTCTTTAACACCTACCTGACCAGGGACCGTAGGTACGAGGTGGCGAGGCTGTTAAACCTCACCGAGAGACAGGTTAAAATCTGGTTCCAGAACCGCAGGATGAAGATGAAGAAGTTTAATAAAGACGGCGCACCGAAAGACGAGTGACTGAACCGAAAAACAGTATTTAGGCTGTTAGCGAGCTTTGTGTGTGGAAGCTCTTTGCTGGACCTTGTTTTTAAACTTCCTTGTCTTATTGTTCTATATAACAGAAGCTATTAAGCTTATGTGTCTTGTAAAAAAAGCATGTTGGGCTTCAGTTTGATGCGACTACCTTTATATTGCACAATTTTAACAGTGCCCACTCGTTCTTTTATTTGTTCTTATGTTGATTTTAAATAATACCTCGTTAAAGTGTATTAGTTGGCCTGGTCCATGTGCTTGTTTGTGTATGGATGTTTCTAGCTGTGTGTGTTCTGGTTTGTAGCTATATTTGTTGTCTATCTCACAGTCACCTGAGCGTATAGTTTGTAAAAACGTATTAATTTTATTGCTGTTTCTCCCTTACTGCTAGAACTATGACTGATGACCATGAGTTTGAATCTAACATCGGAACCGTAGAAAAACAGACTGAACGCATTTCGAAGTATAGGTGCAGAAACCTCAGACACCTCTTGAAAATACTAAATTAAAAGATGTTATATTATATGTTATATATTACGTGACACGGTTGACTACCTATGTCTTTCAACTACCTACAATAACCTATTTTTTTCGATGGCGGATTATAGTTGCTTTGCTTGCATTAGATGCTGAACTATGAATTTCAGGGAGTAACATTTTGAAAGATAATAATGTTAGTGAGAGAAAATAAATAAAACACTGTAGGCTACTTATTGAATACCTCACGGTCTGTTGACCGTCTGACCTTTGGTTCACAAATGTAATTTGTACTTTATTTATTAAATAAAACAAATTATATCTGCGAATGCATGCACGTTAGATTCTTATTTAATGTTGGCCTCGCATCGAAATACATGATTTTATAATAGCTTTTTTTGTTTTTTGTTTATTGGTGCTTCATGGCACTGCCAGAAAATATGGTTACTGTTGTCAACTTGATATCCACACAAACAACATCACACAAGGTACATATACAAACATTTTGGATACTTGATTAAAATATTCTTTACACACACACACACACACACACACACACACACACACACACACACACACACACACATTCTCTCTAATTAAAACGCACACACCTATAGGTGAAAGTCTGTGTGTGTGTGTGTGTGTGTGTGTGTGTGTGTGCGGATTGGGGACAGAGCTGTGTCTTGGCAGAGGATGTTGTTAGCTGTATACATGCCATAAAAGACAATTACCGCTATAACCTTTTATGGGGTGCAAAGCGCTGCGAGGCGAGAGGATACAAAACAAAAAAAAGACATCGGGGCTTCGACAGCTGAAGCTCAAAATAATGCAGCCGATGTATTCAGCTCAGATATGACACGGCCGCTCAGCCTAAAGCCCCATTAGAGCTATCTTGACAGTACCAATTTACATGAATATTTATTTGATAATGTATAATAATGTGAACTCTAACAGAATTTAAAACGCAAAGTGACCTCAGTCAAAACGGTCTAGGTCTTGTGTTAAAATATGGCCCCTGCGTTTGTAAGGCCGGTTCAAGTCTCTGCACGTTGGCGAAAATATTTGACACAAAGACATAGAAAATACGCAGAAGAAGCTAATCCACTGTGATCTTTAGATGCAGAGCTGCTATATCTGATGGTCGACCAGGGTCTAGGCGCGCCTCTGTCACATAACCAGCTCCTTTAGTTCTCATTAAGGGCCGTGCAGAAACTGATTTTTTAGTTAGCAGGCAAGTCGGACTGGAGTGCTGTTGTGACGCGTTAGGGGACGCAGATGGACCCAAACTTCAAAGACTCGACCAGAGACAGTGCAATAAAACGCCTGGTCTGCTATACTGTCTGGCATTCCAGTTTTAATGGCTTTATGGCCGTCCAGACACAATTAGGCCGTTTCCAGAATGGCACCCATTTGTTTTTCCTTCCCTTTCTGTGGGACTGCGCTCTGGACAAAAGGCCTAGCGGAAATGATCAGCTTTATTGGATTCTCCCCGACGGAGACGCGCAGGACTCACGGTCATTTGGAGTGATCCTTTGTTTCTACCTGGGAACCTTCCGCCCTCTGCTCCTTTACTGGGCCCGTCCTAAAGGAGAAGGAGCAATAAACCCAGCAGCTAGTTTCAGACACAGTAGTAGGCCTTTAGCTAGATGATTCTTTTTCAAAATCCATCTGGTCTGCAAAAAGACACCAGCGCTTTGATTAAAATTACAACCGAGGAGACATAACGTTACCTTTTAAGCGTCATTTCTCTTACGTTTGTATTTATTCCCGGATTGCAGCAGAAAGAGAACACGCCTGCGCACTGCTGCCTCCACACACTGCAAACCTTGCATGTCACCAGAGGATGGCGACACTGTTCCACAACATCACCCTAACACTTCTCCCTAATGAACCTGCAATGGGGAACTGAAGTAATGTCCAGCAAAAAATATTTCACACCTTTTTTACAGTCTCAGTGCAAAAGCTGCTTCTACAGCCTGCGGCTCTGCGGGGAAGAATGAAACAGCCAGCAAGGCAGCCAGCAAGGCTGTTTCATTCTTCCCCGTGACTGCTATAGATTACTGCTTTTGGCCACATGTAGCCTTCTGTTCAGGGTTTTTTTCTTCTCAGATGTTTCTATTTAATCATTTTAAATGTATTTAAACTTGTTAAATTGTATTGTTATTAAGGCTAACATGACATCTTAACAGTTTTCCTTTTTGCATTTATGAACCTAGATTATAGCCTAGATTTAAATGTCCAATCTAAGATGTTTTAATTGAAGTTACAATACACAAAACACAATCGGCTGGCTGTGTAGCGCAATTATAAACAACAGTTTTCCATTTTCAATATTGGTTATAGTAATAATTGTTTTGTTTTCCTTCTTCCTCCTATTTTCAGTTTAATTTGCTTTCTTTTATCTTTGTGTGTCTATGCTCAATGCTAAAGTATTGCTATGGTCCATTTAGGTAACATTGTAATATCAGTAAGAAATGTAGGATTATTATTATTATTATTATTATTAGTAGTAGTAGTAGTAGTACTAGTAGTAGTAGTGGTATTATACTTTTGCAAATTAAAAAGGTTTCATTTATTTCCCTGCCAAATTATCACCACAAAAATCACATAGTAAGTGCATAGTATTCAAAACTATCATGTTCAAACATACATGGAAATAAACAGTTTGTTTCTGTACAGCGTGGGTTTTTTGCACTATTGATACTTATATAGAATATACATATATAATCAAAATATTGTCATATATTTACTCGAGATTGTATAGAAGTAACTATATAGACATAGTATTTTTTAAGCAACAAAATCATTTTTAAATAATAGTTCTTATAACCAGTTATCATGCATATTAATGTAGACAATTTTTGAAGAGTGTAGATTATCATTACAAGTATTTCCACGAAGATACATGAAATAATAAGAAACAAAGCTTTTAAATATTTGATTATTTGTATAATATATACTAAGTATATAAGTGATGTAAAACATGATCTTAAATTACCTAAATTACCTCCAGATCTCTGGGAATTTGTGAGTTTCTGTGTTTCTGTGTGTGAGGTGTTAATCCCACTCTGCAGTCCTGCGCCATAATGAAATTCATGTCTGCGTACTGATTGGATAAGAGCGGCCAGGCCAGAGTCACGTGGGTGAGTTCTTTGGTCCAGAGTAAAAATGGAGTTTGGTGTAAATCTAGGGTGTATTGCTGTCATATATCACACTACCTCGTAAAAACGACACAGAGGATTCTGGGCCAACAAATCAGAGAGAAAAAAATATGAGTTCTTATTATGTGGACGGTCTTCTTAGCAAATATACGGCGGGCAGTTCTCTCTTCCCAAACGTAGAGCGGGCGTCTTGCAGCATTGGACCCAGTGGAGAGGACTACGGCTCGGCTCGGACTGCTGCGGCTATCGCTTTTCCACCGTCGTTGTCTGGAGTTTACAGCGTCAATAATGCAGTGTACCAGAGCCGCCCCATGTTTACCTCGGGATATGGCCAGGGGCAGGACGCACACACACTGCACTGCAGCCTGTTTGACCAGAGCCGCCTGTTCTCCGACAGCTGCTGCCACCCGGAGCCGGGACCTCTCACCTCACCTCCGGACAAACAGCACGGGATGTACCCCTGGATGAGAGCATCAGGTATGTGCTGATTCTGTCTCTTATGTGCTATTTCAAAGCCCTCAGGTTAGTGCTTTTACAAAACATTGGGATACTTACACTGGCCGTTAGTGGTTCAATTAATTTCGTGAAGCCATTGGTGTTGCGTGGAAAGAATCGTAAAACTTTTATTGCGCAACTAATGAGTTCTGCAGCCATAAATTCATTTGGCCAGCGCTCCTGTGTGTTCAGTACGCAGAGACCTTGCCGCTGGGGGTTTTCTCTGCACTCCTATTACTCTTATAGCCTCTTCTCCCCTTTGTGGTTGTAAAAAAGACCGGCCTGTTGTGTAAATCTGTTCTCTTGCACTCTGCTGCTCCTTTCTAATTGGGTCTGCACTGCACAGGCTCTGTCATTTTCTGAAACCCGTTCGTTCACATTGCTGGATCAATATGCACCAGGACTGTCGACTACACATAGGAGTCAAGTGGATTTAGAATCATTTTGAAGGAGAAGGTGTTGTGGCTGTATAATCTAATTACTTATGGCCCCTTCGGTGCTCAGAACATCGCTGGCTTTTAATTGGAAAAGCATGTAGAGTATCAAAGGAGACCTGTTCCAAACATCCCAGCAGGACTACTTAAAAAAGCGATTTGAGTGTGTTCTGGAAGTGTGTGTCTGTGTAGGAGTGAGCATGTGTGTGTGAGGGAGTGTGTGTGTGGGGGGTAATGTAATAATATGAGCCACAATTAATAGCGCAATCAGAAATAAATGAATGAGTCCCAAGATGAATCCAACTACAAGTTTTTATTGTTAGCAACAGATTCAACACCACTTTAATGAATGTTTTATGCTGTATCATATTTCATACATTTAGGGCAAAAAAAATCTATTTTCTGCCAGTTACACTGAACTTGGGCATCCCATCTTCCACAGATCCAACTCGAAAGCGGGGGCGGCAGACATACTCGCGGTACCAGACCCTGGAGCTGGAGAAGGAGTTCCACTTCAACCGGTACCTGACGCGCAGGAGGAGGATCGAGATAGCCCATGCCCTCTGCCTCTCAGAGAGACAGATCAAAATCTGGTTTCAGAACCGCAGGATGAAGTGGAAGAAAGACCACAAGGAGGAACCGGCGTCGACCCCCGGGGATAAGGACGGTGAAATCCAAGGCGTGTCAGAGATCGCAGAGCCCGAAGATGGAGACACCCGGAGCGCCGGGTTGGAGTCAGAAACGGCTGCAAAGTAACGAAATAGACGGACAAAGCATTAAATGAAAGAAACACACTTTACCATAAGTGTGGTATAGAAATATCTGAGATGTTTCTCACGTACCATTCATGCACTGAAAGCTTTTTAGGCTGATTAAGTTAATGACAGCTGAAGGCAGTTAGCCTATGTATTAAGCATTTATGCTGTATTTCAGATTTGAACCGAAAATGCGTAAAATGGCTTCGCATGAAACATTAACTACCTATCCAAACTATATTTTTTATATGCAATACGGTATGTAATTTAACCTTACTGTACTACTGAATTTACATTCCTTAACGAAAAAACTACCTAATAATTACCTGATAATATTAAAACACTAACACTAAATGTATGTGAGTTGAAATTGACTGTAAATGGAAATATGATTAGAATGTTCTTTTTCTCCACCAACCCGAGACGGTTGTATTTTCTGAAGCGTAACAAACACTCTATTTTGCGCAAATGTGCCTTATTGTGAATAAAGGCTAATTTAAAGTGAATGTTTTGTTAGTTAAATGCCTCCAAATGTGATTTAGTTGCTTCTGTAGATTTGAGTAAGTGTACCACTGTATCATTTTAAAAAAAATGATCACTGCTTATCACTTAGGATGTTGAGATGCTAGTTTTCGACCCTTATTTACCCTCCATACATCCCAGGGTTAACAGAACTATATGTTTAGTTTCAGATGAACTCATGTAAGCTACCTCAGATTCTCATAAAGTGAACTTGCTTATTATACTGTAAACAGGAATACCCTGACGTAAATGTTTAGCCGTGTACTGTAAAATGTTTTATTTCATTTAGGAAAATTTCCAGACTCAGCATTTCACACGTGTTTTTGAACGCCAACAACAAACGCACGCCCTTTTAATTAGGCGACATTAGATTTCCGAATCGTCACACTTTTTTTGAGTTTAAAATGAATAGGTTATTGTACTCCAACATGTGCAAATACTGTGATAGGCTCGGTGACGACGTTTTCAATGTGACGTATAAGTATTGTGAACAAATAAAAATAAAAAGTCTTAAACCTCTGGGAATGTCTTATATCTGTAAATGAAAATATAATTATTGAATAAACTAGCTTTCACCTGTCTATTTGTTTGCATGTACTATTTACATTCAATATTAGCGAACTAATATTGTGTAACCACAACAAGCATAATAATAATCACAGCAGTTACACGCCGTTTGAGTGATAATATGTCGCTGACTGTCACCAGTAAGTGTGTAAGTCACTGTGGCCAATATTAGGTTGCATGTAATGAGACATGTTGCAGTCCATTATGAGGGTTAGGTAAACACTGGAGCTGGGGAATGTGAACTATGAGGATGCGAGATGGGGCAGGCTACAGATGAAGGGAAATTACTGTTGAACTCTGCATTCCCTCTTCCTTCTGTAAGATGGCGCCTGACGGTGACCTGCCCCCCTTCCTTCGCTGTCTCTCCCCCCTACCGCCCTCCCACCTTTTCTCCCCGTCTCTCCCTCCAGCGCTGGGTCATAAATCCGTTGTTGTTTATGAAAATTTACAACATAGCAATACAACTTTACGACCCTTCCCGTCTTCCTATTGGCCACAGCTTGTCACGTGGCAGGGAGCCGTGAACATGAACTTTTTATATATAATTTCCAATAGAGGAATAGAGCAGCCTTTCATTTAACGGTTTTGGCATCCACACGGCAGTTTTCACTCGCGACCTTCTATATTTTTATCCCTCTCACATCTCCACCCCCTTTTTTGGGGGGAGTTTGGACTTTTCTCTCGGTCATGCAGAGGCTCCACACACAGGAGCTTACCGCGGAACGTGACTGGATCGTTTTGGTGCTCTGCTGTCGGTTTCCCGACACGTTTTGGCGAGAAGGGTGGAAGGAGCCCCAGTGCGTCACTCACCCCCGGGAGCCCCAGTTTCCGTCCGGGCACTCAGCTGGATACTTCCCTCCGTCACTACCCGTCTGCACCTGCCAACTCTCTCCCCACACCTCCTCTGTTTACAAGCAGAAACCCTCACAAGGTAAGACAAATCAAACTTGCATGTGTTTGCTATTTTAGCAATTTGCAATGTCAAACAACATAAACAAATAATAATAATTTCGTTATGTAAAGATTAAGTCTCATTTGTTTTTGTTTAAATAACCGGATGGTTAAATCCTGTGGAGGAAATTGTTTTATGTTACAGTTTATTTGATCCTGATTTGAATACCACGTTCAACGCGGTATAAATCTGATCATCCTGAATCAAATCACTTATAAAACTTGTGTTGCTTTGTCTTGATTTTCCTGTTGGCTTTTGCATGCTGCCAAGACCTTGTTTGTTGTTGGATTTGAATGGGGATGAGCTTGCGGCTGCATAATCCATGGGGTGGATGGTGGCCAAAAGATGTGCTCTTGGTCGCCCTCCTGTGGAAACATCGGGGGCATTGCGGTTGCAGCTCTGCCTGTTTTGCTGCAAATGGACATCACACAAGTCGACCTCTAGCCTGTTTGTACCTGTGTGTCCACACGTAATGCTAAAGCGTTGTTCTTCATACGTATGCATGCAGGCCCCACTCACTGTACACTCAACTGATAAATAGGATAACTCTCAATGAACAGTTATTTTACAATTTGAATGACCTTTAATTGACACACAGGAATGTCCCTGTCGAAAAATGTAAAATATTTCTGTTAGAAAATATTATTCGCACTCTTTGTTTGCACATCAGTGTCGTTCACGGTGTTCCTGAACACGCACTAGGCCTACTGTATAATGTGCAATAAAGTAGCAACCAAATTTTAAAGAGTTAAAATGCAAGGCATGAGCAGGTTTTTTTTGTAAGATATACATAGTGCAAAGGTATATGTAGTTGAATGGTTCCAAAATAATAATTAATTTGCTATTTTGAATTCTCCTCATCTGAATTCTTTTCTTTGCAAAAAAAATCCTAGTTTCACATTAATGTGTCGTGGAAGAAAAACCTTGCTGTCTGTAGATATTCTCCCATAACTGTTAATTTCTGTTGTAAGCAGTGTGTTTGTTGCTATCAGGTTGAGACTTGCTCTGCTCATCATATTTTTTTTAAATGGCATAACCATCCCGAATGTGACCATTGGGATTTTTACTGCAGTCGTGCTTAATGATATTCATTACGTCATTGAATTCAAATATTGTGGATATTCTTATTCTCACAAGTGCTGGTGTGTGAGGGTGCCTGCAGAGTGCACTGCCCTCCTGTTTTTCCAACAGCAGTGGCCCCCTTGGCTCCCAGCCCAATATATTTGACACCAGCGCGTACTCACTTCTTTCATCTCCTTTCTTTTGGTTATTTAGTTCCTGGGTGTGTCCCTGGCTCGACTCGGAGAAATAATTTTCGTGGGAACTTTGTTGCCATTGGCCAGCCATAAATCAGCTGTTGGAACATGACTGTTTAGCCAACACACACTGCGTGGTGCTTCTCTTATTGTGGATACACTGGATGTGGGAGCCCGGTATTCACCCTTCCTCGCGTCGTGCCTTCTGGGGGTCTGACTGTTAACGCAAAGGGCACACATACCTGGAACAGAATAAATAACCTATATCTCGCTCGTTTTGTCAGTAACTCTTGATTGGGCTTGTGCTGGGTAAAGGGCCTGCTCTGGGGAAATAGCACGTTAGGGGGGAAACAGAGGACAAGTCGCTGCCTTTGAGAGACGAAGGAGCCATAAAAATTCCACAAGGAGAAAACCAAACGGACGAGGCGTCATGCCTCTATTTAGGCTTCGCGTCTGTGTCAGGCTCTGTGCGGATCCCCTGTTCTTCCTGTCTTCCTGCTCAGAATTAACCTAGCCTACATCAACAATAGTAGATAGTTGATTTACCCGTTTCAGTAAGCTACGTTAGGTTTTTAACATAGGAAAAATTTTACTCAGTCGGGCCTGCTTTTTTAAAACGACTTTATTTTTGATTATGCTAATTATTACACATTCTTTCTTTGCTGTGCTGTAATTGATCGAAGGCATTTTGGGGTTACTATGTTTGCTTCAATATCAAATATAACAACATATTTTAAAAATAAATAAGTGGAAGAGAAGGAACTGAAAACAGGGCGCCAATTCTTCGTACCAAAATACGAATAGCCTACAGCACAGAAACTAAAAATATAAATGATTAACTGAATATTGTGGTTATTTTACATTAAACATTTCAGTTGCGTTGGCTTTATATTATCCATGAATCTTTTCAATTATTTCCCTTTTCAGTCGTTTCTAAATGGAGCCCCTTGTTTCTTTGAATTGCAGAGTGTCTGTACTGATCTCCACACGGTGTAGCTGCTTATGGAAAAGAGATTGTATGTTGCTGTCAATCTTGTGTTGATGATCTCACAAACATGCAAAATACTAAAACTGCAATTTGAAAATATATTGACTGTTTAAAAGTCAACATGAACGATGATCAAGCGTAATAAACTCGGGTTTCATGCAAAAAAAAAAAAAAAGCTTATAACAGGGGCTTATTGTTTGGAATCGTAATTTTTAACTAGTTTAAAATAAGCAGTAACGTGGGTTTCTGTGTGTTCATATGCAGCCTATATTTAAAGGTATTAATTCTTCAGTGTGGCATAAAGGACAGGCCTTGAATGGCAGTCTGTCATATTATTCGACAATGTGGTGTTTGGCTTTTATCTTTTCCCTAAACATTTATTCATTAGTCTTTTCCCACACGAGTGCTTGTTCACTTGTTTTATTGCTATAAGAAAAAGCGTAAGAAAACACGCAGCCCTGTTTTGAATGGGCTTTTATTCTATTAACTGCGCAGACTATTTGCACTCATCGCCTATCATAGCATGCATAACAGATTCTGATCGAATTATTCCTGTACACTTTCCTCGCAGAGATTGCACTCTCAGCGTGTCACTTGTTGTATTGTTTAGGAGCCCGTTGATTTTTGCCGCAATGGTCGTTAACCTCTGAATGACCCCGTGTGGAGCCCACGCCTCAGAAAGCGCCGCAGACAGGCAGTGCAGCAGTTGAGCCAGAGGATGGCGCACCACGACAATTCAAAACACCCGAGTCCTGGCTCTGAGTATGCCCGAGCCACGAGCGCATGGAGGCGCGCGCCCTAAACATCCCACCCAGTATTTCCTCTGTGCACGAGTTTACCTCTGGAGGTCACCAAGCAGGATTTACGACTGGTCAACAAAAGCACGTGATTCTCCGCCGTACCCCATATTTGGGTGCCTACGTAAGAGAGAATCAAGTCCATGTCCCACTCATTTCCATAATTCATCATAAATTGTGCAAGGGTGCTATAGGACGCGCTAAACCATAAGAGCCACAAATCAAGCCCACAGGTTTATGCTATTTTACCTCCAAAAACATTTAAAAAAACAGCAACAATACCTACAACGAGCAAACGGTGGAATTGTCAACAAATGAGCTCCTATTTTGTGAACTCATTCTGCGGTCGCTATCCCAATGGCGCGGACTTCCAGTTACATAATTATGGAGACCATAGTACGGCAAACGAGCAATACAGGGACTCAACAGCCATGCATTCCAGCAGGTACGGCTATGGCTACAACGGGATGGACCTAACAGTCGGGCGGGCCGGTACCGGACACTTTGTGGGCAACGAGCGGACGCAGGGTTACTCCCCGAGTCACTCAGCGGCGACAACGCCCTCGGTGGAACCGGTCAGGTACACCCAGTCCGCCGGCAGCACCGGGACATCGTCTCTATCGCCAACACCTGACCCACTACCGTGCTCCTCGGTCGCCACCTCGTCCCCGGTCACCGAGGCTCAGTCTCAACACCGAGCCGTAAAGAACTCTATAACGACCCCGTGCTCAACCCCGTGCTCGAGCTCGAACGGAAGCACGCTGCTGCTCAGCCGGGACTGTGTGTCCAAAGCTTCCCCCCTCGAGGAAGAGAAGCCTGCGGGAAGCACACCAGCAACTCCTCAAAATGTCACCGACTCTTCACAGCCTCAGATATATCCGTGGATGAGAAAACTGCATATAAATCACGGTAAACTGCTTTTTTAAAATGCTCTTGTATTGATTTTAGAGAGTGCTGTGTTATTGTTTGGTAAAGGTGTGATCATGTTCATCTTATTCAGGTACTTTTTAACCATGTGAAATGCCAAAGTGGACAAAAGTGGACACTTTATGACATTTATATGACATTTATATCATTAAAAAACACAACATACAGAGGCATGTGGCGCCATGTGCGGCCATCACCTGTTTGGTATAGTCTATTATTGCTTTTCAATGTCAACATAGACCAGGTATGGGATATGTAAGAACAAAACGCTGTTAAAATATATTAGATATTTAGAGGATATATGCGTTTTTTGGTTCATTATACTATACATTTTTTAAATGTTTAATAGCCCACATTTTACATCCTTTTACTGTGGTAATTCATTTTCGCAAGGTGCAGTTGAAAAGGTGTGTATATTACTTTTGTAACTTGACCGCTTGACAACTTTTACGCCAGTCCCATCCGCAGAAATGTGGTCAAAAAAGTTTTTGCAAATCTTTACATTTTTTTCACATCTACTGTATCTCATGTGCCCCCCTACCCCTCTCTGCAAAAGATTTGGCAGGACCAGAGGGGAAGAGAGCCAGGACTGCATACACCCGCTACCAGACTCTGGAGCTTGAGAAGGAGTTTCACTTCAACCGGTATCTGACCCGCAGGCGGAGGATCGAGATAGCCCATGCCCTCTGCCTCTCAGAGAGACAGATCAAAATCTGGTTTCAGAACCGCAGGATGAAGTGGAAGAAAGACAACAAGCTGAAGAGCATGAACATGGCGGCTGCAGGCGGGGGAGGCTACAGGCCTTGATATTCACTCCCCTTCCCCCTGATAGCGGGCACTATGAAAATAAAACTAAGATTGTCATATCAAGTTCTCTTCCTCCCATTTCCAAGAGCGCCGAGACTTTGTTAACGGACTGAATGCGGGACAGGGGACAACCCACCTAAGCCCACTGTATGTCCAACAACCGTCCCATTATATTGCTTAATATTATTTCCTTTTTATTTCCACCGTGATAATGCTTATGTGAGTAAAAAAACGCACTAGGTTATGTACAGTTCTGTCTAGATTTAGAGGAAAAGGAAACCCATGAAAATAAATGTTTGTTTAAATTATTTCTTGTTCAGACGAAAAAAATACATAAAAACGTCAAAGCTTGAAATGCTACCTACCGCAAATAAATCCAGTAAAAGTTGTGTGATGCTCTCAGAACATTAACAACCTAATAAATAGAGGGTTGAGGTCGAGCTGCCTTTGTGTTTAGCCTTCGTTTTCTATGTATGTACTATATATGTATGTATTTATTTGTTTGATGTATTGTACCAACTTGTCAGATAACTTGCTTCCAAAAGTAGAGCCAGCAGAGTACGTAAACCTTTGTGTGGTTATTGTGTGCGTTGTGAACACATGTATGGACAGAGGTGCCGACTCAGTCTTGTATGTACAGTAACTGTGCCTTGTATCTTTTTTTGTTGTTGTTTTTTTATTTTTTTTGCAGGAGATACATTTTGCATCGTCCACCTGGGCGCAACATCTTGGTAAAAAAGTGTTTTTCGTCTTTGTTTTCTCTAGCTGTTTTTTATGTGGAGGTAAACACAGTACATTTCATTGCCTAAGTGTATAACTCCATCGTGATTAGCTTTTTGTAAATGTTTTTCAAAGACTGGAAGTCAAGAATATACTATAATAACAATGATGATGATGATGATGATGGCCATTATAATAAACTTTTTACTGGAACGGCAGCATTACAGTGAGTGTACCTTTTTTTGTAAAATTTCAAAGATTCATTTGCGCTTTTACCACAACTGACGCGTGGCAAAAAGAGAAGAAGAAGAATTTGCTATTTGGTCTGAAATCTTCAAGTCACTTGCGCGAGCTGTCAAAAAATGGTCAAAGTTTCTTCGAGTTAAATCTCCTTGAATTCAACAGGTCCTCTTGAATGAAAGCTTCATGTTTTACTCACCTTTGCTGTGGAGCAGGGGGCTTTTGGAGGTCCTTGGCCACTCACCGGCTCCATGGGCCAGGCGCACATATTCCTGGGCTATTCCCGGAGAATCAGCTCGACTTTTCAAGCTGTAAACTTTATTAGGGCCGATTCTGGCTCTCTGACATTTGGGTGCTAAATGAATGGGGGGTTTTGTCTATGAATTAGATCGTAAAAATCATCCGGAGCGCGGCCAGATAGGCTCACTGGCCATAAACGGTCACGTGGTGGCCATTAAAGTAAGTTTTATGGTTTTGGGGAGTTGACAGTATATTGCACATAACATATAATCGCACTGACGGCGAGGCTTCGTCTGACTCTCTCTTTGCAGGCTGTAAGTGTTACTTGACCGGTACAGACAGTCTCTATTGCTCTGTCTGCCTCAGTATGGACCGGACGCTCTCCAGGATGAGGACCGCGTCTCTGGGTAAGTTTCTGCAGACTATCCGGTAGCCCGAGAACACCAAGCCTGTGTTAAATAGCCTTATTATTGTATTCGCTCCCTCTATCCGTCCCTATTAGTCCATTACACTAATTTGTCAGTTGTGCAGCGCTGAATACTGGTCCCGGCAGATGTTGCGCAGGGTTGGGTCCGGCTCATGGCTATTTAATTGCTTCCTTCCCTGTGTAACTTGTTTCCCTCCATCTGTGGTGTAACTCATAATCCATTTTTACATGTTGGATAATTATCTCTGTGTCCATTTCCACCCCCACAAACTTCTAGTTGTTGTCGTTTTATTACATTGGAGAATTCACAGACCGTGAGCCAGAAAGTTTCCAAGGGGTGTGTGGAGTATTGTAGATTTCCTTGATAAAGTTGAGCACTAATGCAGGCCTACAGATTTACAGCTAGCTCCGTCTGATTGAATTCTGTTTGCTGATGACTTCTGGAAGTTGTTGGTCAGTCCCTGAAAAAAAGTTTCAGTTGTTTCGCTGAGCGCTGCGCTTTGGGACAGGCTGTAAACTGTGTCAAGTAAACACAACATGGGAACAAACAACAGCGGGGCGACATTTGAAAAGGAATTCCGTTTTGTGTCTGCCACGTAGTGTTGTGTTTGGGGTTGAAAAGTTCAGATGACCCCTTTAAAAGTCACTCTCGCTTCGTGGTGACCTCTTGTCCGACCAGCGCCCGTGCGAAACCAGTCACCAGTGGACCCTGACTCCAAATAACATGGACTGAAAACTGAAGGATGGGGGGTGGTCGTTTTTTTTGGACACATTGACCACGTCTTTTTCTTCCTTTTTTCGTTTTGGCATTTTTTTCAATTAAACGGCGTGTGACTCCATGCTCCGTTTCTAATTTGAGATATCTAGGCCAAACATCTACGAAAACAAAAAAATCGGATTTTAAAATTTAAGATTTATGAGATTTTGGCAGCAAATAACCAGTCAGCTTTCTTTATGTTGTTGTCTGGGCAGATTTGCAAAGGTTACATTGTCCGCCAGCCACGATAACCTATACCAGGTTTTTATTTTTTGTGCAAAGGCCTAAATCACATTGTCTAGAATCATTCCCGGTTATTTCTGAACTATGTTAAAATCAATACATTTGTTTATCACGATAATCAACTTTAAATAACTTCTTAATTCCATTTTCACATACGGTGGAGTGGAATTTACCGGACTGGACAGACAATGTAGAATTCTTCCCTAAATTGATTTTACTTTTTAAACAAGAATCATAAAGTTTTGAGGTTGCACCAATTGTCAAATTCACCAGAATAACCCAAACCACATTGCTTTTATATCCTTCCGTTTATTGCTTAACAAATTTTGATCATTGTTTTGTAAAGAAGTCACCAGCATAACAAAATACGGGACTTACACTCTTTCCAGTTTGATTTTAGACACACTGAAAATGCATCAGGACACACCGAGAGTGAGTCTATTTGGATATTAAAACCCTTGCCAATATTTCAAAAGGAGAGATTTCGACAGGGCCCCATGTGCGGCATACTGCCAAGCAGAGAGACAGAGAGAAGCGCTGTATAGGTTCATCTGGAGGTCAGCCACAGCACCAAGATAAATCTGCATCCTCTCCGAGCCACCAGCAGAGCTCGCTTTAGGCCAAGTTCACTGTCACCCTGCTTGCATAGAGAGAGGGAAACTGCTCACACATCCACTGTACCGCGCGCGCACACACACGCCTTCACGTTAATGACACGTTCGCTTGGCCTTGCCTATAAGCATAATGCGTATAAATGAATTTACCGAGGGACACAGAGCCTGTGGTAACATCCTGCACTGGAGGAAAATACTCCGTGAAGAGAGAGGGAGAGATGACTTTAAGTGTTGCCTCCAACAAAGACTTTTGGCTGCTTTGGTTGCTCTATAAAGCTAATGAATGATTTGCATATTTTACGGCCCTATTAGTCTTGAGTGGGAGCCTATTGGATTTATCTTTTCACTCCCTCGTTGGAAACTCAAAATCATAAAGCTACAATTGCATTTTAGGTCTTGTGCTGGCATCTTCTCTAATTATGAAATTTGGGGAAAATGATCCTCGTGATGATGCACCTTGTTTAAATCAATTTTTCGTTTCAAGAGGGGCAGATATCTCACTGGGCTGGGACAGATGAGAGCGAGATAGCTGCAGAAGAGGAGGAAAAATTGGGGTCAAAAGTTTACGCGCTGAGCAAGTCTCCGTCATCTGTTCACTCGGAGCTTGATGCCAGCCTTATAATAGCGATCTTGACTCTCCACACAAAAGACAGAATAGCTTTGAATTACATATGTTGCACGGTGCACTCCAGGTGAACCCTGAAAGCGCGGTGACCTCGCTTTTGGAACCGGGGGATGGGACCCCCCACCCGTCCCCCGCAACAAGATTGAGTGGTTGGCGTTTTATTAGGGCGGTTGATTGGTGAATTTCCTTTGAATAAATTGCATTTGATATGTTTAGGGACGAGGGCAAAATTTGCATTTTGAGGATTGATACTCTCGACCCGGTCACAGGGTAATGGGAAGGCCCACAGCCCCCAAACTGAGCCCCCAGACCCCTTAAAAAACATTTAGCCCCTCTCTTCCTGATCGGTTGAATAGAAGCCTTTTAAGAAAGCAGATGTTTTTTGTGTGTCATACAGAGAAAGTTTGAAAAATATTTTTTTTTGTGGCAATACATTCACTATATATGTATGTATTTAATGTTTTTCATTGGGCCTATGCTTTTGAGAAAGAACGCAGATCTTTCTCAAAGCACACTAAAATATTGAACCTTTGGTTGAAAATGTAAACGCGCAATAAAAAATACAATAAATTAGTGAAAAATGGCTGACAACAAATCTAAATCGATACCAAAAATAGAATTATTTTATTGAAATTTAGATTAAAAAGCATGTTTTGCCTAAATCGCATTTACTTATATGCAACCGACCACAAGGCGCACACGAACTTAACAACCTTTTGTTAAAAAAGTACACTTTTCATTTCAAACCAGAATAAGACAACTTATCATCTGAGATCCCTTTGATAAAAAAGGATCAATTAAATCAGACTATATTGGCACTTTCGATTTCATCAACGTTTTATCGTCTTCTTAACAGGAAATGAATAGAAAACAAACACTTAATTTCAAACAAAGCAACGTCATTTTATTTGTAGAAATGTAACATATTTTCAGAAACAATAACACACAATGCAAACATATTTTTTGCACACAAGTGTTGACATGTCAATGCCAAACTTGTTCATTCACAACTTGTTTATTGAAGTAGTAAGGAGAAGTAAGAGCTCGTCACTGAAGGCTGTAAGTCCGTTCACCCAAAGTCTCAGCGCTGAACGTTATTAGGCCTATTTCATACGTTTTTTTTTTAAATTACGTTAATTCAAACGTTGGCAGCTTGATTGTTAGCACTTACATCACCTTAAAGTGCACATAGCAACATATTTAACCTTTTGAAATATATCTGCAACTTCCTTCAGTCATTTGTAAACATTTCTTCTGGCGCCCGTGTCTAAAATATTCTGGCGCAGTTTCAATTACGACAACATATTAAAAGAGTAAGGAAGCTGTCCATGCACTTTCTAAAGGATGTAGCTGCTCATATGCTCCTCTTCTTGGTTTGAAGGTCACTAAGTTGTTGGTGTGATCCAAGTTTGCTAGTGACCATTCTTAGTTATTGTGCTTTTGCCGATAGAGGTAAAAGGAACAAGTGGTGGAAAGGACAGTCACACGTGACACACACAATCTTGTGTGTGTGAGTGTTTACCTATATCAAAATATTTCCATTAAGGTATGAAAGGTGTTTTCTAGCCCGGATCCTTGGCACATCTTGAATGCAGGGAGAATTTTTTATCCTGCTGTCAGGGCTCCGTATAGACAAGAGACCTTGTGAGAGCCATCTGCAATCTGTCACTATCGTCACAGCACTTCTATGATAATCTAAATTTACAGTAAACTGTCAGCATGATGTATATAGGTTAAACAGACCTTCACTTCACACTATATGCTCTGAAAGAGAACACCATGATCTGTCTGCTAGCTTATTTTGTCCTAAAATACAATCTCTGCCACGATGTTGTAATGGGTTTTCCTTCACATTAAGAGCAAAATAGCTCTTTAAATTTGGTGGAAAATTACTTAGATAGTGAAAGCTAGTTCAACGTTGTTTCCAAATGCTCCCTTTTAGTCCAATGGTCAATTGAATGATCATTATCCTTTTTATATGTTGTGTACGCTGCATTGTTCAAAAAGATGTTCCAGATGCTTTATTCAGACATTCAAACATGCAGCATCACCTTGCAGGCCTGGACTATAGATAACGGATATTACCGGGACTTTTATCTAAAATGTTTGTTTTTGAGCACTAAATCGGATTCTTGGACCTTCGTGATAATATGTATTAATAAAGATATTCACAGCTGAACATTAAAGAAAAAAGTAGTCCGTAGCAACAAGTTGAATGACCTGTAAAAACAGTTGTTCATGCAAGGATAACTTGGAGAGTAAGTGGATAATGGCCAAGCTGATCTGGCCCATATTTATACAGGACCTATATATAATAGAATGGCAGCAGACAGTAAATTTAGATATCATGTGAAGTCGTCTTACCGCTGACATTATGTTGACATATTGCCACTCAGGTGGTCTCTTGGCCATACGGATGCAGTGGATATATGGCAGAAAGTACATCAGCTGCCATTTACAATGAGTTAGATGCGAGAAAGCCTGTAACATGCACAAGATAGCAGCAGCTCTATACCTTATAGCAACAGCGTGCTCACATTGAAGAGCAAAATCTGAGGCCTGCCTCTGGTCACTGTGAAAAAAAAGAAGAATTCATCTGTTTTAAGTCGTCTCCATCAGCACATCCAAAAACTAGAGGTTCAGAGATGGAGATCAGCACTGTGGGAAAAAAACATTTAATATTAAAAATATCAGCAGATCTCTGTAGTTGCATGACAGACAATTCCACAAATGCATGTCCAACTGTTCGACGTGTGATTTTCGAGATAGTTGGAGGTCTTTGGCACATTTTAAAAATCCTTTGGGGACCTTTATAGAGTGTTGACCCGCGCTAAGTGCTCCCCCAACTCCCCAGAGTTGAACAGTCCCTGTAAAACTGAAGTCCAAGTCCGGGGTGAACCCCAGGTCACTGCGTCTAACAAATATGAAAATGTCGCCTCTTTGGAAAAAGGGCACGCCTTGTTGTTTAACAAAGACTGTCAATGGGTAAGATTAATCAGAAACAAAATGGAAACGGTGTCACTTCGGGGTCAGGCAGAAGTTATCTCTGTTTAGGGGAGCGAATAGAATAGGGGGTGGGGGGGACCAGGAAAAAGAAAAAAAGAGAGAAAAGAAAGCTTTCAATATTTCCGAAGTTTGGCCTCTTGTTTCTCCACGCAGAGGCCTTGTTGACGTGGACAGTGTGGATCAGCTTTGCGAAGAGCTGCTGCATCTTCAAGGGACACAGATACAGTGTGCCACCTCGGACATGGAGGGGAAACACGACCTGGACGTGATGGCTAATGGCGAGGAACACGGTCAGACACTTTTACATATTTTCTACCTTAAAAAAACATGCATTTTCAAAAATGTGGCTTCTATATTTTTTGCTATATTTAAATATATGGGGGTCTGAAAAAGGATGATCTGAACATGTACAATTTATTTCCCTAAAATAATTATATTAAAAGTTGTTATTATTATTATAACAGTTATTATTATTGTACCTTGGAATATTAGCCCCTTTAAACTTATAGTACTCCCAACAGATTAGCATTTTTACAGCACAACGTTATTATATTTGCCAGTGTTGTTTACATTTAAGTGTTACTGCAGCAAGCGCAGAGACTCTGTTAATCAACATATTCCAGATGTGTATTGAAATGTTGGCAAATTGTTTGTGGAAAATTATTTTTATATATTTCCAAATGTATCAGAATTGGAAAGTTGTTTTGGATATGAGGTTGCTTGTGCTGGGCAGAGTAATTCTAGTATCTCTTCCTGTAAATGGTCTTCATCCCAAATCCCACGCTTTGTTTTTGGCATCTGGCTATGATGATGCAAGTTAGGTGTCCAGTAAGTGTTTGTCCAGTGTTTGGATGAGCTTTTCATTGGCGGTTAACACAGGAGAGGTTGCAAAACGTGATGTCGGTGCAGTCAGTGCCAGATAAGTTTCATTTGGTATTATAGGGACAAATGGCAGACCAGAAATGACTTGAAATTATTGCCATGTCCTGGCAAATTGCAGAAACCCACCGTTTTCACATTTATAACCGTGGAAATGATGCATGTACACAGTTGTGCAACGTGAGAGATGAGGGTTCTCTGTTTGTGTGTGTGTCATAGTAGGGTATTAACCAGGTTTTACAGAAATCATATGCTTTACATGTAGGCTTGTATGTCCGCAGAGCAGCGGCTCGTCAGTGCTTGCAGGAAGCTTGTGCACTGACACTGTTGTCTTATTCGATAATTTAAGACACAACAATGGGATTTGTATTGTGCAGTCATGTTTTTGTTTGTTTTCCTCACCTCACCTCTTTGTTAGAATTCAACACATTTTAAACTCCAACGACCAATATTCTCGCCACTACTAGAAATAGCTTTTTGTATGTGATAACCTTTATTTTCTCGGGGCTTGAATTTCACATGCACTTTCTTTTCCAGAGGAGATGGATTTTTTCCCATGCAGGAAAGCCTCACCCACATAAGTTTGGCCCCATGCAGTAAACAAGTTAGTTGATTGGTTTTGCTTTATATACTGTGATTTAATAAGGAAAACACCAACGTAAGCCAGTGCGAGCAGTGTTGGTGGTGCCAGTGCCATGCTTTCCATTGGTTCCTGTTTACATGATGCCCACAGGACGCGCGGTGATTGGTGGCGCTTCACACGTGACCAGGCAACTTTGTACATTTGACAGGGAGTAGGAGGGTTTTGTGGAGATCAGAAAAACGACAGCGCGATAAAAATTAGTATTGTTGCACTTCACAAATTAATGACCATGAGTTCCTACTTGATAAACTCCAACTATATCGAGCCTTCCTTTCCTCCATGCGACGAATACCAACAGAGCGGATACATCCCCAACCCTGGTGATTACTACGAGCGGCCAAAAGATACGGGCTTCCCCCATCACGACGAGCCATCCTATCCGAGGTCAAACTACACAGAATCTGGCTACGATTACGGTAACATCCCCGCCAACGGACTCGATGATTTCAGCGAGGGACATCACGCACAGCCGCAGCCGGTTCCACAGAGCCACGGTCCTCGCCTCACCGCGGCCCCAGACGGTGGCGCAGGGGCAAATCCCAGCAAAGACTGCAGCCTCGCAAGTGAGGTCTATCCCGGCGTAGCGAAGGGCAAGGAGCCGGTGGTCTATCCTTGGATGAAAAAGGTCCACGTTAACACCGGTGAGTTATCGTCACGGTTAAATAGCAGAACCACAGAGAAACAACCACTGGAACACGCAAGCCTATTGAGGCAGCACTAGTAGCAGCCCTTACAACAGCAATTTACGACTATCGAGCAGCAGGGTCGGTAATTAAGGACCCTCGTAAATTTTATTGCTGTGTTCGTCTGTCGGGGCCATGTGCCTTTGTTGCTTTTTAACCCAAACTACCTCCACCACTGGAGCCGAGCCAAACTGTAATATCCAACCCTGCTGTTTTGTTAATCATTTCTAAGCTTGATCTGTCCCTGGATGCGAGTGCTTGTACACTCGGCATCTCCACATTAAGGTCATGTCCGTAAACTGAAACAAGAGCGAGAGTAAAACAAACAGGGCGGCTGTGATTTCCCACCAAACCCAGAATATGTTTTAGAGTTTTTCAACCTTGTTATGTGTCCAGTGGAGGAAACGATATGGGTTTGGAATAAACGCTATCAGCCTGCATGTAACACCTGCTTGCTTGCCTGTGTATGGCTTTTTCCCCCCTCCAGTCAATGCCAATTACGCTGGAGGAGTGCCCAAGAGGTCCCGCACTGCCTACACCCGCCAGCAGGCTCTGGAGCTGGAGAAGGAGTTCCACTTCAACCGGTACCTGACCCGGCGCAGGCGGGTAGAGATTGCGCACACCATGTGTCTGTCTGAGCGCCAGGTCAAGATCTGGTTTCAGAACCGGCGGATGAAGTGGAAGAAGGAGCACAAGCTCCCCAACACCAAGATCCGTTCCTCAAGCTCGGCCTCGTCCTCAGCCTCGGGGGCCCAGCAGCAGCAGCAGATCAAAACAGGCCAGCAGCTTGTCCCCACGCCGTGCACCGCAGGCCTATAGTGCTTGAACGAACCCCACCCCACAAAAACCCAATCCAGACTGAGATGGCATAACACAAGTGGAATTTGATGGACCGATTCTCAGTATTTTACACATGGTGTTATCTCTTTCACTTTGCCTCCGCCATTGGGCCCCTGTCACGTCCTTTGTACCCTTTCCCTCTCCGGTCGTCCTAGCCCTCTTCATATAAGCTTGAAATTCACCTTTAATTGCCAAGGTGGCAACAAAGTGTTTATATATTTGTTTATTATTATGAAAGGAGGATAACGCACATTCAAACGTAGGACTTGGATCAAAATGTATCTTTACGGTTAAAAATGAATGAGGTAAAAGTATTTGAACTCATTTTTCTATGTTCTCTTTGATGATTGTTTTTCTGTTTAGTTTTTTAATTATTGCTCAAGGAAGGTTCTAATATACTTGAAAGATATTTAGCGAGACTCTAGATGCCTGTTAGAAAACCGTACGGCTGTTTTTAGAGGTATGGCATCAGTCAGAGTAACAGTGTACTTTGTGTGTTTGAGTGGGTTGGTTTACTGTTGAATGTAGTCCAGGTGACTTTCACATTTAATGTACATAGGCATATCATAATGAAGGCACAATAAGGAAAGAATTTCGTCCAGTAGAATTCTGTTTGTTGGTGTTGTAAGGTCTAGTTTTAATTGTGCTAGTCTGTCTCATGTTGTGTTGTGTTCTAAACTGTGAATATTTGTATGTGTCGTCTCAGTAATGACCGTTGTGATGTAGGCTAGTGTAGGCTCAATCTGTCCCTGTGAAATAAATATGTACTTCAGTTATAAGGCTGACTTTGGATATTTTGTCATTGGAAATACTGATTTGGTTTGAGCGCAACATGCATTTTTGAAGTCGCGCGAATGGCAAATGCCTTTAGGTGCCTCCCTTTTTGTTTTATAGATTCATAATTTGGGGATTGCATTTTCAAACTAAAACATTTTATTTTCATGCCGTTTGTTTTTATTTCAGTACATGGAGAATTTTTTTTAGAACTTTTATTTAAAGTATTTTAATCAGTTATCCAGTGTTTGGAGATGCGTGCATAAAATTGTGATGTGAGCATTGGATAATTTACTGCGCCACACTTTCATAATGTCTTATGTATTTTTTTCACTTTGCTACATTTTATGTTATTTGCAGAGAGGATTACCTTGGTAATCAGGGCCCAACGTTGCGCAGTTTCTCTTAAAAGAATATTTACAGAGGGGAAAACAATTTCAACGTTTTAAAGTGTTTAATATCTATAACCTATTCAGAATGAAGAAGGTCTTACAGGCTGCATTCCCATCTAAAAAACATGTCTTAAAAATGATATGTCTGAGTCCATTGTGTCTTTTAATGCTCAACTGGCTGAAATTCTAATCCGTAAAATGTGCATGAATGTCATGCGCATTTTTTTGGATTAAGATGAAATGTGGTTTAAATTTAAGGGTCAAATATCAGCTGCTTAAGTGTTGCAGGCTTTGCTGCGTACATGGGAACCAAACCAACCTAAAATTGTTAAATGTATCCGGCCACACATATTGTTCTCACTTGCCATTATAAGGAGATCTCAGCCAACTTCAGTGCACCAGCGTGTGAGTGTTGGTCACTACCTGCTACATCCAAACAATGGCGAGTTCAACCAGGGGACACGGCCGGTTCTGGCCAATCACCGACTCAGAGCACTTCTTCTGACCCCTGACCTTTCGACACACACAGTGTTCAGACCATACATCAGTGCTGAGACATCCACGAGCTTTTTCTTCCCATTTAAGATTTACGCGGAAAACAAAAACGGTGTTTAGGTGCGAATCTGAGCCATGAATTTCCCCAAAATTATTCTTAGAGACAGCTCTTCTGCAATTCATCACAGAAACACCCTTGTCAGGCCACGTAGAGAGGGCAGATATTAGCTGAAAGATGCTGGCATTGTGCGTGTAATTTAGTATGGTTTTCAATATGTTTTTTAGCACTGATGGTTTCTGCTCAGCATTTATGGAAATAATGGCATAATTAATGGATTAGCAATGCTTTGAATCGTAAATTAGATAAAACTGTCACTCCCCACAATTCCCATAGTAAAAACCACAGAGTGGTAGGCTGAATTTACACAAACAGTATTTTAGTAGAAGCTTTACATCACTGTTTATAGTTTTCGTTGCATCGTTCAAATGTATTCACTTCTTTGTCAGCATAAGAAAAATAATCTTGCAGAAATGATAGAAACCCTCTTTGCTTATACCCCTCAGCCCCTCTGTGCAGCAGTTGCCGCAGACATGGAAGCTGTGCAGAAGATGGCGTTGAGGCTGATTGGAAACGGTTTTGCGCAGACTCAAAGAAGTCCAACTAGTTAAATTACAGCTTTCAAGTCATTTGATTCGCGAATAGAGGTCACTTCCAATGTACTGAAATTTTAATTCGCCCGTTCACGTGACTTGTTGAATAATGAATGCCCCGGGGTCAGAAATAGATCTGAAAATCTGACTTATTTTCATTTGAAGTGATCCTCTGCAGGGTGCGAGTCAGATCTCTTCTCCCTTGACAAAACTCTGTCCGTTGGACACAGACCGTCATGACTTGTGAGTAGATTTGGCTGTTTTTTATCTTAAATGTTGTGGAGGTATTGGGCATTTTAAAAGTTGTAAAAAAAAATATCCCGGAAGTTGAGTTTTTTCACGATCTTCTGCCACATATACATGGATATTAATATGACATTTTTATTTCCAGCTATATGTTGCTGTAGAGTTACTGAGCTTTGTAATATCACACTTTGTTATTAGTAAACTTGATTGCAAAACAATGTAAATTGCTTAAAAAATTATTACATGATATGTGTGTGTATTTTGTGCGTTATACAAACGTTATGTATTCAACCTACTTGATCCTTGTTTCATATTGTTCTTCTTCTTAAATGTATAAACCATGACAATATAGGATGATAAAATTCAACCTTCAATTTATGAGACTAAATAATTGTACTAATTTAGTTCAAATGAAACGATACTGGCTGCAGAGGTAAAAATGTTGTACAGGTGTAGCCTGGATGTATACATAACGACTTAAAAACAAAAGAAGCAACAGTCTGCATTTATGTTTGAAAAGTGTGCCTCAAAAATGCTACATGCCTTAAAAGATAGAGCAAAGCTCAGTTGCTTAGATGATTTGATTAATTTATTAATTTCAATCTTAAATTTACAAAAGCAGTGTAGGCCTATACAAGATACAAGAGTTAGCGCAGTTAAACAACAGTAACAATGCAAAGAGGGTATCTGTTGCTTGAATGAGCCTTTCAATGAGAGTGAACACAATAGTCAATTTAGACACTTGTTAAACATTAACAAAGTCCTTAGGTTATGTGACAGAGTTTACAATAATACTAATGGTTTATCGTTGTAGTTTTTATCATTATTAGTGTTAGTATTGTTATTGTTCGGCTATTTGCACTTACCTGGCACAAAAGGCACAAAAGCCTGTTACTGTGATCGGGGAACTTTTTCAGTCATAATAAAGAGCCAGTACGTTCAGCATAAAAATTCAATTTGCTTTATTACAACCACCTTTACGCAAACAATTACGGCCGTCCTAGTCCTTCTGCATCCATGAGAGATTGTTCCAAGTCAGCTTAAGGCGTTGAATTTCGCATTAGCCTTCATGTTGGTCGGTGTAAACCTCGCAGAAAGAGTTATTTTCGGCTGAGTGTATCGGTAACCCAAGCCTGGCTGTTAAGAGCTTCGAGTGTCAACATTGTGGGAAGATATGGACCGCCGTCTGGCCATCATCCAGAGGTCTGCGCATCTAACTCCTGCTCGCTGACAGTGACAAGGAGCATTGATTTGTGTAAATAACATTTGTTTTATGTTAAAACTGTTGAGATTTAGAACATAATCAATCATCTGCTATTTTAAGTCTGAACAAAATGCCACAAAAAAGTGAAAAAAGTAAGCTACCAGCTCAGGGCCTCTGCTTTCCATGTTCTCCTTGTTTTTGAACCCAAAATAACTTCCCACTCGACTCTGTATGTCTCTGCCCGGGTCAGGGAAAAGTTCAGGTATGGTGGCGAAAGGCAATGTGGGATTAACTTCCAGTGCACGGTCCTGGTGACAGCTCCACATCTGTAATTGTAGAAGAACAAGAACAAAATAACATGTACCAGACACAAGCATTCTGTTAGAAAAAAGAGAAATAGTCTTTTCATAATCATGCGTCCAAAGCATCTGCGCAAAACTTGATCTTTAACCGTGTTCATTAATATTCTTTCTCTTCTCTTCAGTTTTAGAAACGTTGAAGATGAATTATTAAGAGCTGGTCTGCTTCTGTTCCTGTCTTTAAAAGTTTAGCGCTCAAGTTGTAGTTTGAGAAGACAAAGGCTGGTGTGGGTGTGGGATGCTGTCTATGTCCGCCCCGAATGATTAATAGTTGCGGTGGGATTTTTCCACGCCCGCTGCTTGGTGTTGACGGAAAACAAGCGCCAAACGGTGCCCAGAGCAGAGAAGCTCTTCCGGGCTAGGACATTTGGCAACACCTGGAGTGGCAGAAGCCAGATTTCTTCCATGGCGCACACATGACGCGTTGTTTAGATAGAAATTGGTTATTACAATTATATTGGTGGTTTTGGAAATCTACAGCAGGATTATGGCTTACTAGCTACTATACTTCTACAACTTTGCCATCATAACCCCCTTCCCCCTCCCTAAAAAAAGATCTAAAACTTCCTTTGCACAAACCTGTAATTTCACTGAGATGGTCATAGGAAACGCGTAAGCGCATGTAGGTCGAATGGGGGTCCATGTAGTGATCAACGGGGTCGAGCAGCCACTCTTTGGTTTCCTCACCTCCACTTTCGGCTCACTGCTGACTGACACGCACCCCTCACGACCACCAGGACGCTCGCCCTCCTTATGTAGGACAGGTAAATGAGTGACTTTGTTTTTTAATTTGGCCAACAGCATGCAGGCTTTTGCTGATTGAGAACCAGGAGCTGACTAAGTGGTACTACAACCAAACTGTAACACTGAAGACAGGGGGGCGATATTGAGTAAAGCTCTATCCAGCCCTGCCTGTGTTGTAAAGAGAAAGGACAAGAGGTTTGCTAGACTGATGAGTAATCATTATGCCACCCTTAAATGGCATTTTGTAGAGGGAAGCCCTCTCCATCTCACATAGTGCAAATTATCACGCTGCTGTGCAAAACTTTCTGGTTTTAGCTTGGCTCAGAGCTGTGGCTGCACTTTAGACTCAGCATAATACAGCAGGATTAGCTCTTTCAGCCGCTAACAGGCACCAAAATATATGGCACTTTAAAACTGACAGAACAGTCTTCCCTCTGAATGGGCGACACGTGGAAAAGCTGCTTCTCCGCGAGAGACTCGCTCCTCTGCCAGATACATTGCAGTGTCACATACCCCTCTTTTTTCTCCCTCCAAACTGATCCGATTCTCCTCAGGGGCAATGACTGCTTCCATTAATGATTCACGGGCTCAAATAAAAGGGATTTAAGTTGACGTTGCGTCACGTGAGCGCGGCGCATAATACTGCGCGATGTTATGGCACGGGGAAGAAAACTGGAGCCCCGGTCTGGCCATATGATGCTGATTATATGCGGGTTACCCCCACTTTCCGTGAGGGGAGTCCGGGCTTTGTAGTTTATTTATCGACAGGGAGAAAAAGAAAAGACTGAAAGAGAGAGGATTCCGGATTTTGTGGATGTATTATTCTGCTGTCACGGACGGATATGTTTTTCCACGCGGACAGAGTCCTAGCCCGAGCTTTGGGAGGATGGATTTTATTTTGAGGTATTTCCGCCGATTGTTCATTACTGTCGTGAGTTATTGCTGTGCGAGGCAGAGGTCAGAAAGAAAAGGGTCCAGGGTTTATGCAGGGCAAGAAAATGAACAGGTACTACGAAGCTATCGATATCCGTCTATCTGTTATTATCTCAGATTCATCATAGCTAATCAAGCGAAACATAAATAGGCCCACAGCATTTACACACAACATAGATAGGCAACAACTGAATGATGTATCTGGGCCGTTAAGATTCAGGCTTTATTCCTCGTTATGCTTCCTAGTCTAAACATGATATTAAAGCTATATTAAAATTAATATTATTCGTTTCAGTGTAAACTTAGAATAGATGCAGCAAGGAATGAAATGTCTGTTTTAAATGCAACTTGAATAGCACGAGCAGACGGCTATTTATTCAGATAAATAGGCCTGTACAACCGTTTGTAAATAAAGCGGCCATTTAAATATCGGCTTCCAAGAAAAAGTCAAACAGAGAGCGCGGCCGCTCAAAGGTGCAACCGGTCCTATAAAACAAAACATCTTGAGTCTTTACGTGGGTTTTTTGTGAGCAAATGATACATCAAGATGAACTCCATTTAAAAAAAGTAGGGAAAAGCGGTGGGGTTGTGTCGCTCCGCCAGGGAAACGAGGATATAATGGAAGACGGAGTGCCATCCAGGACCAGCGCGGCCGCGCTGAGGTCACGGCGCTCCTGCTTGATTTATGGGCGCGGGGACCTGGGGAAGACGGTGCGCGAGAACTAATGACTATTCGATCCGTTGGTGGAGAAAATGCTTACCGGCCAACAGGGAAACAATAAACATGTTATTTGCATAGACCCATTTTTGTGTTATTAGGGATATCACTCTGATAGGCAGCAATATTTGGTTGTGATGTCTCTGTGTGAGAAGAATCTTTGCATTTAGGCTTTTATTTATTCAGTTTCTTTATTCGTTTGTATTTGCCTTGTGTTTCACATGGATGGACATATTTAGGTTGATATTTTGTTACAAAATTTTAAAAGGAATCGAGATGTTATGGTTCCTCGAAGCTGTCAAGATATTAACAGGCCCCTTTAACACAGACCTGGAGCCTGCTGTTAAATCTAAACATTTGACCCAAATAATTTATCTTGAAAATACCTTCGAATTTGACTAGATTTGGGTTAATCTATTTACCAGATGTTGGTTTTTGTGACGTTTCAAAATAAGGCCTAAAGAGTTACGCATAATAAGAATATACTTATGTACAATCAGATTCTGTAACTAGGCTACATGTAGAGCGCTTATTCGAAAATAAAATTCACACTAATACATTTTACAGAAAAGGTTAAAAGGTTGTATTATCCTCTGAGAAATTCAAAATATTTATTCCTCATTGCAGAAATCCAGCCAAGTAAAATCAGGCCATCGCGCGGTCTCCGAGACACCTTGAACTGCCTTCGGTAAGTCCATACATCTTTATTGATTTGTGTTATGAATGGTTGATGGTGATATCCTTATTCAATTTCTAATAAGTACCACACACGCCCACCAAAGCACTAGCAGGGACAGGGAAGCAGCTTATGGCTTGTACATTTCCTTGTAGCAGCAATACGACCAGCCCGAGAGCAATAATTCCTTCTCTTCCACTTGTCTTTGTAGTGTAATTTGTCACTATAAAAGTGACGAGGGGAATCGCAGCTCTTGGAGCAGTGCCTCACTCCTTTCAAAAACTACTTTCTGTGAAAGCCATCTGCTTGTAGCTGCAATAGTTTACTGCAGTGTAGTTTTAAAAATGTTTTTTTCTTTCATCAACATTTTCAGATTCTTTCCCCCTAACATTGTTTTACTGCTTATTATGCACGGCAGCAAACGGCCACCACCTCACTGACATTTAACCCTCTGCTCAGGACCACATTAAAGAGAGAGACGAATCAGCATTTTAACACAACACAAAGAAGTAAATAATTATACAATGTGACTACTTTGTTTTAGAATAGAAATAGCCGCGTTGGCTTAAAAAATCCTCACTCGTGGATTTTTGTCCCACTCACCCTCCCACGCCGTCCGTGTGTTCTACCTTTTTTAATTGTGTCATTGAATTTTGTCCCAGAGCCTGAAACCAACAGAGAAGCTGCAGCCCTGGACGTGTTTACAGCCCGGGGAAGCTGAGAGGACATAAATCTATAATTTTTTTTTTTTCAGTCATTCTCTTGGCTGCATGGCCAGCATTACCACGCAGAGGGATTCCCCCTGCTACCGACTCTCTTCTCCTCTGCGCCTCGCCGCATGTCCTCCGCTTTGCCTTTTGGTGATGAAACTTCTTCACATATTTCACACCGTGCTCCCCGGTGGGGTTTTCCCTTGATATACACCGAACACGGCTTTGATCTGAAGTTGTTGTGATTTCTAATTAAAAAAAAAAAAATACATACATATATTCTACATACAAGAAGCCATGCAGGCAGTGGGAGAGCTGGTGCTGAAATGAAAACGAATTGCGTGTCCTTGTGCCAAAAAATGAGGATCGTATGCTAAAATGCGGGTTAATGATTAAGCCGTGGATAGAAGCCCTTTTATGTCCTGTGGAAATGGAAATGCAGCATGGTCAGCGGCTGATTATTCCTTTGTATTCTTCCCCTCTCTCCAACATCTCATCCACTGGGCTCATAATTCCACTGCAGGACGTGGAGTAAATAATAACAAAACGATTTAAAATACTGTAAGGATGGACTTCCATGCCATTTGTAACGATGTATTATTTTTCCTAGACACACTACCTCATTTGGTTGGGGGAGGAGGAGAGGCAACCACTTGATTTGAACTGGCTTTCCAAGGCGCTACTTATTTGCATAATTTTTTTGTCTATGGTGACGCTCTGGTTCGGGGCAGTTCACTGGTGTCTGCATGGTACTGGTGAAGGATCACATAGTCCAGCATAGCCTTGGCTGAGTTTAATATTGCCATGAAGCCCTGGCCATTGCTCTATAGCATGACGATAAATTCAGTCGTGAGGCCAGATAACTCTTATCTCGCTGACCCGACTGCTCACGCCTGCTTTCGTAATCTCAGTTTACCCATCCACGTCGAGTAGGAAAAAAAGAAAAGCAAGAAAGGAAAGGGGTTTCTCTCGGCTCTTCCCTTTTTTGTTGTGGCTGCTAATGCCTGCTGTATGGCAGGGCGCGTTCTGCTGCTGCTGCTTCACCCAGCCAGCCCTGCCTTTAAACTTTTCCGTGGATTACTGCTTTGATCGATTTCGTCGCTGAATGAGAAAATATCTCTTGGTGCTCTGCATTCGTCGTCAGAGGATAAGGTAAGCAGGCCAGAAATAGGCTCCCTCGGTTGTAGATGGCGGAGTTTGTGTGTCGCGCGGTGATTTATCATCGTATGACTTAGATCTCGGTTCAGGAAGAGTTCACACACACAGTCAGGCAGCCAGATTTTTCAAACGTGGAGCAGGCGGCTCGTAGAGAAGCTCAAGTCTGTCATTTGTCTCTCTTTCTCTGCCATTTACGACTATCGCAATGGCTTGCCTGGAGATATTCACCTCAAAGCTTTCTGATATCTTTTCCAGGTCATCGTGAGTGCAGATATAGTGAAGACACCTTCTTTCACTCTGCGGTTTAGCTGCGTTGAGGGCAAGCTCAGGGCTCATTTTATAGTGATTTGCTTCTTGTTATGCACGGCTGCACAAACCAGAGTTGTTCGACATTGCCTTTTCATTTCTCTGTGCTCATTCTGCGAAAAGGCATCCTAGTTATGTGCCTGCTCCTGGATCATACTATACATATGGATTGTGAAATAAACATAATAATTTTTTTTTAAAGTAATACCATCGTTATTATAGGGATCAGATTTACTGACAGAAACATAACAACAGGGACTATTAGTTTCAGCAGTTTTTGAAGTTGCAGTCAACTTATTTAGATTTTATTTAGTTTTATTTATTTTAATTTAATTCAAATAATCTGCTCCCTTGATTGGGGCGACTGCAATGGTTAACCTAATGCGACATGAGTGCAGACAAAAGACCTGTAGTAAAAATAGCATTAAATAGTAAATTAATAGGGCGGGTATAAATTGTATTTGTACTGAAAAAGATATACTTTATTAAATTACGGCATTATTATTAGTATTGTTTGTAGAATTATTAGTGTTATTTTATTTATTATTAGTATTACTATTATGCATTGCACTTTTCTATGTTTAATGGCAATGGTTAAACAAGGAGTCCACATTAAATATTCCACCATTTCATTATAAAATATTTTATCAAAATGACCCGTAGATCTGTGTCTATATGGTTTTATAGTTTCCCCAATAATCTTTCAGCGGCTGATCCCCATGGTTACCTATATGAATTATGGTGGTTTAACAGCAAGCTCTATCTGTGCCACCCCTGATTTCTGTCCGCCTGAGTACCGGGCTAGGCTACACACCGGGCCGCTCATTCCGAGCAGGCCGTCCCGACCCACTGACCCCCATATATCACCATGACTGGCCGCCGTGCAGACAGCACCATTATGGGCCTGCAAGGAAAAGTTCGTACAGTGCTCATGAAGATGCACGGATACCCGCCCGGTTTTTCAGGTTTCCTCGTGGCCCTTCCATTTATCTTGCAGCATGTAAAGAAAAGAAAAAGAAGAGAATGCGGTTGTTGGCCGAGGAAGCACAGCGAATTGAGGTCTATCCTGTTACTCAAGGAAAATGAGTTTAAATATTTGTGGTATATGTGGACTATTTTCTGTTGCTACACAGGAAATAAGATATAGTACTGTTGACAGCCCTGTTGGTAGCATAACATTATAAAAAAGATATTATTTTCCTGTGTGGTAACCAGCTAATAAGCTTTTCCTACAGCACCCCTTGTACCTGCAGCCGTAACTCTATTCAGTCTAATTGTTAATAGGCTCAGAGGTTTAAAATGTCATGCAGTTTCTTGTTAGGTCCTAAAATTGATTTGGCAACCCGAAATGCTTTTGAAAAGGTTTTTGTTTTGATGTGGTTTAGCACAGATGGTAATACAAGGTTAGTGCATGCCTTTGTGCCCTGTGTAAGCCATAAGGTAAACGGTAATAGTCTACAGAACGGTTGGGCCTATCTTGCTTCCATAGTCTCCAGTGTCAGGCCTGTATTGAAAAGTAAGATGGATCGCTACCATTTCTTCTCCTCACAGTGCTTCTTGTAACCCTAGGTTCACCCGAGGAGGCCATTGGCGGAGAGGCGTCACGTGACCACGGGGTGCCAATGTTATTCTACAAGGGTGTCAAGACCCTGTCAGTTTCTGAAATAAATATTGGGAAACGGCGAGATGCAAAAGGCAACCTACTACGACAGCTCCGCAATTTACAGTGGCTACCCATATCAAAGCGCAAATGGCTTCAGTTATGATGCCAATCAGGTCCAATATCCCCGGGCCTCTCATGTGGAAAGTGAGTACCATCGACCTGCCTGCTCCCTGCAGACTCCTGACGGCTCCGTGGCTCTGCAGAAGCCGGGGGAGATGGCGGAGAGCTGCGACAGGACCACAGCCATTCAGGCGGCGCAGTCTAAGGTTCATCCCGAAAGCAATCAACCGCAGGTGCCGGTGTCAGGCCCACCCCCTCCCTCACAATCCCCCGGTGCTATCAGCCAAAACACAAGCAACGGGTCCAACCAGCCCAGTGCCAAGAACGGCTCCCCGACCTCCACTGGTCGCAGCAAACATATCTTCCCCTGGATGAAGGAATCCCGTCAGAACACCAAGCAGAAACCCACCAGTAGCTCCAGTTCAGGTACTTTCAACTTTAACACTGCTGCTTCTGCTGACACACACATTCAGCTTGATATAATCTGACCAGAAAGTTACATAAGTTTTGTTGAGGGGGGACACAATACACAGAGGGAGTGGGTGGGTGGTAAGGTAAAGGGTTAGGGGGAAAAAAAGGGGGGGGGGGGCAACCACGTTAGGAAGGTTATAATATTTTGGGGGGTCCAACAACATCTAAAATTGACCACAGAGTGTAATCAAGTAAAAGTGTGCAAGTGTTACTTTTATTGGATCTACCTCCTGAAGTGATTTAATCATATATTCTTGAAAATTATCCAAAATGACCAAACCTTGTATTCTACACCATAAGGTTGTATACTGTGGAAGAAATGTGTGCCTCAACATTGGAAGTGTCCCACCAATTGTTGTCCCTGTGCCCTGAAGCTGACCTGTCCCTACTGTAAACACGCATCTCCACTGATCACATAATGTTCTCGGAGAGACAACAAACAAACACGCACAACAGTTGTTTCAGTTTGTCCTGCTGTTTTGATTAGAGGGAAACTTGGTGGGCCAGTGTGTGTGTGTATGGGGGGCGGGTGGGGGTGTGGGGGGTTGTGTTTGGGGGTGTTTATTTACATGGAGTCGACCTAAAAATTCAGTGATGCTCATCTTCCTGGTCTATTTTGTAATTTTTGTGGGTAATGTTTCAATTACTGTACAGTTAGTATTCGAAAGTAAGAAATGATAACGCAAAGTGGTGTGGCTTCATTTTAATTTTTAACAACCCCTAAAAGTCCTAACCTTTTATGCACGTAGGGAAGCCAGATCCTGCTGTTTTGATTAGAGGGAAACTTGGTGGGTCAGTGTGGGGAGTTTGCCTTTTGGGAGGCTTTATTTACAAAGACTCAAAACCAAAAAATCAAGAGATGCCAGTGACCTTGTTTTGTAAATTAAGTGGGCCATTTTGTAGTTAAAGGTAGCCTCCCACAGTAAAAGTTGAAAATATAAATAAAGGAGGTGCCTTTAATTTAATTTAATAATGATTTATGTTTGATAATGTTTTTTTAAATTAGTTTGTAACAACACGTGAATGTGCACTTTTACGCACATTTTATGCTCGTACGTAAGCTGGATCCTGCTGAAAACTTGGTGCGTCAGAGAATTTTGGTTTGGGGGGTGTTTCCGTGCATAGTGCTAATCTAAAAAAAAAGACAAAAGAAAGATGCTTATCTTCCTGTGCCCTTAATATTTTGTTTATTAAGTGGGTACATTTTCTAATTAGGTTATAGGTAGTCGTATACAGTAAGAGCTAAAAAGCAAAGCAGTATGGGGTCCACTTTAACACATACACAAGCCAGATCCCGGGTAATTTTAAATGCAGTAGTCTACAGCAAGAGTTTAAATTGCAAAACAGTGTGTCGCCCTTCATTATGATTTATGTTTGGGAAGGTGTTTTCATTTATTTTAACAACATGTTGTGGTGCTAACACATTTATGAAAAGCCTTTTTACGCACGTCTTAACGCGCTTACAGACAGATAACAATATTCATGTGCTTAACACACGTTTCCCAAATCATTCTCTTTCATAAATTAAGCAAACTAGCCTCTTAAAAATGAATTCATAAATACTCATACAGTAATAATCGTTATCACAAGTGATTGCCCTACATACATGGGTATTCCTCCTTTCCCTCGTGTTATCTTCTCTTTCATCTCAGTAATAACCTAATCGGTCAGGTTATGTCATGCTGCATCCCTTTTTGCTCCAGGTTTGGGCGACAGGTAGTGAAATGTATTAAGTGTTGGCCGCCTGCCACAGTGGTAAGTAGACCAACACCTTGCTATTCTGCAGCCAAGCTCCAGCCTCTTAGAAGGGGAGTCTTATCAGTAAGGGCAATGCAAACTGCTTTATACACCCAGAGGAATACATAATGCTTGTGTTTGCATTACGCGTGTGCTACACTGTGACTACGGGGGAAGATGAGGTTCAAAGTGTTTTAGTAGGAAGTCTGAGGTTACCTGTTTCCATATTAGATATTGACCTACTCTTCTCCAGTTACATTTCCCCCCCTTTGCAGATAATGTGGCGTGCACACAGGCGTAGTGTCAATACATTGATTGTTAATCGTCTTATGGAGCCCCCATGATGACCCTTGTGATTTGAAGTATATGAAACAGATTTATTTAAACGTTTTGATGTTTGTGACACACGTGCATGTGAAGAGGGAGAAGGAGGACATAGAGAAAGAGCCGATGATAAAACCCCTATTTAAGTAGTGGACCAGGGCATATTTATCTAGTGAATAGTTTGCTTACCATCCCCACCGCCTCATGATGGTTGAAAGTTATCAGCCTGTTGTCACACGGTTTGGCTTTCACTCTCACTCCCTATCTCTGCTCTCTCTCTCTCTCTCTCTCTCTGTCTGCTTGTAATGGATTACTGATTGACATCCTCCTCTCCTCCTCCCTGACAGTGGAGAGTTGCCCCGGAGACAAGAGTCCTCCGGGGTCAGCAGCATCGAAGAGGGCCCGGACAGCCTACACCAGCGCCCAGCTTGTGGAGCTGGAGAAGGAGTTTCACTTTAACCGGTACCTCTGCAGACCTCGGAGGGTTGAGATGGCCAACCTGCTTAACCTCACCGAGAGACAGATCAAAATCTGGTTCCAGAATCGCAGGATGAAATACAAGAAGGATCAGAAAGGTGTCGGAATGATGCCTTCCCCTGGTGGACAGTCCCCCCGGAGTCCTGTGGGCCCACCCTCTGGTGGTGGCGGCGGCGGAGGAGGATACCTCAACTCTATGCATTCTCTTGTAAACAGTGTACCTTATGACTCCCAGTCGCCGACGTCTTACAATAAACCTCATCAAAATGCATACGGTATGGCCACGTCATACCCCCCTCCTTTAAACAGCTCCCTCAACAACTGCCCGCCCTCCCAGAAGAGGTATCCCGGGACCGACTCGGCCACGCCCGATTATGACGCGCATCCTCTCCAAGGCAATGGCAACTATGGGACGCATATGCAAGGCAGCCCCGTTTATGTCGGCGGAGGTTACATCGACTCAATGCCCAATACTGGGACCTCCGTTTTCGGTCTGACCCACCTCCCGCACCCGCCGCCCGCAAACATGGACTACAATGGAGCAATCACAATGGGCAACAGTCAGCATCACGGAGTGTGTGATCCGACACCGACGTATACAGACCTAACGTCGCACTACTCTCAGGGAAGAATCCAGGAAGCGCCCAAACTGACGCATCTGTAGCGGTGGCGCTGCCTGGATCACTCCGCCCATTGTCTTCTCCACCTCCAGACACATTACTGCTTTGTTTCTGCGCCTTCTCACGGCTCCCACCTTCTCTCTGCTTTTTGTTTATGTTTTCTATAGTTTGATGTGTGAAGTAGCGTAGGATAAATAATCATGACTTGCTTGAATTTTTCTCTATTTGCTCGTGTAATTGTCTCACGATGACCTTTATCTGGCCTGTAGACGTCTAGAGCGGGAGGGAGGGGGGCACAGTATATGCATAGGCCTATTTAATCTTTTTTTTTATTTTTTTTTATCTTGTTTTAAAATCGCAACTCAAACAGGGTATTATGAACATGTTATTCATTTTAATGTGAATTTGTCCGTCTTTTATTTATCCGCAGTTGAAGAATTGTGTTTTGCATTTTGTTGCACTTGTGAAGGGTTCCTTCAAGAGCCACGAGTTGGGGTAATGAGGGATATACATTTTCAAAAACAAGGGTCATGAGCTTACACGCAACTTCCCTTGCTTGTGTTGTTCTATTGGATTTTCTAATGTTATTTATTTTGTTCGGTGTAAAGATAAAATAGTCCTTTAGTATTATTTGACACCTCTGCGATCCTTGTGTGGGGAGAAGGTTAGGGGAAAATTAGCGTATCTGCCCCTTTCAGCTCATACACGTAGTCTGCAGAAGGTCCTGCAGCAGCAGCACACCATGCTGCTATTATAGGCTATGTTTCCATTTTTTCTACTTCGAGGAGGTGTTTCCTTTTCTCAGCGAATGTAAAATCAATCAGTCATGCAATAAGGGTGGACAGAAGGACACACGTTAAACGTTTCTTTATTGAAGAAAAAAAACAAAAAACATTTTCTTTCGATGTCATACATTCCATGCTGCTCCGGTTCAAGAAATAAATAAAACAATTGAAATATAATTGCAGCAAACCTTGTAGTTTTAATTTAGACACGAGAAGCATTTCACAAGATTACAAAATTAAATTTCAATTCAAGTTTCTTAAATAAAAATGTTATAATATATTCCTAGTTTTGCAATCATTTCATGACGGTGTAGAATTGTTGAAGGTGATAATCCAAAAAAACAATTTTTTTTTGACAATTGGCAATATAAGAGAAGGCTAAAACAATAAAATGTTAGTAGTTAGGCTAAATAATAAACCATGGATGATAATTGGTGAATTTCTATAGTTGTACAATATTTCACAACACAAAATAATGTGAAACCAACGGCCATATTTCAATAACATAAAAGGGAATGGCCGCAGATAAAGTCAAATACTGAAATGCTACTTTTTTTTCTCCCTTCTTGATTCTACGTGAAGAAAAACTCTCGGGTGGCCTTCTCCCCTCTTCTCATCTGCGTGGGCACATCCATAATAATAAAAATGTCACCCGGGCCGTTGATGGAGATTCTGCAAGAAGACAACACGCCAAATGAGAAATCGTTTGAAAAATAATTCCCTGACATGCGGTCAGAGAGGATACATGCCGGACTAGAATCGTAACTGGGCTTTTTTTGTGTCATTATTCTACAGATTTGCAGATGCCAGTCCCATACGAAATGCCTCGGTTATGTTGTTACAGCAAAGCAAATTATCAGCGCAAAGCTGAAAAACGACAGTATTCCCATATGTATTTTGTTGAAATGAAGGGTCTGTAAATACATTATATATATTTATTTTTCATTAGAATTTCTTTTCATTGTTTCTAGTAATTTCTTAACAGTGCTGATTCCTATAAAAAATACAATACATGCACACATGGAGGTATAATGATTATGTTGTTTTGTGAAGCTCACATTTTTCAGGAGAAAATGCAGGCAATTGTTTTTAAGCCTGTTTATTTTCTAGTCAAATTATCCAAACTTTTTTGTACATGTTTCCTCTCTGTGGTTATCAAGCAAGTGCAGTATTATTTGTTCTCACTGATTTTGCACCAAGAAATCATTTTCATCCTAATCTGATTTATATAAGAGGGCATGGACATTAGTAGCCCTGCCATATGGTTAGCAGGGAAACCTAGAACAATTGAACCATGGTGTGTCACAGTAAAAAAAAAGAAAGAAAAAAAAGCTGATGCACTGAGTATTTCTGCATCCAACACACACGCACACATGCACACGCATACAATGCAAGACACTGATTTGACCCATATACGCCATACCCAGGTAGCACATAAATAACGTTTTAACTGAAACAGAAGATTTGTATTTCTTTCATTGCATTTCCATCCGTGGGAAAGTGGTCCTAAATCAATCCTGCTGTAAAGACAAGTGTGTAGGACAGGCTGGGGTCCACTTAATGCCGCCACCCACTCCTTTCCTTGCACACAAAGCCTGTGCGTAATTCCAAAAAAGCCATCCATCTCTTCCCCTAGCAACTCCTTCAACACAAGGTCTGGTCTCCTCACAGACCCTGCAAGTCTACCAAAACGACAAATACATGGCGTTGTGTAAATGCATTCAATTCAAGGATAAAAGCCAGGTGGAGAAGCTGCTTCGCCCTGCTCACCGTTGGCGCGTTACCTCCTCCTCAGAAGGGAAATGGTCGCATCTTGTGGAGCTGGATTCGTATTTATCTTTCAAAACAACCCTCCAGCGACAGCCTGACTTTAACTGCGAGCAGAAACTGGTTCTAATCTGAGTGGCCAGTGTTTCTCGCCGCTTCCTGGCTGCATTTGATCCGGGGGAGAGTTAGAAGCCTTAAATGTGTTGTGAGGGCACCGAGCTGTCAGACCTTTTGGCGAGTAAGATTGATCGCGCGCAGGCTTCCAGGACTCTTTGTTTGCTATATAAGCAACAAACTGAGAGAGGCCTACCACTTCTCTTCTTCCTCTCTCTTACTCACTAAGCCATATTTTTTTTGAATGAAAATACAACATGTATTGCTTGACGAAGAACATCCTAAATGTGGCTTTCGGGGATTAATCTGGAAGGGCTATAAAACCAAACACTGCGGGGAAGAGTTATTCAATAACATCCATCTACATAATAACGCTGCAAATGGATTCGTTGTAAATGGTCGATTGTGAACGTGTTGGTGTTTGCTTCATTGCAAATTCAGGTGGAATTGATCATGGAAATACAGTGAGATGCCTTTCTCAGCATTGTAGCTACTGTCCTTCCAGTAAAGCCTGCTCTGTCTAGCCTTGCTCTTTTCCCCCCTTAACATCAGTATGAAGCTATTCGAAATATTAAGATCGTATATAAAATAAATTACTAATGATGTCAGCTTTTGTTATTCCAAAATATGGACGGTTAACAATCACAAAAGAATGAGAGTCTCTGTGTTAAACTTAGTGTTTGGGGGTATGATCACGCACGTGCACGCGCATGACCTCGTTATAAAATTGACCTTTTGTGGAATAAACGAAAAACCTTTGTGCTTTAATACCATATCTATAGAGGCCGCATAAATAGCCCATAATAAAACATTTTTTTAGAGTGTGCACGCACATGTATGCGCGTTTACTCTTTAAGTTTCTGGACATTCTCTGCAAATGTTAAACAGCTGTTATGCGATGAAATGGTTTGAACGTGTCATATCCGTCAGTATTAACTTAATGGATGGGCTTTCTATTGCAACACATGTCCATGGATACACTGCATATTTCATTATTATGCATATCTGAAGAAAACCATCTATTCTGGAGTCCAAACTCACTGAACATTGTTGGGGTTTGTTTCTGTCGAGAAGTCTCAATATCAGTTTTTGGGGTATGCTTTTTTTTTCACATCTGAAGCCAGACTCTTGCCTATATGAATAGCTACTGGCGTGAAATGTGTGAGTGTGTGTGTCTGTCTGTGTGTGTGTGTGTGTGGTGGGGGCGTTCTCGACTGACATCCTCAAACAATACGAGAAAGAGGAGTGCACGAATCCGCGCACCCTAGGCTGGGCTCCTTCCCTGTAATAGTGAGCGTCAGCCATTCTTAAAAAACACATTTTGTAGCTTAGTGGACTGGACTGGAGGGGCAAGAGGAGGATAAACTGAGCGGACAAAGATGTAAATAAAAACAGTCGTCCCCCAGCTGAGCGAGGCGTTCTTCATCAGAGTTTTTGGATCAATCAGGCAGACAGTGGCTTCTTTTGATTAAACCCCAAATTGTCATTGGGCAGAGGTAATCATGTGACAGGCAATTCGGTCCAATTTCAACCTTGTCTCCATGAATTCAATAGTTTAATAGTAGCTCGGTCCCCATACGGCCGTAATCAGTGAAATAGGGGAAAAAACACCAACAGGAGAATTTTTAAATGATTTTTTCTTTCTCGTCCTCACTGAGCCGCAACATTTATAAAAATACGCGTGCAAACTTTCCCCGGCTCTCAGGGAGCGGAGATGAATTACGAATTCGAGCGAGAGAGCGGTTTTATCAATAGTCAGCCGTCGCTTGCTGAGTGCCTGACATCTTTCCCCCCTGTCGCTGATTCATTTCAAAGTTCATCAATCAAGAGCTCGACGCTTTCACGCCCGACACTGATTCCTCCTCCCTTTGAGCAGACCATTCCCAGCCTGAATCCGGGCAGCCATCCGCGGCACGGCCGGCCCAGACACAGCCCCGACGGATGCAGCCCGCTGCCCACAGCCTCCTTACCCCCGGAGTACCCGTGGATGCGGGAGAAGAAAGCCTCCAAGAGGAACCACCTGCCGACCTCCACCGCTACGACCATCTCCAATGGACCTGTGTGTTTCTCTCCAAAAGGTGGGTGATTAAAAAAAACATGGGCTCTTACTGCAAAAGTATTTACTATCTGTTGCTAAATTGGAGCTCAGCACAGAGGCCTTTCAAAGAATACAAATAGGCTGGGGACGTTTTATTCTCATAGATTCGTGGTTGTCGCTTTGCTGTGACTGTGTGAAGCAAGAACAAAAAAGTTTGGCTAAAGTTTGGTGATGTAAGATGATTTATTCCCCTAGCCGTAGCAGAGTTTTGATGTGTGACAGTAATGAAGAGTGATGGAGTGCCGTTGCCGAGGAGGGCAGCTGGAGCATTCATTAGTACCCCACACCAGCCTGGACCTCACTGCTTTTATAGTGCACCTTGTTTGCTTCAAGCTCAGGCTGGACGTTGTATTATGTGTAAAATAACCTGATGAGTATATTTATGCTGCACTGATTTTTGGATAAAAGGTTTACAAGCTATAGGCTTGAGTCAGTAGCTCCAGCGGCCATTTTGCTGCAGCGTGTTGTCAGCCACTCTCTGGTGGCCATAATGTTAGATTCACGGACAGGGTTATGTAACTGTTGGGTCCTGCGTTTTAATCCCACGCTACCGTGCTGCTTATTTTTCAGGCTCGCCTGAGATTGTGGAGAGCGCTGGGGGAGGAGGGGGTTCCCGTCGGCTGAGGACAGCTTACACCAACACACAGCTGCTGGAGCTGGAGAAGGAGTTCCACTTCAACAAGTATCTGTGTCGGCCGAGGAGGGTGGAAATAGCGGCCCTGCTGGACCTGACTGAGAGGCAGGTCAAAGTGTGGTTCCAGAACCGGCGCATGAAACACAAGCGGCAGACCCAGAGCAAGGAGAACCACAACGGGGAAGGGGAAGGGAAAGGGCCGAGCGCTGAGGACGGCATCCACAGCGACGAGGAGGACGAGGCCCCCCTGTATGAGCGGAGCGGGGCCCTGCTGGAGAGAGATACCTGCTCCTTTCAGAACAACTCTCTTAGCTCCACACAGCAGCTCCACAATGGCGAGTCCATGGGCTTTGCTGCTGCGCCGCTGAACAGCAATGACAAAAATCTGAAACATTTTCCCAACCCGTCACCCACTGTTCCGGGCTGCATGTCAACAATGGGCCCAGGCTCGGCATCTGGCCCGGACAATAGCGACAGTCCCCCGGCCCTGGATGTTTCTATACACGATTTTCAACCTTTCTCCTCGGATTCCTGCCTGCAGCTCTCCGATGCAGCCTCGCCGAGCTTGTCAGAGTCTTTGGACAGCCCCGTGGACATTTCTACGGACAGTTTCTATTTTTTCTCGGAGTCCTTAACTACAATCGACCTGCAGCATCTGAACTATTAACTGAACTCAATCACAAAAACTGTTTTTTGGGGGGACAATACATATCAGCCTAAAATGGTATTAACTCTAATGTTATTTGTATAGGCTATTCGGCACAATTACGCTGTTGATATTTGACTTGACGATTAATGCAAGGTAAGGATGAAATGAAATCACTGAAATAGCTCTACTCAAACGTGACTTGTAATTACCATAACAAACTGATCTCTTGGAATGGAAATTATGAGTGTGTGTGAATAATTATACAATATTAGGCCTATGGAACCTGGTCGTTTTTATTTTTGTATAGCTTCCAATGTCTTGGATATTTTTGTTAGAATACAATTAACTTGCTACAATCCTATGTCTCTGCTGTTTTGAGTTGTTTCATTTTCTATTTGCAGAATTAGTGTTTTTGAATTATTCATACAGGAAACGTGCAAAATAAAAGAAGTAGGGCATAGAAAGATAGAGACGTTAAATTTAACAACAGGTTGGCAATGAATATAAATACACTAGTCCGCGTTGAGTTGTGAAGACACACAAGTGTTTGAATTTTACTTATATTGTAGGATTTAATTTCAACACATTAAGTAGACTACTGTTTTCAAATAGTTTACTGAAAGATATGAAGTCTGTCGTTTTGCAAATAAATGCAAAGGCATCCGTTTTTTATTTAAAACTTTGATGATACAACTTTTTTAATGTAGTAAAATTACTTTTAAATGTGCAAATTAGCAGTTTATTAACAAATTCTGGATGCCAAATAGTAGCATTCCTTTTGCTAAAATATCATTATATTTCTCTTTTAGATTTACACTGAAATGTTAGCACCCTTTCATGCTGCCTGGAGAAACCCTAACGCAGATTATTTTTATTTTCAGCTTCAAACTTCAAACTTTGCAGAGTAAAAACAAATACGCCTGCTCGGATCTTAGCATGACAGGACTCTTAACATTGTGTGCATGTTGCAGGCAAATACCCGAGCCATGTTTGCCTTCAGGAGCTCATAAATCACTTCGTGGCATGAATGAGACGGACATTAAAGAGGCCAATTGTGGCGTAATGTGCACAAATAAAACCCCACTTACATTTTCATATGGGACTCCCCAATTCCTGGGTTAAAAGGGGCTGTCTCTGCATGCGTTTGGTAATAATTCATTTTTATAGCTTGTTTAAACACGGGTCTGGCTCGGCGACAGCGGCAACATGCAGTAGCTGCTTACTCAGGTTATGAGGCTGCACTCGTGTGTTAAAAGTAGCCCAAACTCAAAGCAGGCTGCTTCTGGATTAGATGAAATGTATCATACCAAGAATAGCTGCGGAGAGAGGATCATTATGCAATATCTGAATTTCTTTAAAGAGCATTTTGGGGGGATTTTACAACATTATAGGAGCAGTTATGTAGGTATAGTATTGGAGTTCAATATAGGGATTATGAATGGTCTTGCTCTATCGTATTGCACTTGAGTTGATTTATGGGAATCAGTTATTAGCTGATGCACAACTTGACTCAATAGGTAATTCCACTTTAGCAGCTTTGTGTGTGAAAACAGCAAAACAACCACCGGTTGCGACGCTGGCCTGCACAGATCGATTAAGAAAGTCATCAACACGTGTGAAATTCATAAACTCGAAGTTCAGCGGCGGTCTATCGAATAATCTGGAAGCCATAAAAAGCCCATCGACTGGCTGAACATTAGCCTACTAGTTAACTGGAGTGTGTGCGTGTGTGTGTGTGTGTTTAAGGAGGGGGGTATAGGGGTAAAAGGAGTGGGTGGGCAGATTCTCTACACCCCTGCACTCCAGCACCCAGTCACTAACCACAGGGCCAGTAACCAAATCATTCCGAGACAGCGCGCCTTTTCTGCGCACATGTGTTCACACAAAGAGCCAAGAAAGCTCCAGGCCTGGCGAAGTTTCCATGCGCAGGCAAGGCAGGATCCACTGCGCCCACTCACTGCTGTTGCAGAGGCAGCTGTGAAGACAGAGGGGAGAGGGGAGAGGAGAGAGGAGAGGGGGCGGGGTGGGGTGGGAGTAATATTGACCCCACTGCGCTTTTTTCACTGGTGGGAAGTTTGCATCACTTCTTCACTTTCTTTAATACTCCATGAACCTGAAATTTATGTATACTTTAAGTATCAAATTTGACAACCATGTCTATATTTCATTGTCTATTCATTTATAATCTGATTTACATCTTCATCTAAAAGCAGGGAAGAAATATTCAGATCCTTTATGTAGCCTAAAAGTAGCAGTAGGCACACTGTAGAAACACTTCATTACAAGGAAAAGTCATTTTCAAAACTTTACTTAAAGAACAAGTATTAGCAACAAAATTAACGTATCAAAAGTCAAATGAACCATGAGGCAGCAAAATGCTGATTATAATAGTCTTAACTTCTCTATATAGTGTGGGGTAGTTTCATTTTGAAAAAGTACAACATATCCTCTAAGATGTAGTGGAGTATAAGTATAAAAGCTATGTCTATCTATCTATCCGAATACTCATACTTTTACAAACATGCTGAATTTTTGGTATTTGACCAAATACGGCCTATGGGGGCGCTCATCTCCCCCATGTGATCTTCTCTCCCTCCCTCCTTCCCTGCTTTTCCCCTCCCCTCTTTTTCTTCCTCAGTGAGAGGTTGGCCAGGCACTCTGCTGTCGCTACAGCGCAGCTCTCCCACGCACGCTCTCCCTCTGCTCTGTCTTTTTTTCACCGCAGCTTTCCGTGGCCATTAATTTCTCCAACAGCTTTATTTGATGAAGTTAACAGGATAATCAGCCCGCACTCGTACCTCAGGCTATATAGGCACATTAGCTCCACGACAGGCCTCGCATTATCAGATCATTTGATCACTATACATGCATAATGAATACATGTGGGAGTGAAATCGGAGCTGATAGCGAACCCTATGACCCTGGGAGAGAAAAAATGAATACCACATCATCTTAATGTTTTATATGTTGTCTTGTCCTTACACCACCTGTGACCCCCCAGCAAGTACTGAAAAGCATGCCAAACACCTCTAATGCGACCTTGATGGGCAACAAAGTTATATAAAAACTGAACTGGAGGACTTTTTGCTTGTGTCAGGAGTGAAACCTTCCTGCCTCTCCCTCACTGTCACACTGTGACAATATTTGCTGAGCAAATCCTTCACAGTGTTAAAGCGTGAAACACTAAGCATTGGAATTGGACACTGATAGCCCACATCGCCCGTGGCAGTGGCACACACACTGAGCTATCCATCCATCGAGAAAAGAATGACACTATTATACATATGACATCACGGCTGTTATGCTTGGGCGAATACAGACACGCACGGAGGGCACATGCACGGCCGCGTGCGCGCACACGCACCAACACATACACGCACGCACACCTATTCTCCTCTCCATGCCAAAAATACCGTACCTGAGGTTAGAGTGCTAGGTCGTCCTCCTGAGAGGTTGCAGAGGGTGAAACGTTAATCTTTCCCCAGGCGGGAGAGCGCACAGCGGGGCTCAGAAAGACACCGTGTTTGTCGTTCCCCGCTCTTCATGCGACCCCGGAGCTGTCCACTGCCTTCTGCCTCCCGGCTCATTGTTTGCTCCGCCAATACATTAGTGGAGACGCGCGTCACCTTGATCGACGAGCGCCTGGAATTTAAATAGCCACTCAAACACCAATCTGTCACAGACTAAGGGGATAAGGACAAGTACCTCACTGGCTGACCCGGGCCCACGTGACAGCACTCGTTCATTGATATCGGCCCGTGCGCCCCCCTCCCTCTTATGATAAGGACAGAGTATAGGTAAAGGTTGGCACGGTCACTCAGGGTAAGAGAGGAATAGATCAGAGGGTGTCTGTTGCGCGGACGGTCCCTCGGCCCTGGCAGAACAATGCTACAATGAGCAGCTTCTTAGACTACTCGGTGATGAGCGGCGAAAGTGGCTCATGCTCTGTCAGGGCTTTCCACTCGGACCACGGGATTACAACTTTCCAGTCCTGCGCGGTTACTGTCAACAACTGCGGGGCAGATGACCGCTTCATGGCAAGCAGGGCTTCCCCTGACGGCATCCCTCACCAGGCGGGGTCATACCAGGCTACTGCGAACTCTGTGGGTCTCGCCTATGGGGCCCATCCGGCCTGCAGCTCCAGCTATGGACCCCAAAGTTTCTGTACTACTTATAACCATTACGCGCTCAACCAGGAAGTGGACTCCACAGCGAGCTTCCCCCAGTGCGGCCCACTGATGTACTCGGGTAACATTTCTTCCTCCATGGTCTCTCAGCATCGCCAAGGTTTCAGTGCCGCCCCCCTGGGTCAGCTGCAGTATGCCCACGCTGCCTATGGCGGCGGGCACGAGCAAGCAACCCCTTTTCCTGGGTGCTCAAACCCGCTGTCACCACTGCACGCCGCTCACTTGGAGGCTTGCTGTTCACCTCTGTCTGAAGGCGCATCTTCTGCACAGACCTTCGATTGGATGAAAGTCAAGAGGAACCCACCAAAAACAGGTGGGTACCATTTGGGCCGAGTTGTTGAGTTAAAACTTTACAATGTAGAGACACCTCTAGCCTGATTGTGCCATTGTCATATTTTTATGCTTTTATAATGCATACAGTAGCAGATGCTATTTAAAGTCTTATGTTAGACTTATGACAGATGTATAATGGAATGGTTGAAAGCGGCTGACATTAATTGACTGCATGCGTAAAAGTTACTTTTGTTGCGTAAAAGTTGCTGCCGGGCGCAGGCAGTTGTGTTCTGAGCAGAAAACATGTGGCTTAACTCTGTTCTGTAAGTTCACTGTGTTGTTTCACTGTCTGCAGGCAGGTCTGGCGAGTACGGTTATGGGGGTCAGCCGAACACGGTCCGGACCAACTTTACCACCAAGCAGCTGACGGAGCTGGAAAAGGAGTTCCACTTCAACAAGTACCTGACCCGTGCGCGGCGCGTTGAGATCGCGGCCGCGCTGCTGCTGAACGAGACTCAGGTGAAAATCTGGTTCCAGAACCGGAGGATGAAGCAGAAGAAGAGGGAGAAAGAAGGGATGCTGCCTGCCAAAGCTCCATCCTCAGACCCGGGAGAGAGGATTCAAAAGAAAATGGACGATGTAGAGTCAGAGAAGTCTGTCTCAGCCCCTTCTACTCCATCTCCCACATCCTCCACGGTGTCTTCCACGGGAACTGATGCTTATTCCTCCAACTAAGAACCAACTGCCTCTTTACCTCTTTGGGCCACAGGCGGCCTGTATATATCAAAGCTCATACCCACTGTATCAAAGCCAAAGTCCTGGTTGATGGACGACATATGTGGACGTTAAGGATGAGTTAATGCACTATTTGGGACATGGATAATAATACTATGGACCATTTCTGAGTTAAAGATTTTGTTTATAATGTGTACTGTGTTCGGAAGACTGATGCCATTGCTGTCCAAACCAATGTAGGTCATGGTTCAAAATGTGTCCACTTTCTTTTGAAATTTGGCAGAAAATACGCGTTGCGTCACAAATATGATGGTGCCAGAGATATCATGTACCTTCCTTACACCTGCCCCTGACCCAGCTCCTGATTAGTGCTGCTGAGTGTGCCAGCATAAAGTCACAAAGCTGCACACACAAACAAATACCTCAAATGTGCCAAAGTTGTGCGTCATGGCCACGGCCAAGCTGGTTGCACTGGGTGTCGTCAATTAGGCATCAAACAATCAACGACGTGACCTCGTTTATTAATCGTTATAGAGTGCATTGTTGTTGTAACTCTTAATCAGTGTCACCTCTGTGTTTAAGGCCTGTGTGTTTGTGTGTCACGACTGTCTGAATGTCCATTGTGTGAGATTTGCATGATGCGTAATGCTTTCATGTATTATTAGCGGGGGGCTGAGTTTTATCAGTTGGGGAACCGGTCACGTATGGCCATGGAGGTTCCAGGCATTTATCTTTTATCTGTTTAATCCAGTGGAGCACATACAAAATGTTTTGTCCAGAGAGACGTTTACGGGTCAATCATGTGTATTAAAGTGCGTTTACCTCTAAAAAAACGATTCCTCTGTGTCGTTACTGAGGGGAAGTCTTGGGAGAGTTAGAATTAGACTTTTCATAAGATTTTAAAGCAAATCTTCCATCATAATCCGCCCATCAGACCTTTCTTCTGTTAAGCTCTACAGACATGAAATGAAAGCTCTGTCCATTTTCCCATCGTTTGAGAGGCTACACGAGTCTTTAAATGTATGCGGCCGTGCGCGCTCCCGTCCCTGGGGTGAACAGTTATTGGCATAATAAAGGCATGTTTATCCACGGAGGAGATGAGAGCGCGGAAGTCAGCGTCATTTGTGATGACAACCTTATCGAGCTCATGGCTTATTGAGGGGACAAAAAAACACCCTATTGATTTAAACATCGAGGTTAGGCTATCGACAAGGATGGGGCCCCACTGGTCCTGTCAGCGTTGACTCCGGTTCCCCAAGTCACACGGAGGTGTCATCATCCCCACCTGATGACAAGCTGAACAGTGAAAACTTGCAGCAGTGAATGTAGCAGTGAAAGGGCTACACAATTTGGCTTTAACAAGAGCTATTATTTCAGGTTTTGTTATATTTAGGCTACACCTGGTTTATAAATCTGCCCTTTCAGGATAACGCATTTTAATTGAATAACTATCATATTGTCTTTAAATCAGCTTGTAAGTGGAATCATATTTACAAGGATACTATGTATTCCTCAAATCAAACGCGTGTGTCTTAACTGGACTGTCATGTGGACGTTTACAATTCCCAAGGTAGATTATATCCTCTCTCCAATTTCCAAATCTAAAAGAAAGGGTTTCCTGATTCTTTTGCTGTTGTAATTCCTGGTGTGCAGGCTGCGAGTCCTTTTTACCATAAAAGGGCAAAAAACGCTGAAAGAGCCGTGATTAATGAGCAACGTTCACCTTTACCTTAGATCCACCTGCAGGAGCTGCCCTATTGGAGCTGTGGAGACCTGCTCAGGCTGCAGCAAGCTGCTCATTCAGCAACGGCAAACATGGAAAAGGACAGTAAGTTCTGTTGCCAACCTCTTTTTTATTCATCTCACCTCTAATAATCCTTGTTCGACATTTTTAGGGCGTTGTATTAGGTGGTTCTCTACATGCAGGGCAGATTAAGCTGTGTATGTAACCTGTGACAAGGTCCGTTTGGTAACTGCAGACACCCTCATTTTGTTGAGGAGTTGTTTCAGTATAAATAGTAAAGTATGCACACAGACTTGTTGCTCAAGGGCCTGTTTGTGTTTGTCAGGCCAATCTGGATGAGAATGAGGTGAAAGATTATCTCTTTTAATTCTGTAAAAAAGAAAAAAACGTCAAAGGGATGTTTATGTGCTCTATTTGTATGACAAACTATTTAGTTTTAGCAAAATTCTACTTGATCTTCAGCAGGAGATTGGGAGTAATTTAAATTAATTTTACTATTTGTATATATTCACTATTTTAATAGAGCTTGTAATGCATTTGAATATTTTAAGACAAACGAAAAAATAGTTAGACTTTGCACACTATTACATCAGTATTTGGGCTTTTTGTGTAACATGTTTTGCAATTATTATCCTACAGATCTATTGAGAAAGTTTAGACTGACACCACATGGAGCAGCCTAGCTTTATTTTATGTTAATTTCTTTCATTCTTCTAAACTGTTGAGGTTCCACATCATTTTGAACAAAGGGAGACATATTTTAAATAGACTTATTTAAAAGTCAGAGAACAGGTCTAAATAAAAGAAACATATTGTCAGAAATGTAACAACCTATTAAAAACGTATTATTTCAATGCGAGAACGGTTGTTCGAGAAATTTGTTCTCATCACAATATTATATACATACAAAGATATGTTTCTCTTATGGCTATTATTTCACTGCCTAATCTGCATATTTATGTCTTGCAACGAGTGTTTTTAAATCGTTGGGATTTTGTTTACGACCTTGGACCACTTTTAATCAAGAGCCTTATTTCACATTTAAAATAAGGCTTTCTACACATCTGGTGTCCCTCTATTTTGCTTGCAATTACAAACAGGGACTGACATCATTGAGGCACATAGTTACTCATTTGGTCCGATTTATTTATTTATTTTCCCCGTGTGCCTGTCCAAACCTGACCAGATTTTAGACGTTAAATGACTTGACCTGTAGATAGAATAGAAGGCTATTTTCTCTTTGCACACAGGTATTAGCTAAGTTGTGTGCATTAGCCTATTGGAAAAAAGAAATATTAAAATAAAATAAAATCCTAGTGTTTCTGGAGACCGCCATAAAACTCCTCAAGGACCCTTAGGTTTCCCCGGACCCCACTTTTGAGATGTTTTAGCTCCCTCCAGGCCCCTGTGCGCTATGCAGGAGCCACGCAGAGTGGATTAGAAAAGCAGCTGATCCTCAAAAGAAACCCAAGGGTCAATCCTCGGTCACAGTTTAAGTTTGTTGTCACAGCACCACCCACACCTAAACAACAGTTTACAGACCATACTGGGCAAACAAGCACCTCAACAACGCAGTCACAGTTCCGCTCCGGCGGCCTGTTTGACCAAAACACATTCAGAGTCTAAATGCTAAAAGTGACCTCATCTATGTGAAGTTAAGACGTTTTTTTCTTGTTCCGAGCGCCAGAATCTGTCCCGGCGCAGCTGATGGTTCCCATTAGGGCCCTCGGACAAACACATGGATGATGACAGATGTTTGACGATAACCATTAAGGCTTTGTGAAGGAGGAAAAGATGTTTAAAGCTTTTGACTCAAGGGGGTGACACAGAAAATAGATGCCGAATTCATTTGCGCGTCCTTGATGTGGCCGAAAATAGACGTGCTCTTGTGCCAACAAAAAATGTGTGCCATGCAAATGACTTGAACACAACTTGTGAAAAAAGTCGGTCAAATGAACTCTTATAAAACCTGTGGCAAGTAATTTATTTTTTAGGCTGTGCCTTTGAAATAAATCTAAACAATGAATCTCAATTCAAATACATTCACTCACCTTTTAATTTTAATTTCCCCCTTAGATTCTGAAACTTCATAAAATACAAATGATGCAAGGATTACTTCATACAAAACTCATGTGTTGAGCAGTTAAAATATCTTTATCATTTTAAGATTTTAAGAAGCTGAAGCATTACTATATTTATATATTATATTTACCAAAAATCACTTTAGGTCTACAATTACAAGAAGCAAAGTCACAATAAAACCTTATTTATAAACATAAAATTTTACATTTCAATTTGTAAATTTCTTTTAAATTATATTTAAGCCCTGTTTATAATTTTGATTTCTTCTTTAACATAATCTTCAACATTTTGTGTAAATGCAAGCTGATATAAATATTTAGTAGCATTTAAAAAACATTACCTTAAATACAAAGAAATAAGATTCCCCAATATTTAAAAGGACATTTATCTCAGATTTCTTTAGCTACATGTTCTTATATATTTGCATTTTTCTTTTAGTTTTGATAGATTTCTAACCTAGTAAATTATACAACATAATAATAATAATCCATTAATTGTAACCTTTTGGAGGATGTCGGGGAATATTTCCCCCCTCAAATTTTTATATTCTCAATAGAATCTAAGTAGAGTCTAAGTTGTGAAGGAAACTGTTTTCACAGGCTGCAATCACAATGAATTTTTCCCCTAAGACTGAATTAAAGCAAAGAAAAGAAACTTGTCATAATGTCACCATTTTTCTCCTACAGCGATCGGTGGACATCAGTAGATCAGTAGAAAGATGATTTGCAGAGTTGACCACAAGATTCACATGGACCACATGAGAGTGTACAGGTATTTACCGCACAACCACACACACACACACACACACACGCATACGAATATATTCATGTGAACATACATAAATGCAGTAACATTTACAAGACATTTGTATTGAGGTAGTGCGTAAACTAATGCAAATACAGGTGCTTGAGAATATGAAGTCAGGGAAGACACACACAGAGACACACAGAGGGAGAAACAGATAGGAAATGCTTTTTAAAAATTTTACCCTGGAGTGTCAAACTGATGTCTCTGCCTCTGAAGTCTCACCTTGTTGACTTTATTTTCTTGTTTTTCTTAGAGGTTTATGTGCATTTATGTGTGTGTGTCTGTGTGTGCATGCACAAAAATACAGTGGAAAGGACCATTAAGCTCATAGAGAATTACCTAAAAAGTGTCAAATAAGAGGATTTGGAAGCACATGAGAATGCTTTTGCAGAGAGAAGTAAGTTCAGAGGCCCAGGTCATTGTACCACCTATAGAAAATATCCATTTGGCATTGCCATCAAACCTTATTGACCAAAGCTTATGAGGTTCAGCCTATTTTTTCCAGTGTAATAAAGATATCCACTATGCAAATTAAATGTTCAGGGATGTGAACACAAATATAGTCTGTGTGTCCTCGAGGCCTCTGCAGTGACACCTGCACTGATCAGACTTACACAAACAGTAGATCTTAGTTGTAGTTTGTTTATGGTCAGCTTGCCCTGGACACACACAAACACAAACACAGACACACACAAACACACATACACACACACACACACACACACGCGCACACGCAATGAAAATCAAAACAAGAGAGTGAGAGACAGTTTCTACTTTCTGACAGACTGACTCTTGGTCTACTTGTGCTCACAAAGAGGCAGACAGAAAGTGCTGGAAGAGAGACAGAGAGGCAGACAGACAGAAGTCACTCAACAGGGTAGTTGAGGTATTGGCACGTCTGTGCTCATTGACCACTCCCCTGTTGTGACTGGCAGCCAAAATGAATTCCTCCATCGACAGATGTGTGTCTCCATATGCCGATAAAGGGATGAAGCCGATAGAAGGATTGACAGTATGATGGAGGAAGAGAAGGAAGGGAAAGAGCGGAGAGATGACATCATGTCGTTGGTGCTTGTTTGTCGTGTGTACATGTATGTGATGAGAGAGTTACTGAAACAGTGAAGTGTGTCATGCTGTTTAGAATAAGGAAAGGCAGAGATTACGTGGTAGGTTAGAGGCTGACTGTAGCACTGTACGTCCACAGCAGAACTCACCTCAAAGAGTTATCTGCAATTTTCGTTAAGCTCCTTGTGTCTGTTGAAGTCGTCCCACTTGGCCAAATCGAGTGAAACAAAGACATGTGAACAGAGGAGAGCACAGCCAGTGCGCCTTAGCAGGTCTGAGGCCCAGAGGAGGAAAGAGGACTGGGAGAAGGGCAGTGGTCTAGAGACAGGGGTCCATCCATCACACATGTCCTGACCTCAGCTTGACCCCAGCATGGCAGCCAATGAGGCGCCCTCGCCTCTTAAAGAAAGCCCCTCACCACACACACACACGCACACACACACACACACTTATTTACCCCCCCCCCCCCCCAACACACACACACACACACACACACACACACAAGAGATCGGGTGACACTGAGTGGAGTCTGGATGCTCTTTGTGTTGGCTATTGTCGCTTCAGAGAATCCTTTGTTTTTTACATGACTAATGTGAGTACCAACACCTGACAGACAGGCTGTTCATCCCATCTCTCTCTCTCTCTCTCTCTCTCTCTCTCTCTCTCTCTCTCACACACACACACACACACACACACACCAGACAGGAATAACCACTTAGGAATATCCTAGCTGAAAAGCTGTGGAAGTCAGAATAGTTATACACAGATACAACAAACCATACATCTTTGTGACAACAGTAAAGTACATTACAAATTTACACCCTTGATCGTTTTCCACCATTCACATGAACCAGAAAGGAGGGTAACAAGTGGAAGTTAAAGAAATAAAGAAATTTAGGCATTAAGTGAAGTTGGGATTGCAGAACAAAACTGTTCAAAACACTCTATATTGTTCAAAAGAGAAATATAAAAGTTTGACCTGTGTTTTATCTACATTTGGGCTCTTTTTTAAGGCAAAAGGTGTGTTTCTGAGTACTATGTATTTTCATCACAAAAATGTTACCATATTTCTGCTACAAACCCAATTCCAGGTCAGTGGTGCATCTGTATATCTGAGTGCAGTGAGACTTAAAAGTGTTTTCTACGAATAACACCCTTGAAACACCATCTGCAAGGCCAGGCAAGTTTATTTGTATAGCATATTTCAGCAACAAGAAAATTCCCCCAAAAGTGCTTTACATAAAACATAAAAGCAATATAGCAAAGCAATTCATTCTACAATTAATGACAAAGACAGGGTTCTGGCAGATGTCACCACCATGACAATGTAGCAGATATCTAAAATAATTTCATATTCTCTTTGACAGCTGAATAAAAATCTATAATAAGAAAAGAGAATAATTCTAATTGCCTCACTTTACTAATTACTCAACAGCAAAAGCAATTGCTACATTACTTTAGTTATTAAGCACAAGTGCCTTTAAACTACTCAAAATCCTCTACACCCTCAACTCACATTTAAAGTAAGTGTATTTACAAGCAGACAGCATTAGGTTGGGAGTTATCCATTGATCATCAACAGCTAACGTTAGCTAAGACTGGTGACTGACTGCATGCAGCAGTCCAGATAAGTGTCGTCCTCAACTGAAGGCTACCCAACTGAATGTGAGCTAAGCTATCAGTGGCTGGCTAGCAGCTAAGAAGACGCATAAGGTAAATAGGTAAATCCTGCACAGAGACGAGATTCATGTCAACCCTCCATCAAATTCACATGCCCTCACACAACATAAAGTCGACCCCCAAATTGTCAAAGTAACTGAGTGCTGAATTTCAAATTGTAATCCCTTACACAACTTGTTGCTGAGAAAAGTCATCCCGTTAGTGTAATGCTAATCTACAGTATGTGATGTTGACCACCCAGGAGGCCTGTTTGTCCCAGTGCATGTCAAACACAATACCTGTACTGAAGTCGCAAATTATAAGCATAATAATTAGCAGATGTAAAATAATGTCTATTTTAGTCTTCTTTGGCAGATAAAACAAGGGCATATATCATTGATAGTCTCATATTTTGTCAGATAGATATACATAGATGGCATAAGTACCGCAGTGTGCCTTAAATAATCATAGCTGACCTGATTAGCTCATTAATTTCTAAAACTAAAAAAATATTTTCCTTGTGAAGCCAAGATGAAAAGAATTGTTGCTTTGTACTTTATATACTAAACGTTTTCATACACAGTTGCCTTTGTTGTGCTTGTTGTAATTTCCGTATTGAGCCAAAGATGTAAGATTAACACACAAAGCTAAAACATAATCCCAAACCCTAAACTGCATTTCCAGCAACACACCCAACAGTCATTCCTGAGTGCTTGTCAATAAGTGAGTACTGACTGAGCCAAAACCTTTATATGAAGACCTGAACCTTTGGTCTCATGAGTAACTAGACAAGTGAAGTAGCACGTGTTACAACAGCCTCAAGGAGATAATTGCTAACACCCCACAGAGAAAAGCACAGAAGCACAGTCACTACTTTCACACACAAACACACACAGCTCCAGGGCAAAAGAGAGGTTTCAGCAGCTGAGATTAAACGTCTCCATGTCAGGGAGAATTTGGAGATGTGTGATCGTTTGGACTCTGCTCTGGGCGACGTGCAACAATTGTCAAGACGTTTGAGCTCACCTGACACCGCTATACCTGAAAACCACCTGTCCACCCCCCCCCATCCATTGCAAGAGCAATGCTCACGCGCGACTGTGTGGAAACACAATCTCGGAGGGATTAGGGAGCAATTTGTGCGTTAACTGACACAAAATGGAGCGCTCAACCTCTTTGATGGCTGCTGACAAGAGATATTAGACCAGGTCACATCAAGATATTTTGAGATTGCTTTTTCTTCCATTTGTTTAACTGATGTCTTAAAACATTTCTTATGTTGTTAGCACTATTTTAAATTAACATATTTAAACATTTTTGAACCGGTGGATGAGCATCGCCCCTGTGTCAAATTTACTGATCCCAATTACTAGAATGCTTCAGTGTATTTTATGAGTGTTTAAATGCCAGAAATCACACACACACACACACACACACACACACACACACACACACACACACACACACACACACAGCAGCAGCAGCAGCAGCAGTATAGCCAGCGTGGATGTTAAAACAGGCAGTTAATACAGCAGCTTGTTATTGTTAAGAATGACTTAGATGTTTCAGTGACATTTGTAAGGCTCAGTGTAACTCTAAGCCTCTCGTTTGTACACACCCTGAAGCCCATCGCAATGTGGGAGTCTGAGAGGCAGGGTGCAACTATGCACTGATAGGCTGCCTGTCCCCTTCAGGCAAAGAGCAGTGTAGATTTGAATCTTCAGCACTCGTAACAGTGAGCTTAGCAAGACAAATTGATTTAAAGTAAAATCTGTGCAATACTGTATGTTTAGGGCTGTGTAAACATACTAGATAAAAGCTTCTTATCACACTTTTGGCGCTGAGATGCTGACAGAGCAGCAGAAGCCATCAGAAAACATGATTCTACATAAACCATGATGTGTGAAAGTCTTCCTAGATTTCCTTTTCTTTTTGTATCCCAGTCTTATCCCCCCTCTCCTCCTCATCCCCCTCCAGCTGGTTGATCAACTATGCCAGAAAGCATGTTATGTAGCATTACCATTACAGTAATGACTGCACAGCACTTTGATAGAGAGACATGTTGGCCACCATTTACTGCATTAACTTTGTTGTGAATATAGTTTTTCTATGTCCTTGTTAAAGAATGTCTCACTCCAGACAGAGGAAGACATGTACATTAAGAGTGTTAATCTGATGACAGAGGCAACACCTGCACAAAATGTTGATGCCTCTCATCTATGTAGGAAGCTTATGTGAAC